GGGCAAAGGGGTGAGGAGGAGGGAAGAGCCTCTTAAGGGATGCTGGGCTCCTCCAAACTCTTCTCCATCCACCAGCTGGGCTCCAGGTAGAGCTGCAGGTTATCCACTGCAGCAGGGCTGGTCCAGAGGACTCCATAAGGAATTGGTTTAGGATTTGAACCTCTTAGCCCAGCTCTACCCCTGGGCATCAGCTCTGCGCAGTTGCCTCCTGCTTTGCCCGAGGCTGTCCATCCCAGATCCCAACCAGGCCATGGAGAGGAGGGATGGAAATCTGCACCCTCAGGTCTGGCAGGGACGTGCCTCACTGGTGGCCAGGTGATTCTGCCCTGAAACACAGCGTGATTTAGGGGGTGTAGTGTTGAAAAAACAAACCACCTTGGCCATCGGGGTTGGCTCTCCAACGTTTCCAGGGACTGAGGTGATTTTCTGCTCTGGGGAGGCAGCAGGCTGGGGGGTGATATTCAAGCCCATGAAAAGGGGTCTTTGTACCAAAAAGAGATGGGGAAAGTGCACTCTTCACAGTATATTCCTCACCATCAGTGTGTGGAGGCACCAAGAGCAAACCAGACCCCACCAGCAGCTCCTCCACAGCACAACCTCACTACAGCCAGTGCTGCTGGACACAATCCAGGTGGGTACTTCAGCCTGAATCAGGAACCTTCCCTGTTCTCCCTGGGAAATATTTGGCATCTGAGTTGTCTGGGTGGCTCAGTCTCCCCCAGAAATCCTCGGGGCCTCTCCACACCCCCTGTGATCACAGGAGATGTCACGTGGCCGAGGGACAAGGGGCATTTAGGATTTTTTGCAAGTGACTTGTGCCAAGAAGCCCAAGGAAGTCTTGCTTTAAATCCCTGGTGCTTCCCCAGTGCCAAGCTGGCTTTTACTGGGGACATTCCTGCCTTTTAACCAGGCCTTTTTCCTCCTTCTTTCTCCTTTCAAATGTTTTTACAGCCACGGGCAGGTTTAAATACAAGCCAGGCCTTTTTGGAGCCAGTTCCTGGGAATAGAAATGAACATCCCTCACTTTCTCCAGCCCAGGATCACAGGAGAGAGCTGGCAGCTACTGGTGACCTGCACAGGTAAGGCACAACCAGGATTCCTGAGGCAGAAGGGATGTGCCCCACTTGGATGACTGTGGGGAGCACAGCAAGCAGAGCAATGCTGGCCTCTGCTGGCAAGCAGAGCCTCTCCACATTCCCCCCATTCCCAAAATACTGGGCTCCAGGAGTCCCACACGGATGGTGGGAGCAGGGGAAGGAATGCTTGGAGGAGATTTTGGGTGTGGAAGCTCCAGCAGGGCCACGAATGCAGGCCAGAACGCGAGAGACACAAGCAGAGCATTTCTGTCGGATGAGCGCCCGGATTCTGCTTCCCAGGGAGTCTGACAAGGGCAAAAATCCCGCTCAGTTCAGAGCCTGCCTTTTTGGAAAGCTTATTCTCCCACTTGGAACTTTTCTGGAGGCAGTAAGGTGAGCTCTGAGAGTGCTTTGTGTCACTCCCACTCTCAGGTGCAGATCCCAGCTACCCAGTGGTGGCACCTTCCTGTTCTTTTGACTGTCCCACAGGTTGTTCCTCCCACAGCCTGTCTCGTGTTCTTGTGTTAGGACAAGGATGTTCACTGTTCCATTTTGAAGTGTTTTGAAAGGACTTGGCCCTTGTGCTGGGTTAGGCTGCTGGTGTCTGATAATTAATTACTAAAATGCACAGCGGCGTCAGAACCCACCTAAAAGTCCTGCTTGAAAAATAAGGCTTCTAATTTTTATCCCACACTTAAAAAAAAAAAAAAAAATCAGGTTTAGGCTTCTGCTGCCACACGTTTCACTCACTGGAGCTGATTTTCCCCTCACTCCTTTCTATGGCTTTCTGGCTTTGGATTGCAGCGAGCTTGTACCACATCCCAGAATGGTGTTGACACAGATGTGTGTCTAGACAGGCAATTTTAGGAGCTGTACAGAACTTATTGACTCAGCCTGCTGATGGGTTTGTTAGAGATCGGGTAATGGATGGGATGACACAGAGGGAGGGAAGCATCTCCCAGAGAAACCAGGCTAATGGGTGCTGGGTCATGAAAGGAGACACTGTGACGTGGAGAAGCACCTGGGAGCTTTTTGTGTCCTCCTGTGTCACAGCACTTCAGCTCAGTGCAGGCTGGCAGTTCAAGGATCTATTTGAACTTATTATTATTATTTAATTCCTGGGTAGGGATTTATCTAAATTAACCTAATTAATTTTAATTTTGAAATCAATATATAATTTTATGATTTAAAATGTCACATATAAATGTAATTATCTATATTTTTATTTTAATAAATCATTTATATTTTATTTTAATATTTCTTTTACCTTTATTATTAATATTTATATTATTACTATTTATTTTATGTTTATTTATATTAATATAAATGCATACATATATAATCATACGTGTATATATATTATGTATATATATATAATATTATATATAACACATACTTATATTAGTATTTTATATTGTTATTTAATATTATATTATTCTATATTACAACATAATATATAATGTACAATGTAATTATAAGCTATATTATATATTATTTATTATATTTATCATTTATCACATTATACTGTTAAAATTTTTTATTTAATATATGGTTTTAATAAATTAATAGGATTAATCTAATTTATTTTAACTTAGAATTAACCTAAATTAAAAAAAAAATCTCTCTAGTTGGGAAGAAAGCAGCTCTAAGGGGAGTAAGTAACTGGAAGGCCTTCGTACCCTGCCAGAGTATTTTACTGATCTCAGGTGATGCCTTCTCATATTTCATCTCCTCTGCCTGTCTACTGTGACTGAATGTTTCTATCCATCAATACTGCCTGGGCTGGGGAGATGTAAAATTCATCTCTGCTTCGCTTGGCAATCTGGTGAGAAGGAGTTTTCCCTCATTAGAGGCAGTTCTGCTCCCTCAAGGGTAAAAGCAGAAAGTTAAAGACGAAAATTTGATTCTTTTATCTCATGTTAAAAACTGTGAGTGCACCAAGGCCCCCAAAAGGGTTGATCAGGGGGGCTGGTCTCCCCTTGATTTCTCTGAAAGGTTAAACTGTGTAATTTCACCTTTTCTTTTTTCCAAAGACTCACAACAAAGGGGAATTCTACTTATATCCAGTTTTTTGGACGGCTGTTGGTAAAAGCAGGTTGTGAAGCATTAAGTATTGGATGAAACCAGAGCTCCAACTCGACTGAACGCAACGAGAAGGCTGTAAAAATAAAAATCCAAGTGTTCCCGTGCTGTTCCAAACAGCCACTTAATTCCCACAGAGGCAGTCACTGGATTTTCAACAGAGAAGCAGCACTGGCAGTTTCTCATCTCTGGAGTTTGTGGATGGGACTGGGGCAGGAAGCAAATGAGAAATTCCTCATAAACTGGACTGGATTTCAGACTCGTGAATGTGTGCAAACTGATTCTCCCATCACAAATCCTGCCTGTCACACCAGAACTCCGCTTTCCTTGGCATGCTCTGAGAAAAGGGAGCATTAACCAGCTGAAGAGTCTCTTCCAAGGCTCTTTCTGTGAGGGAAACGTGCCCAGTATAAACCAGTATGAACACTTGAGTGTTCAAGGCCACGTTCAACACTCGGATCTTTCCTGGAGCCGAGTGACTGCACGTGTGGATAAAAACTGTACGTGGGGCACGAATTATTTGTGTTCCCCCGGGCAGTTCCCAAGAATGCCCATAAAACCTGACTGAAAAAGAGGATCCTTACTTGTGTCACTGGACGCCCTGGGAGCAGAAGCAAAGAAGAGGACGTCGATCAGGTCGGAGGCCGGGCCACCACGGTACTGCTTGAGTGCAGTTAAAGCTCTGCCAAAGAAGGGAATATCCAGGTTACAGGAATTCCTTTGGAGACTCCCAAGGGCCCAGAGACAGGCTGTGGGCACAGATGGAACTATTCCAGAGCTGAACAACGTTACCCCGTGAGACTGATCCCACCTAATTCCTGCATCCCCCAATGTTCCCACACGCGTCCCTGCGCTGGTCAGGCTTCCACTTCCCGTTATTCCAGCTTGGTACAGCCAAATGTGCTTTTTCAGAATGTTAATCCAGCAAAGAACTCTTCAGTCCTCCTGCCAGGATGGAAAAGGCCCTACACAGAACCCAGGGAGTGCCAGAGGTGATACAACCAGACCAAAATACGCAGCTTGGAGAGGGAAAGGGAAGAGGAGGACCAGCCAGCAGGTGAGTGAATTTAGGCTGTTATGAGGCTGTAGCATGACAAATCCAGCTGAATTATCCCGGGATGGATTCCCTCAGTAGGCAGCACAAAAAGGCAGGTGGATGCCTCCCCTCAGTGGAGCTGCTGTAGGAGCAAGAGGGATGAGATGGGAAAGGAGAGAAACCAAGCCTAGTGAATGAACTGGGAAGCGTCTGGGACCAAAGCTGGCAGTTCTCCCGTGGCTCCCCCGCCCCTGAGCAGAGGGACCCCGGGGGAGCCCTGACCTTTTGAGCCTGTTGTAGGTGACGTCGTTGGCCAACTTGAGCAGGCGGAAGGAGCGCTCGTGGTCCAGGCCCAGCTCCCCATCCCGGGGCTCCTCCAGGGCCACGGTCACTGCCTTGGAGGTGACACGGGTCACGACGCCGGTGGCCACTGGGTCACCCTGCCCAGCAGAGTCGTAGAGCCCCACGATGTCCCCTGCAAAGGCAAGTTTGGAGAGCGTGAAGGGCGGAAAACGTGTTGTCGCCCAGAGAAGCTGTGGCTGCCCCACCCCTGGAAGTGTCCAAGGCCAGGTTGGAGCAACCTGGGATGGTGGAAGGTGTCACTGTCCATGGCAGGGGGTGAGACTGGGTGGGCTTTAAGGTCCCTTCCCAACCCAAACCATTCCAGGATTCTGAGATCTGTTTTTTAATTTTGGAATGTCCCTTACCAGGCCCAAAGCTGTTGGAGGGCAGCTCGGAGTCCGAATCCCATTTCCTGGGCTGGAATGTCACGAGGAGACGCCCGTAGAGGCCGGTTCTCTGGCTGGTGACCTGGAGTTTGAGCAAGCAGACGCCCCTCCGCTGCAATTCCTTCAGGGAGACGCTCTCCTGCCATGCCCTGGGAATCACACAGGGGTGAGAACACCATGGGGATGAGGTCAAGAATCAAAGCTCCAGGTGACAGAGCGGAATGACCTTGTCCTGGCTCCTGGCACCCCTCTCCTCGTGGCTGGGTAAGGGTCTGCACCCCCAGCACAGGGGTCTAAGAGGGATGGCTACAGGCGAGCTGGTCCTACAGGGGTGAGTCCAGCAGGGTTCCCCACGGATCAGAGCCCTGTGGGGTGGTTTCCTACTGGGATGGGGCTGGTTAGAAAGGTGGGATTACACCTGCGTTCCCATAGGTGACAGGAGGGTTTCCCAGGGGTGACAGCAGGTCCCAGGTGAGGGTCCCCCAGTGTTTCCACAGGTGAATGAGGGTCCCAGGGGAGGGTCCCTCAGATTCCCACCGGTGACAGCAGGTCCCAGGGGAGGGTCCCCCAGGGTTTCCCATAGGTGACAGAGGGTCCCAGGGGAGGGTCCCCCAGGGTTTCCCACCGGTGACAGCGGGTCCCGGGTGATGGGCCCTCAGATTCCCACGGGTGACAGCAGGTCCCAGGTGAGGGTCCCCCAGGGTTTCCACAGGTGAATGAGGGTCCCAGGGGAGGGTCTCTCAGATTCCCACGGGTGACAGCAGGTCCCAAAGGAGGGTCCCCCAGGGTTTCCGTAGGTGACAGTGGGTCCTAAGGGAGGGTCCCTCCGATGCCCACGGGTGACAACGGGTGCCTGCCCCCACCCTCCCCCGGGCCGCGCGTGCCCCCGGCGGTCCCTCCCCGTCCCGGTCCGTGCCTGCTCTCGGCCAGCTCCGCCTCCCGCTCCTCCCGCAGCAGCTCCAGGTGCCGCTCCGCCGCTTCCGCCGCCATGGCCGCCGCGAGGCCACGCCCACAACGGCCGTGGCCCCGCCCCTTCACGACACGGCTCATTCACCCCGCCTATCGCCCCGCCCACTGCCCGCCGTGGCCCCGCCCCTTCACCGCGCCGCTCATTCACCCCCTCCCTTTGCCCCGCCCACTGCCCGCCGTGGCCCCGCCCCTCGCCCCACCATTGCGGTTCCGTGTCCGGCGCGGGGTCACCGCGATGGCGGCGGCGGGAGCGCGACGGGCCGGAGGTGAGAGGGGACCGGGGACGGGACGGGACGGGCGACGGGGCAGGGAGCAGGGGAGGAGCGAGCTCTGCCTGCTGCTGGGATGAACGGAAAGAGCTCTGCCCGCTGCTGGGAAGGAAGGAAGGAATGAAGGAATACGCTCTGCTGCTGGGGTGGAGGGAAGGAAGGACGGAAGGAAGATGCTCTGCCTGCTGCTGGGAAGTAGGGAAGAAAGGAGAGGAAGGAGCTCTGCCTGTTCCTGGGAAAGAAGGAGTGAATGAAAGAAAGGAAAATGCTCTGCCTGCTGCTGGGATGGAAGGAAGGAAGGGAAGGGAGGAAGATGCTCTGCCTGCTGCTGGGATGGAAGGACGGAAGGGAAGGGAGGAAGATGCTCTGCCTGCTTCTGGGATGGAAGGAAGGAAGGAAGGAAAAAGTTTTTCCTGCTGCTGGGATGGAAGGAATGGAGGAAGGAAGGAAGGTGATCAGGGTCTCCACTGTCGGCTCCTGGCCCTGGTGCATCCCTGCCATGCACCCGATGGATGAGCCCTGGAGCTCTCCCTGCTGCAGAGGTGGAAGGAGCCGCTCACATCTTTCCCAGTATCAGCCTCGAACAGCCCAAAAAGGAGAATCAGCTTGACATAGTTTTTCCCAGGCTGCTATAAACCCTTCAGCAAAATCCAGGAAATGGTGGAAACAGAGACTCCATCAGCCTTCTCCTTCCTAGCTGGGCTGGGAAGCTTGTCAGGGCTTGGAAGGGCTGCCCAGGGAGGTGGTGGAGTCCCCATCCCTGGAGGTGTCCAAGGACGTGGCACTCAGTGCTGTGGGTTGGGTGACAAGGTGGGGATCAGGCACAGGATCTGGGAGGGCCTTTCCAACCTCAGTGATTCTGGGATTCTGCAAAAGCCCAGTAACTGCTGCCTGTTCTAATTCTTTTCCCTGTCTCCCTTTCAGCCTTCCTGCTTTCGGCCGCGGTCCGGCACCGGAGTTCCCAGAGCACGTCACTGCAGGAAGGGTGAGGAGTCATGTCACTGTGCCTCTTCCCACCTGGAATGCTGATCTGGAGTCATGTCACTGTGCCTCTTCCCACCTGGGATGCTGATCTGTCTCAGTGGGGTGGGGAGGGCAGCTGGTTCTCCTTTGGGAAGGAAGATTGTCTGCCCCTTGGTCACTCTGTTGCTTCCCAGTGTTTTGGACTCTACCTACCTTCAGTCACCTTTCCCAGAAGGATTCTTCCCTTTTTTTTTTTTTTTTTTTTTTTTTATTTCTATCCCATCCCTGGAAGTGTCCAAGGCCAGGTTGGACAGAACTTGGAGCCACCTGGGCTAGTGGAAGGTGTCCCAGCCCATGGCAGGGGGTGGCACTGGATGAGCTTTAAGATCCCTTCCAATCCAAACCATCCTGGGTGTGATACCCGGTGAATTCCAGACTTGCAGCACAGTCAGGTGGGATTAAGGGCCCGAGCAGCTGCAGGACACCTGGAAGCTCCAGGCTTGGCTGTTTCCAGCACTTTGGGAGCTGCTTGTTATGCCTTTATTCCATTCCTCGTGTTGGAATGGACCGAGTGCTGCTGGCTGCGACCAGGAGGGGACACTGCAGGAGCAGAGAATTCCTGCAGCAGGGAATAGCAGGATGTACTGTTCCCTCTGCGGGAGGCAGCATCTTCCCGCTGATCCTCACGGGTCAGAGATCCTTGGATCTCCACCTCTGGCACGGCACCCCAAATCCTGCCTAAACCCCACGAGGCCTCAGTGCTTGTGCTCATGTGCTCACAGGTACCGTGAGCTCCTGTTAAACTGAAGCCCTTTGGGATGTTTTGCTGGGTGTTACAGAGCAAATCAGTGGAATGCAACTGATTTTGAGTCAGTTTTGCCAGATCTCATGTTTATTCCTGAATGTTTTTTGCAGTTGGTGCATCCTGTGTTGTTTATACAAAGCGCGGGTCTCGGCACGCAGGAAAACGTGAACCGCCCACTCATGGTGGGGATGGTATTTGCTTTTTCCTTTGGGATGGTGTTTACTAAATTTAGTAAATACTATGGTATTTACTTAATCTACTAAACGTTCAAATTTCAGAAACCAAGGCCCTTGTGGTCATCTCGGGGGACTTTTTCCAAGGCAAATCTCCCTCCTCTTGAAATCTAAGTTTGGTTTTGTGGTATCACAGATTTTTGCTTAGCTGTTAACTTTAATCTGATGCCTTTTGGTCAGGTGTTTGTGAGTGAAATCCATTTCTACTCCACTCCTTTTACCTTCTTTCCTCTCCCTGTTTTACATCTCTTGGCAGTATCTGTTTGCTGCAATGAAATTTTCAATTGTCGTTTGCAGTCTTGTTGCCAAAACTTCCCTGTCTTCACCCCCGTGGCCTGAAGTGCCAAAACTTCCAGATCCAGTGGAAGAAGCCAAGTATCATGCAGGTAAAAGTCTCAAGTCTATTCCTCCAGCATTGCCTTGATGCCTGATTGAGCATAAATCCTGTCGGAGCTAGTTTGTGTTATTCACATTTTTGTCTTATTTCTCACACGTTTTAGTGTCACTGGAATTGTGCTCCAGCTGCTGGTTTTGGAGATTTGGGTACAATATGATTTGCCTTTAGTTTATGACAGCTTGTAGCATTCCCAGAGAAATCTTACCTGATGTGATACGTGGCAGGACACATCACACAATATCTGAAGGAAAAAAAAACAAACAGAAAAAGGCATGAAGCAAACCCTTTTTTTGGACAGGAGAAACCAGTTATTTTCCATTTACTGGCTAAATCAAAGCCAGCAGGAGCAGTTGGATGGTGGGCACATGGAGAGCTGGTGTACATTTTTGCATAAAACAGAACATCCAGCCAGGAGGAGCAGTTGGATGGTGGGCACAGGGCAGACCTGCAGGGATGGGACATAAGGAAAGGAGTTCCACATCTCCTCACAGGCTGTTTTGATCCTGATTTTTACCTCCTTTGTGCTCCTGGGATCGCTCAAGTGACAGATGGGAGTCTGTCCCTGTGTGTGACATAACCCAGGAGTGAACCACGAACGGCTCAGTTTGAGTCCCTGGAGCCCTGTGGGGAGCAGGGTCCCATCCCCATGGATGGTCCCATCCCTGATGGATTCTCATGGGATCCCTCCTGCTGCTGATGAGCTTTGCATCGTTATCTCCTCTGGCTGGGCTTATCCAAAGGGAACAGCAGTGAGAGCATTTCAGTTCTGCCTTTTATTTCCTGGTGCCTGTGGATATTTTAGGAAGGGTCGCTCCGTGTGGCGCCGAGATCTAAGCCAGGAATCACCTGATGTTTCCTGGCACTGGAGGTGTTGGAAGAGTTATCACAACAGCTCTTTATCCTGGTGGGAGCTGCAGCAGCTACTACTGCCCTGCAAAAATAATTCGTGTTCCTGCCTCTACCTTTAACAGTTTGTATCCTCTGGCTTGAAACTTGGACCCTTTCCGAGTGTTCCTGTAAGGATTGGGTTGGGTTTGCCTGGCTGCTGGATTCCTGTCTGTCCCAAAGGGATGTTCTGTTTACATTCCAAGAAAAGAAAAGATCCAGCCACTTTTTAGGACAGTGAGGCAAAACCTGTTTTTCTGAGCAGCCCGGGAGGGTGGGAAGCTGCTGTTTGGCAGTGGGATGGTGTCATTGAGCAACACCTTTTGGTGTTCCCATAAAATTTGGGTTTGGAGCCACTGCCCAGGAAGCTGATCACGGAGAGGGTTTATCCATGTGCAGGACCTGGTTTCTGGCATCTCTCCTGCTCCTGGCACCACTCTGTGGGCATGTGGGAAGAGATTTTTTCTGGGAAAGAGGGAGGGAGAGCTCTCTCTTGTCCTCGCTGCAGGTACAAGTTCTCAGGCCAGGCTTTGTAGTATGCTGGAGCCCTTTTCCCTGGTACTTTGCCAAGCCCTTCCCGATGTTCCTGCATGCTTTAGACACTAGTCAGTGGCTGGGCTGTTCTGCATATTACTCGAAAATGGAGAGAATTTGGAGGAAATCCTCCAAATGCAGGCATCATGGACAAGAGCTTTATATCCAAGTACAGTAAGTTTTGGGATACCTGAGGAATAGGCAGAGAGTCAGCAGTGTAGAGTAGATACACAGTGTATATACCAGATGTTTACTCACGTGTGGGTTTGCCAGCACCTAAAATACAAATAGGGCATCGATTTTTTAGGAAAGGGGATTTTAAGATTTTAAGAAAGCGCGCCTGGGAAACAACACTGCCGTCGGTCCTTTGCTGAAAGATTCCCGGGAGATGAGAGTTCTGGGGGGAGAGCAGAGTGGCTGGGTTAGTATTCACCAGCGTTTCCCACCTCCCTGGGGGTCCTGCCCCGCTCCCTCCCCGTGGTTTGCCAACAGAGCTGGTGCAGAAGGTGAACGGGATGATCTCGGCGGGGGAGTACGGGCGGCTCTTTGCCGTCGTCCACTTCGCCAGCAAGCAGTGGAAGGTCACCAGTGAAGACCTGATCATGATGGACAACGTGCTGGAGGCTGAGTGTGGAGACCGGATCCGGCTGGAAAAGGTGATGCCCCACAGCAGGTTCCCTGCGAGCACCCCTCGAGGCAAAAACCCATCGCCGGTTTTAAACCCGCGTCCCTGGGGGATCTCCCGCCCTCGCTCCGGCTCTTTGCTCTGTTCCAACCCCTTAGTTTTGTTCCAGTTTCAGTTAGTGATAATATTGTTGTGATTTCTGTTCAGCAGAGTCGTGCCAGGCTCTGTGGGGAGGCAGATTTTTGTTGTCCAAACTTCTTCCAAAAAAAAAGGAAAATGACAGTTGTTGTTTCCAGAGACAGCAGCGAAAGCCTCTACTTGCCTTGGGACTCCAGCACCTCAGATCCCAGAATCATTTAGGCTGGGAAAGACCTGTAAGATCGTAGAGTCCAACCTCTAAGTCCTTGCAGGGCTCCCAGGTGGATTGTCACTCCTCAGGGCTCTGCAAGATCCTTATCTGACTGGGCTGGGTGGAGGTGGAGGGAGAATTGCCAGGATCCAAATCATACCTTTATCCTCAGGCTTGGATACCCGGCAGGATCTTGCAGAGGGATCATTAATCCAAACTGGAAGGAAATATTGTGGAGTGGGATTCTGCTACCTTCATGTTCTTGTTGGTTGTTAGAGCTAAGCAGGTAATTAAGGAAGTTTTTGTGCTGGTCCACTGCTTCGAAGCCCAGTTTTGAGGCACCTTTTTAGGGATGTCCTCAGCTGTGTCCCACATCCCTGTAAAACAGAGAGGAGCCAGTGTGTGGTGTAGCCAGCTCAGAATGCAAAGGTCTGGATAGGAGTGAAGGTGAGAACTTGCCTAACACCAGAACCCTTTGGGGGGATTTTTCTGGCAATTTCTGGTCTAAAACCAGAGTGAGAACTTCTCTGGACCATTTCTGTGCAGGTTTTAATGGCTGCCAGAGGATCTGGGGGGAAAGGAGGCAGCCTGGGAGAAATGGCTCTCCATGTGGCACTTTGGGGACATGATTTAGGGGGGGCTGTGGTGGTGCTGATGGTTGAACTCCACGACCTTGAAGGTCTTCCAACCTCAGTGATTCTGTGAAACGCTGCCTCTTCCCACTGCATCCTCTCTTATCCTGCCTGTTCCTTGAGATAGTGACTGAAATGCCCCAAATCAGCAGGTCCCTGGGGTGGTGAATCCTCCAGATGTTCATTTCTTTATTTCCCATCTTGAGGCCTTATGGAGGAGAATTAGGCAAATGTTTCTCCACTGGGATTTGGAGCAATTGCTATAAAAATTGCTATAAAAACTCAATGGTTTAGGAGCTGCCATTTGTCCAGATCCCACAGGAGGCGGGTTATTTTTCATCCCTGATTGCTTTCCATATTTTTTACAGCTGCTGTTGAGCCAGGACAGAGAGGTTCAGTGTGTTCTGATCATGGAGAAAGATACTTTGCAGTATGTTTTAGTGGGATGAGCTCTCTGGAAGACTTATGACTCTTGCCTGTTAACAGCTCTCTCCCCACCACCCCTCTAGTTAGTGTCAGGTTTGAAATGTGGGAAGGCCTGCTGTTTTTAAGCAGCCTGACTCCTTTATGTCTGTAGGATTTGGAAGGTCCTGTTTGCATTTCTCTTGGGACAATGAGCAGTGATTTATGGCTGATCTATTTTCCCCAGGTTTTGCTGGTTGGTGCTGACGACTTCACGCTCATTGGAAGGCCACTGCTGGGGTAAGATGCTTCATAAAGGAATTATCTTACATTTTTGTATTTAATTGTGGCTTCAGGGCTCTGCACTCCCTGAAACTGGGATTTATCAGCTTTTTCCCAGCCCATTTGAAAGAGTCACCAATAAAACAGCTCACCAGCCTCTGCTGACTCTCTCCCTCCCCAGTGCCCAGAGAGCAGCAAGTCCCAGTCCTGAGGTAACTGTGGGATATTCACCTCAGTTGGATCTTTTTCTCCTTGCACAAACTACCAGGAAATCTTGCTCTTCAACCTGTTCACTCCCTTACTCTAATTTTGGTGGCAGTCATCTTGAAAATACCCCAGAAATCCTTTTCCGTCCCTTAATCCGAATTGGGTTTTTAATCTGTTTCCTTTTGCCCTTGCCTTGCCCCAGCAGGCCTTGATCTTAATTTTTAGTGTTCCTAATTTTCCCTTCCTCTCAGTCACATAATCCAGCAGCCAGAGAACTTTTGGGAAGTTTATCCCTTGGCACTGTCTCCTTCCCAGTGCTGTAGGACTTGCTGCACAGAACCCCTTGGTCCCTCCGTGTTTTCCTTCCCAAAAGGAAGGAGGATGTGAACCAGGTGTTATTACTCAGCAAAAGCAAAGTCCTGACCTGTTGTTCTCCCTGGGACAGGAGATTTTAGTGGGAAAACACACAGGATAAGGAGCATTGCAGGTGCTCAGAGTACCTGGAAGCCCTGGCTGTGGGCTTGGCTTTAACTGTGGCAAAGAACAGCCAGGTAAGGAGGGACTTGGACACCTGGGAATTATTTCTTGGTGGCTTTTAGGTTCAGGCTAGAAAAACCACCTGTTTTTGAGGTGGTTTCACTGCTGAGTCTCTCAGAGGCTGGTGGTATTTAGGAGTTATTGGTACAGTTATGGCTGAGGGAAGGGAAAAGAAGAAGGAGAGGGAGAAAGAGAAGAGGGAAAGGGGAAGGGAGAAGGGGGAAAGGAGGAGGGAAAGGTGAAAGGAGGAAGGGAAGAGTGTCACCAGCAGGGTGGACTGCAGTTTTCCCACACAATTCCCTGAACCACAGACACTTTGGAGAGGAGAGGCTGGATGAGATCACAGGCAGTTTTGTTTTTTTCTGTCCTTTTGTAAATAAACACCCCAGTGAGTGCTCGCAGTGCCTGAGACACTTCACCCCCTCAGCTCCCAGATGTTTGGGACAGCTGGCCCTGCTTTTTTCCTCTGATTCCTCCCGGGATGACACTCCTTTAAACCCCCAAAAAACAGCAGTGCCCCAACCCCATAGCTGCGTGGTGGAGGCTATTCTGGGAGAGCTCCTGGCTGGCTCCTGGAATCCCTGGAATCCCTTGGGCTCCCTGTTTGTCCGGGTCAGTGGATGCCCCGCCTGGCACAAGGGCACGAGCCCGTGTTAGACCTGAGAGGAGGGGAAAGGTGCCTCCATGAGAAAGTCTGGCTTGTTTCTGGGCAAAACACAGCTGATGGGGAATTTTTCCCTCTAGGTGAACCTGTTTCTGCTCCTCCCTGCCCGTTTTTGCAGTGGAAATGCTGAAGGCCACGGAGCTGTTCCTGTCACAGCCAGCCAGGCTGGGATTCAGTCCTGCAGGGAGCGAGCTTGGCAGCTGGAATTATGACCTCCAAGAGTTATGATCCCGTGGGGTTGTAGCCTGCCTGGATCTTTTTTTTTTTTCTCTGCCTCATGACAACACCTTTCAGCCCAGCTCAGATCCATGAGATTTCAGGCATGGGTTTCTTTTACCTCCTGTAAAAATCCCACCCCCGTGCTTTGCCATAAAACATTTTGCTGCTGAAGGCAGCAGGCCCAGCTGTGTCGGGCTCTGGGAAATGTGTGACCCCCTTCTTATTTTTATGGACATTCCAGTCATACCTAAAACATTTGATAGAGATTTTTATTTTTTCTTTTTTTTTTCCTCGGGCTCTGTTTGGCTCAGAACTTTTTTTTTCTGCTCACGTGCTCTTCACCAGCAAGTTGGTTTCTGCTGTGCTTCAGCCTCTCACCAGCAGTTCCTGGTGCTGTGTCCAACAGAGAAGGACTCACCAGGGCCTTCAATCCAGGAAGTTTAGCTCCCAAATTACAGTGGTAAACCACGGCTGTGAGTGCATTTTACTCTCTGGTTTCTCCCTCAGCGTTTCAGGGCTTGTGTGTGGTTCAGCAGTGCTGAATCTGGATCACATCCTGGAGCTGGGATGTCAGGGTCACCCACTGGTCTCTTTTAAAATCTAGATCTTTTTTCATCTGTTTTCTTCTGGGTTAGTCACTTACTGCAGATATATCGGTTTCCTCCTCCCTCCAGGATTCAATCTCTGATTTAATCACACCCCCGGCGTGGATTTTAAGAGGGATTGTGACTGTCTGAAGCCTTTGGCCTCCCAGTGACCTTGCTGGAGCAATTTAGGCTGGATGGGCTTCCCCCTCTGCCCCCCTCAAGCGCAGACAGAGCAGTTTGTCAGCAAAATGGTCTTTAAATGTCTTCCTGTGGCAAAGTTAACGAGCTTTTAATGGCATTCTGCAGTGCTGTGCACGGAAGGGTGGCTGCTCCTCCTCCCCTGCGGCTCTGACTAACCTCCCCCTGGCCAGAGCTCCAGTCTGGCTCTTTTTTGGAGTTTCTCACCTATCCAGAGAGGAGGAGCTGTGCAGACAGGGAGCTGGTCCTGCCTCCACCACCTTGTTTTCCAGATCTGGAGTTTTTCAGAGAGCAGCTGGACAGCCCAGAGCTCTTTTATTTTTTTTTTTTTTTGGGGGGGGGAAGGAGGGGGGGTTTTCTCTTCTCTGAGCTCTGCAAAGCCCTGGGTGGGCAGGAGGTGTTGGTGTGTGTCCAGTTACTCTGGTTTTACTCACCTGTGAAGGCAGTAAAGGCTGTATTCCCTTGGTCTCCACGCTGAGGGAGGAAGGGTGTGTACTGGCTGGGAATTGTTGTGTGCACAGATGAGATCCAGCAGTAATTTGAACCTTTGAGGGATCTCACCTGAGCTCCCCCAGAGCTGTACCTGGAATCCTCAGTGAGTCCCCATCTGCTCTTCCAAACTGGGGTAAACAAACAGGACAGACCAGGAGTGGGAGGCACAAGAGGTGTGTGGGAGGAGAAGGGAAGTGCTCCAGCAGCCACTGGCTGTTGTTCCTGCCAGAAACAGTGGGAAGAATCCCAGGGCACTGAACGTTTGCCATGACTTCCTCAGGTGAGACTTTTTATTCCAGCTGTCTGTGATGCTTTAGAGAAGGAGGAAGGACCTGTGTGGTGACCAGGAGGAAGGATTTCTTTTATTGACCAGGAGAAGGGGCTGTGGGTGGGGTTGAACCTGTCCCAAAAGCAAAGCAGGACACGTGAGATCACCTGAAGGTGCCAGGGGAGTTTTATCTTGCTACAATCCCACAAGTTCCTGCAGGTTCCTCTCACTCAGGTGGAGTGATCTCATCCCTCACATGACTGGCAAGTTCTGCTCTGTGAACTGTCACATCACCTGAGCCAGGTACAGCACCTGGAGGCTTTTGGGTTTGCCTTTGTCCTCCCACGGTGACTCTCCAATTTCCACGGATCTGGGCTGTGGAGGCAGGATCTGGCTCTGTCAGGCAGGATGTGTTACCCCTGTGTCTCTTTTCCCAATAGAAGGGGAAGATTAAAAGCATCACTTTGTTATTTAACTGCTTTTTAAGGAAAGACCTGGTCCGCGTGGAGGCCACAGTGATTGAGAAGACGGAGTCGTGGCCCAAAATCCACATGCGCTTCTGGAAGAGGCACAACTATCAGAGGAAGAAAAGTAAGAGGGAGAGAACACATCTCCTTCCCTGCTGGCTGTGGGAGGGGGAGGTATGATGGCACAAGGGTCTGAGGAAGGTTGTTCTCCGTGTGCCCACAGCCCCTCAGGGCCCAGCCCACCGCCCCCAGCGTGCCCACGGAGCACCAGGGTTTAATATCCCCTCAGTCCAGGACCTTGTGTTCCCTGACCTTGCTGGCAAGAAACTTCCTGGGCTGGAAAGCAATCCTGTTCTCTCTCCCCAAAGCCTTAAAACATTGGATGTGTCGTCACAGGTACCAGCGAGCCTGGACAGGGTCCTGTGGCAGGTTTTGGTTGCCAAATGACTCTCCCTTCTGTGAGAGGGGGGGGGGAAAATTATGGCTGGTTTTGTATGGAATGGATGGTAAAGCCTTGACCAGACTGCCCCAGTCCCATGGGAGCCCTGAGACCAGGTGGGCACTGGCTTTGCGCTGTCACCTGATCCTGATCCTTTCTTTCCTCTTCTTTTCCAGTCATTAGGAACCCCCAGACCGTCCTCCGGATCAACACCATCGAAATCTACCCGTGTTTGTCCTGATTGATTGGGGGGGGGGGAAGGTGTGGCTGGGAATCATCGTTGCTCCAGGCAATCATGGAAACAAAACTGCCTCAGCACTGGAAAGTCCTGGACTTGCTGCTGTAGTGGGAAATGGAAACTTCTACGTGCTGTCTTTTCAAAATAATGAAATATTTTTTGAACTGTCATTTCAGCCTCGATGGTTTTTATTTGCCAGGAAGTTTTAAACACCTGGGATCCATGGCTGGCTGCCCAGCCTCTTCGTGCCTGGTGCATCCTTTTGCCTCCACACCTCTCTGGAAGCTTTAGGAATTCAGGCTCTCAAAAAGCTCTGGTCGTGTAATTCCCGGCATTGTGTGGCTTCAGGGAATGCCCACAGCCCACGGGACTGAAAGGAGCTGTGAAACAAGGTGACTGCAGGGCCCCCAAATCTACTCCCAGATCGTGGCAAGGGGTGAAAATCCTTCTTAAGGATTAGCAGTGGGAAATGGAGCTGGAAAATTGCCCTCCTGAAGGTGAGCAGCACTGCACTGTCTGCGTGTGTAACACTTGAAAATAAGACACTAGTCACTCAGGAGGGGTTTGTGCCTATCTCAGAGTTGGGTTTTGACCTACTGAGTGTATTCCTTGTCTAGATCCTGGTGTTTTCCTTGCCTGCATGTTGAGCACTGTCCCTTTCTGAGCAGCACATGCAAGGCCAGGTGTATCCAGGTGTACCCAGCCAAGGTTTGTAGGTGTTTCTGGGCTGGGTATCAACCAGAAGGATTCTTAGGGAGTTTCTCAGCAGGCTCTTGGGGGGGGTAGCTGTGGGATTCCCTGCAGTCACCACGGGAAGGGATAACAGGCCCTGCTCACCTGGTCACTTCCCCAGGGAACATCTTGCTTCAGGCTGGGAGGAAATCCATGTTTGGTGTCCTTGTGCCCCACCACGGTGGCTCCTCCTGGGACCAAGGTCGCCAGAACCCTGTGCTGAACAAAGTGAAGGTTTTGATCCATCTGGGGCTTGTCCTGGGTGTCCAATCTCACCATTCCTTCAGGAAATCACTTGAGGTGCCAGCTTGCTTTTCACCTGCCTGACTTCAGCCGGAGAAGGATCCACATGGGGGCCTGGGTTGAGCTGGATCTGCAGAGGCTGACTCACCCCTTCCTATCTGGGATCCTCTGGCATGGATAGCCCTTGGGAATGCTGCTCCTTCCCTGCTGCTGAGGTTGGACGCCCGGTTTTAAACAGCTGATGGATGACTTGGATCATCACATCCTTGTTCCCAAGCTCTTAAAACTGAAGGGGCGGGGAGACCCTTCCAAAAATCATCTCCCACCTCTCCCCTTCTCCCACAGGTGTGATTCCAGTGGGCCCACAGACCCCAGCAGCAGGCAGAGAGGGTGTTGTGGGCTGGCACGAGGTGCCTTCCTCCGGATACAGGCTGTTCCTGATCCACAGCGGAAGCAGCTGAAGGAATTGGACTGGAAACCCTCAGTCCCTCTGTGTTTAGGTGCTGGGGCTAAGAAACAGCATGTCTTGGCTTTAAGGGGATGTGGCAGGAATGTTCTGTCCTTCCCAGATAGGAAGGAACGCTTGGAAATAACAAGAGATTCAGGGCTTGGAAACATGGAGGGAAGAGGCCCGTGTGGAGTCAAAAGAAAAGCAAGTGGCTTAAGTTCTGTAAGACTGAGCCCCCAAAAAAGCCCTTGGGAATGTGATTCTGATCCAAGTGAGATACTGTACAAAATCAGGGTGGTTTCACAGCGTTTTGGGGGAGAAAAATGCGGGAAGAGAAAATCAACCACTATCAGAAAGTTTTTTTGTTTGAAAATTTAATACAAGATTAGAGCAAAGTGTTCATTTTTTGTTGGAATTATTCATTAAGACTGAGGGAAAAGGGGATTATCTTGTTTCAGGGGAATTTAAAAAAAAAAAAAAAAGGCATTTTGCAATTCCAGGTGGAAGCAGAGAGATCCCTGTTTTTCCATGGAGAAGTCACAGGTCTCCCTCTGGCTTCATGTGTTGGGGAATGATCCTTGTGACCCTCTTCCTGGTGCTAAATAGCACTTACATAAGAAAAGGAGAGGAATTTTTCACCAAAGCGGGTTTGTACTGATTCATGGTGGGAATTTATCTGTTAGGACAGAACATCACGTCGGATCCGGGTGGAATTCGAGATCCTTTGCCCAGAGTTAGATCCACGTGGGTCAGACAAGAACCAGGCCTGGGCTCTGGCCACCCCTGTGGCGTCTGTCCCCCCTGGAAGGAGGCTGGAGAGCCGGAGCAGAGGGCATCTGCTGGGAATCTGAGCGAATTCCAGCGCTGATCCCTGCCCGCTGGCCACAAAGCCGCTGCCTGTGCTGCTCCTCTCGTGCTTTCCAAGAATTCCGGCAGCGCTCCCGCGGCAGCAGGACAACTGGCTGTGCAGCTCTGACATTTCCCATACTGAGGAAGCGTTGTTTTCTTGCCAGCTGCAAGGTTTGCTCGGGAATAGCTGTCGGAAATCACTCAGGAGGTGCCATTGCTGCGCTGCCGGCTCTGCTCTGGCATCCCCCTGTTTTGGGCAGGAATACCCGGGTGCAGCTGAGTGGATCCCTGGCCCTGCTGCTCCCTGGATCCCAGGTGTGTGTCCTCCCAGAGTCCCTCCTGCCCTCCCCTCTCCGGAGGAGCCAAGGGAGGTGTTTGAATCCCTAATTTCCTGTGTGCTGAGCCCAGCCCTGACTTCCTCCTCTGCCCTTTCAGGAGTGGCCTGTGGCACCTGAATTCCTTTGTGGCTGCAGGTTTTTCCCTCCCCCTCGGGTCCAGCTGCTTCAGAGCGAGGTTTCCATCATTTCAAAGGCTGATCCTGTTCCAAATCCCCCCCCTCTGTGCTTCAGATGTTGCACCTTCGAGGGGCTTGGACTCGGGGTTTCACATCCTGGCAGTGGAATCATCCTCGTGACTGAAGGGGAAACAGCCCCTCCTTGTCATCCCACGGGATCACTTTTTGCAGCATTTCTGGAGGTTTAAATCACCTCCATGACGGGGTTCCTCTCCCTTCCCTGGGCACGTTGCTCTGTGTTCTAAAACCAGCTTCCCGAGCAAAGCCATTCCCGCGGTGGGAAACTTCCCGCGGCGAGGAGCCCCACTGTTTGTGGAGCCTGATGGAGCGTGGCAGAAGTGGTCCGTGGCAGTGCCCTCCTTCCCAGCAGCCAGCTCCTGTGGAAAAACAGTGCAGGACACTCCTCTGGGGACCCACAGGGCAGCAAAGGGATTTTAGCAGCTCCGTTAGGATACGTGGATCGCACGCTCTGCCAGCCCCAGGAGCTGCCGGAGTTTATCCAGTGGCAAAGCAGCTTGGAAAGCTCTCGGGACATGTTGTTCAGGCCCTGGGGCGAGGGGGAAATGCTGTTAATTTGTCCCTTCCGTGTGTTTTTTTTCCCCTGATGGCTTTGTGAAGGCGTCTTTGAACTCTGACGCGGAGCCAGATTTATTTTCCCAGCGTGATCCGGACACGCTTCGGAATCCGTTTCAGTGACAGACAGAATGGGATACCAGGAACCTGTGCTGGTTGGATTTTTCTTGTGCTAGAGGTTTTATCATCTTCTGTGGCCTAAAAACCAGCCTTTTATTAAGAAAATAAAGGGAATGCTTCCCCAGCGGGTCTGGGCTGATGCAAATCCCGCACGGAGAAGTCCGGCTGCAGCCGGAGTGCCTGGGCAGTGCTGGGGCTCAGGGCCTTTCATCTGTTTTCCCTCTTGCTATTTATAGCACGTGGAGAAGCAACTGGGATCCGTGTCCCTGCTCCTGGTGCCTCATCCTGGATGTGAACATGGGTTCACAGCTGCAGCAGGGCCAGGGATCGGGTTCGGAAGGAACGGAGCGAGTCCACGGAGGGCATGAGGAAGGTGAGGGCCTGAAGGCTGGGAGGATCCTTGGGGGTGCTGGGTTTGCTGTAACAACCCAAAATGTGCTTATTGACAGGGCAGCATGGCTTTGGTTTTATCCTCGGGGAGCATTCCCTGATGGCTCCATCTGGCATTAACTCCCCCGGCAGCCGAGCCGCACACGGGAATGTCTGTGCAGTCATCAGTGAGTGACAATTAAACGTGATGGATGAGCTGGAAACAGGTTTGAGCCCTTGAAATGGAGGCTCAGGAGAGGAGCTAAACCTTGTGGAGATACTTTGAGATGCCTTGGTCGTTTTTGAAAACTGGAGTTGGCTCCCGCATGGATTTGCTGGCATCCCGTGCCTTTGGATCATCTAATGCAGAGAAAAGGGACTGCTGTTATTTTATTTCCCTTTACTAAATAAAACCACGCCATTGCTGTCTTTCAGAAGCAACAAAGTTCAGTTTTTTTGGCAGCTGTCAAATAGCTGATGATCCAGTAGGGAAGTGGTTTGGAGTACAGAACAGGATCCCCCTGATCTGAGACTGCAGCCTGAGGAGATTTGGTCCTTTGCTTTAGGCCAACTTTTCATTTCAGTTGATTTTTTTGTTTGCAGGGCCGTGATTCATGGGAGCCCCTGGCCTCTTTCCCAGAGCAGACTCCATGTCTTTATAAAACAGCAAGTATGGAATGGCCCGGCCGCAAATATTTCAGCAGAAAACAATATCCCCTGCACCTCTCCCACCTGGCTCTGCCACAGGTGGCTTACTCAGTGATGGCAGATGATAAAGTCCTGTTTCCACTGTCACCCAGCCAAATGTTCCCTGGCAAACGTGGGACGTGGTGCTGAGTGTTCCTGTGGGAACACACATGTGGCTCCCACCATGCCAGGGAGATCCGTGCGTGAGGAGCAGGAGTTTCTCTGGGTAGTCCCCAGATGTGCTGTCGGGGACACAACCCCCTCCCAGCTGCAGGGCCCACACTGATCTTTCCCTAAAGAATCCAGGGGTGTATTTTCCTGGAGCAGCTGGTATTGGATTTGGAGGGTCACAGTGATCCAATCCAGCCTGGTCCTGGGGGTGGCGTAAAGGGAGGTGAAGTGATTTTCCCAAGGTGGTTTCCACGTTAACTCCGTGCTTCTTGTCCGTTTGTTCCCTCACCCCTGCAAATCCGTGCCCTGTTAATGCACCTGGAACTGAGGCAGGCAGAGGTGTACAGGTGTGACTGCCTGGCTTCCTTGGAGCAGCAGGAATTGTTACTCTGGATCCCCCAGCCAGGGACCTGCTGGCCAGTCCCTGCCTTCCAAAAAGCACAGGCTGTGCTTTTCCATGAAATTTGGCCATTTTTTTTTGTCACGCAACTTGCAGGAAAAGGATTTTCTCTGTGGCTTATCCCTCATTTGCCTGAAATCAGGCAATGTATTAAAACTGGTGTTTGCAGAGGATCAGGCAAGAAGAGGACTTGATTGCAGACATCTCATTTCCGTAGGAAATGGGGCTAAAAATAGGGAAGGATCATAACGGAGACTTCTTTTTCTTGACACCCTGCTGTTCCCCAGCTGGGAATCAGCTTTTGTCCCGAAATCCGAGGTTTATTGCCTCGCTGGTGTTTTCTGGGCCCCAGATGTAGCCATGAGTCTTTGGAGAAGCTGGAGCCAGGCTGTTGCCGGTGGCTGATGCACAGGGAGACACACGTGATGGCAAAGTGGGGGTTTAGGTGAGGTCTGCTCTCTCTCCAGGCTCCCCACAGCAGCCCCTGTGTTATCCTGGGCCCCTCTCCAGCACTAATCCTGCTGGCAGCTGTGCTCCTGATAACCCTCCGGGGCTGGGTGAGTGCTGATGTCTCCATAGGCACCAGCAGTGTTCCCTTTGGACATCTGATACGGGCTATAAATACCAGGTGGGTTCATGTTCCCTCCAGCACCAGTGCCAAGTCACCCAAGATGGGCAGACAGAGATCCCTGTGCCAGAGAAATGGCTGCAGCCTTTGGAAAAGGGACTGAGTCCCTGGTGTGGGCATTTGAGGGCTCCACACTCCTGGCCAGGTCCCTTCTGCTGGCGTTTGCAGCACTGGTGTCACCTGGGATCTGCACCCCACAGGCCAGTGGCGTCCTGGGCTCTGATGGAGACAGCTGAGGTGTTGCCAAGCTTTTCCCTTTTTTCCAGGACACCCAACACACATCCCTGCCTGCTCCAGGTACTGCTCTGAGCTGTTTACTCGTTACCTGCACACCTTGTTCCTGGGTACACCCTTACACTGGTGTTTAACAGCCTGGTGATGCTGCTGCACCAAAACACACTAAATTTGGTTCCAGGCCTGGTGTGAAGTCCTTGCTCTTTGATATCCATGGGGATTTTAGTCGGTGGTTTGTGTTGGAGCCGGGGTTCACTCCTTTCCCTGCTTGTGGTTGAGGGGAAAGGCTGAGGCTAACCCACCTCCACTCACCTTTATTAATTTGTCTTATGCACAGACGTGGAGGAAATCATGATTTCAGGCAGGGATTTAGGGACAGGCAGCACCCTGGCCGTTGGTTGCCTGGCTGGGGAGTTGTTGCACCACTTCTCCAATTCTTTCCTCACTTTCACAGACTCGTGGGATCACAGGATCATTTGGGTTGGAAGGGACCTCGAAGCCCACCCAGTTCCACCCCCTGCCACGCACAGGGACACCTTTCACCGGCCCAGGTCGCTCCACGCCCCGTCCAGCCCTGTCTTTGCCCCTCTGCGGTGAGCAGCTCTCCCGGCCGGCTGCGAGGGGTCCGGGAAAACTGAGCTACGATTCCCGAAGAGCCTCCGGGACGGGGTAGGAGGAGAACGAGGAGTAGGAGGGCGGCATCAGCCGGGGCTGAGCCCAGCCCGGCCCCCGGGGCGGAGCCGGTGCAGCAGCGCCGGGGAGGACGGCGGAGCCCGGGGCAGCCCCGGCCCGACGCCGGGATGAGCTTCCCGCGGCCCCTGCGCCGCTCCGTCAGCCTCAGCCCGGCCCGCACCCTGCGCCTCGTCGTGCTGGGGCAGAGCGCCGTGGGCAAGACAGGTAGGACGGGGCTTCCCCCTCATCCTCCCGGTGTCCCCCCGGCATCTCCCGCCAGCACCCCTCCGGCATCCCCGCATCCCTCCGGTATCCCTCCGGCATCCCTCCGGTATCCCTCCGGCATCCCTCCGGCACCCCCCGGTACCCTTCTGGCATCCCCAGGCGTCCCCCCGGTATCTCCCCTTTGGCTTCTTCCCGGGCAGAGGGACCGACCCTCCCGTGTCCCTTAGAAAGCCGGGATGGGGAACATAACCTCGGTGTCCCCCAGCTCACGGCGTTTGAGGGCACCGAGTTTCCCTCCCCTCGAGTTCCCCGCGTGGACACTTCGCAGCCGGGGCTCGTCCCTCGGGGGGTTTTCCCGTGCCCGAGGGGTCCCCGGCTGCGCGGGAGTGGTGGGTCCGGGGGGGGCACATCGCTGACCGGGAGAGCTTTCCCAAAAGCTGGGCTCGGGTTTGGGCTTTCCTAGGTGTTGGGAGTTCGCCGCTCATTCCCGGCGCCCGCAGCGGCTTTGCGGAGCCTCCTGCACGGCGCCCTGGCTGTTTTCCTTCAGGAAAACTCTCTTTCCCTGCGCCTTGCTCGGCGCTCTCCGTCTGCGCCCGTCGGGGCGGGGGTTCGGGATGCTCTGCCGGGAGCATCTCAGCTCCTTCCTTCGCCGTATTCCTTCCTGGGGATCATCCTTTCCCCCTTCCCACTCCTCTACCCCGGGCTGTGAGCACTTGGGGGCAAAGGTGCCCTCGGCGGCACCCAGCGTGCCGGGAGGGGGTCAGAGGCAGGGGAAGGTGTGTATTCATGTGGATCCGCACCGGTTTATTGCAATGATCCGTGACCCGTGCAGAGCCTGGGGGAGCCTTTGGGACACAGCCAAGCTGCCACGTCCTCGGGGAAAGGGAATGTCCTGCCCCTTTGGAAAAGGCATCACCTGTGCCGGTGCCGCAGCACCGGCGGCTGTTGCAGCCGCTGGAGTTGCTTTTCTGTGCACAGCAACTGGCACTAGTGAAAAATTATAATTCCCTGATTGAATTAGAGGAGGCAGCTCCCAGCTCTCCATGAGCAGCACAGGAGCACGGGATGGGGCTCAGCTCTGCAGTACCCAGAGCAGCACCAGGGCAGTATTCGGCCTCGACAGAGCAGATGGAGCCTGTACAGCACACACAGACCCTTTGGCTCACCCCCACCCCGACCTGAACACGTGTCTTCCTGCTGGTGTCGATCCCACCCAGCACAGAGCGGATTCCTGGGAGCTTCAGGCCCTTCCTGCAGGGTCTGTTGCGCCTCCTGCTTCGGGTGGGATCGTGCTGAGGGTCTTTAAAAGTTCCTCCAGTTGGGCTCAACTGTGGCTTCTGTTGGTGCCATCGACACTCGTGTCCTCCAGCAGTGGGGTTTTTGCCCGTGTGATGGTGACAGAGGCCACGGAATCAGGGCACAGGGAGGTCATTGATACGTGGCTCCTGCAGAGGAGTGTGCCAGGAACAGGGAGCAGCCCCCAGGATGTGAATGGGCCCCACACTGGAGCATCACCAGGACGAGCTGCTGCGTCCACCCTGCAGGACACAGAACCAGGCTGGGAGAGCCGAGGGGTGGGAACAACCAGAGGGTAACTCATATCTGGGCAGCTGCAAGAGGGAAAAAAATCTCCTTAATTCTCAGAAAGAGTTTGGGGTTTTTTGGAGCAGTTTGGAAACCTTCAGGGTGTGGTGATCTGAGGTCACAGACCCTCCGAGTAGGAAGGGGGGTTGGGGGCAGCCCTGTGGTTTAAGGGTCTGGGCTGTGCGTCTCACCCTCGGGAGCTGGAAACGCAGCCCGGCCAGGGCTTGTGTTATCCTCTGCTGCTGCTGCCCAGCGTAAACTTTGCCATAATCCAGAGCAGAGCTCTGCTGCAGCACGTGGACAGAAGATGGATCGGTGCTGGACACCGTTCCACAGCAGCACAAACAGGGCAGCAACGTGGGCAGGCGCTCAGAGCAAACAGGAGGTGCCCAGCCCTCCCCGTGGCAGGTAAATCACCCCTCGAGCCCACAGCCACCCCTGGAGCCCAGGTTCTATACACAATTAACCCTTTCAGCTCCGGGGCTCTCCTCAGAGAGCCCTCCCCGGGGTTACTGATGTTCAGGATGGGGAAAGAAACCTCCTTATAAGGCTGGGTGGCCACGGCCGCTCTGCCTGCGGCCGCTTCCCCCATTGGCAACTCCGCTCCTGTTCCTGCGCTCCAGCCAATTTTTAATCAATCTAATTGGCTCCTCTTCTCATCCCACAGCATGTGCTCCAGCTTTGGGTGGCTGCCTGACATATGACACACAATCAGGTGCTTTCTACAGACCGAGCCTGGCTCGTCCCACTCCCCCTGATAATTCCATTGCCTCTTTGAAGGTGCCGATAGGTGCCTCCTGCAGGGATCCCTGGTTATCTCCTCAGAGCAGTTTGGCTAAATTACCTGCTTTTCCCATCAAATCCCTTCCCTGCTGGGCAGGTTTAAACCCACAGGCGGATTGGGGGGTGAGGGGATGGTGAATCCCCCAAACAGGAGCCGGGCAGGTTGCGAGAGGCAGGAGAAGCTGTTGGGGCTGGTGGAGCAGGAAGCCTGACTTAGGTGGGATGCCACATTCCTGGGACAAGCACACAGATCTTGACTGGTCTGGTGTGGGTCTATAAGGGCAGGACACTGGGAATATCTGCTGATGGGCAGATGGGACCAACTGACCCCAGGATGCACAGGGAAGGTAAGCTTGGAGCGTCGTGCTGGCTTGGTGTTGGATTTTTACATCCCCCCTTGTGTTTCTGGAGGGGTTTTCATCACATCCTGGTTCTGCTGAGGGTTATTCTCCCGTCACACTCCTGCTCTGTTCCCTTCCTCCCGCTGCACTGGCACCTGGTGTGCAGCTTCTCCATCCTCTCCCTCCTGGATCCGCACTCCTGCCTTGCTCTGGCTGTTCTTTTTTCCCCTGTTCCCACTCGTTTTCCTCTAATTTCCCTCTCCACTCCTGTTGCCTTTCCAAGCCAGCTCTCAGCCTCTCCACTGCCTTTCACTCCCATCTCCATTACCATCATTAACAGCTTGAATGGCTCAGGAACCACTTCCACCCGTGCTTCTGAACTCTCTTCAGCTTCCCAACCACAAATTTCCCCCCAGGCGTCGGTGCCACTCTCCCCATGGCTGGAAATTCCTGTCTGGAGACTTTGCACCATGGCAAAGCTTTTCCTGCCTCTCACAGGAAAATCTGAGGAGCCTGTGGAGGTCTTTTGCAGTGCCCAGGGAGCTTGCCCACCTCCCAGCCCTGCTCTGGAGCCAGGGTCTGGATCCCTCAGCCTGGTTGGCTGGGATTGATGAGAGGCAGCCAGGAGAGAGCCCTTGCTGTGCTGATGGAGTGGCTGGGCAAGGCTACAGCACCAGCAGCCCTCACCCTGCCAGCAATTTGGGAATTGCCTGGCTTGGCTCTGGCACAGGGAAACCTGTAATTGGATGAGGGGGTTTAATTGCCCGAGCTGTGGCTGCTCCTGCTGCTCCTTGCCCTTGCAAAGAGGAAAAATCGTTGCAAAGGAGCAGATCCCTGTGTTGGTGCTGTGGCAGCATCAGAAGGGGCTGGGGTGCTGGAGGCCTTGCAAGGATGAAACTGGTCCCCAGTTGTGCCCAGCATCCCAGGGATGTGAATTCCCAGGCTCAGGCATAGCAGGGAGGGGATGTGAGGACCGAGAATGGGCTGATCCTCCAGACACCAGCTCAGCTCCTCTCCCAGCTCCTGGTGTCGCTTCCAGCGCTGCTTTCCTGCAAGGCATGGCTGGCCTAGGGAGGAGATCCTGGTTTGCCGTGCCCTGTGTTCCTCCCACTTTGGCCTTTTGGTGAATTCCATGAAATTTGGTGCCAGCAGCCTTCCCTTCTCCACGTGCTGTGTCTGGGTCAGGTTAAACAGACTGGGCTGAAATTCATGGGACCCCTCCCACAGGTCCCTGCTCCATCCATTCTGCAGGTTCCTGCTCTGTTCCTCCTCTACATCCCTGCTTCATCCTTCCCACAGATCCATCCTCCATCCCTCCTGCCTCAGGCAGCTGATGTTTCCCTGCAGTTTGATCTGACAACCATAACAGGCTTTGTTGTGTTTTTATTTCCAGCATTGACCGTACGATTCATCACCAGGAGATTCATTGGAGACTATGATCCAACTCTGGGTAGGGAAACTCCTTTTCCTTGGTGCTGTCACAGAGTTAACTGTCCCGAACTCACCACATTCCCTCCTGTTCCTCCTTGTCCAGACTGGCAGTGGGCAGAGCCCCCAGCCATCCTGGCCTCTCCCTGGTTCCTGAATCCCTTTTTCCCTTTCTGTTGTTATTATTATTATCCATTTTCCCTCTGCTGCTCCATGACCCCATGTTGCTCCCACGCTTTAGTCACTGCTGCCCCCTCAGCCATCCACGTGTCCTGGGGTCTCTGGTGCCATGGGAGATGCTGGGCCTGATGCTACAGCACAGGGCTGCCCTTCCTGGGCATGGAAAGACGGGCTGGCTCAAGATGTGGCCTTGAAACAGAGGCCACAGGGCTGTGGGATGCAGCAGGTGAAAATCCACTTCTCTGTCACGGCTCCATCGCAGCCACCCGGGCTGTGGCTGCTCCCCTGGGGTTCTCTCACACACCTTTGTTGTCTGTCCCCCCCAGAAATGATCTACAGGCACGTGGCTGTCATTGACGGGGAGATGGTGCACTTTGAGATCCTTGACACGGCAGGACAGGTGAGCTCAGGCCGTTCAGAGCCCGGGAGAACACCACTGGAGCAGAGCAACCTGCCACGGAAGGCCATCCCCGCCCTCCCACTGGCCTTAACCCGTGGTGTCTGGGATACCCCTCATGGTGTCCATCTCAGAAAAAGGATGCCTTGGTGAATTTATGTCTCTCTAATGTCAGTCACAGTGTGGCTTCAGGGGAATGTTTCCACATTCCCGTTGCTGGTGCGTGGCACCGCTCTGCCGGTGGAGCATCCTGGTGGCTCCAGGGAGCAGTGATTCCCCCCTTACCCGTGCCAGGACAAGGCTGATGGCCGTCCCCATCTGCCACCACGTCCCTGCCCCAGGCATTGCCTGCAGGTCACTGCTCTCTGCGAACCCACAGTCAAAACCTTCCCGGGGACGGGGCCGGGCCCTCGGGAGGTTTTTCCGGGTCGCAGCCCGGCAGTGCTGGAATTCCAGGGGCGTTAACTGGAGCCCGTCTGCCCCGGCAGGAGGAGGACTCCCTGCAGATCGAGGAGAAGATCAAGTGGGGCGACGGCTTTGCCGTGGTGTACTCGGTGACCGACCGGTGCAGCTTCGACGAGGTGATGCGGCTCTGCTTCCTCATCAACCACCTCCACGCCAGCCCCAAGCGCAGCGGCGGCGCCGAGCAGCCCCCCGTCGTCATCGTGGGCAACAAGAAGGACCTGCAGTTCGACAGGATGGTGTCCACAGAGGACGGCGAGAACCTCTCCAAAGCCCTGAAGCTTCCCTTCTACGAGATCTCCACCCGGGACAGCTACGAGGAGCCAGTGGCCGTGTTCAGCAGCCTCTACCAGGAGCTGCTGAGGCAGGGGCACTTCTCCCCGGGCTCCTTCAAGAGGAGGACAGTGTCCAAGCTGATGGAGAAGATTCCCAAGATGCAGGCCAGCTCCACCCTGAACTCTGTGGGCCGGAGCCTCAGCTTTAACTCCTTCAGGGACTACATCCCTGAGTGAGTGTCCTGGCTCCAGGACGGCGGGACGGCTCATCCTGCTGCTCCAGCCCCAGGGTCAAGGGAGGCTGGTGGGGCTGTGCCGGCTCCCCAAAGGGGAAGGTGGAGAGTGGGGAGGGTGGGATTGGGATACAAGAGCCCGTGGGTTCTTACAAACAGGCTTTGTGCCAGCAGGGAAGATGTTCTTCATCCCTCTGACCCCTTTGTTCCCTCTTCCCCCTCCTGCATGGCTGCAGTCAGCAGCACCTTGGCCCTTGGTGACTTCAGTGGTGTTGGGCCGACCTTTGGAGGCTCAGCTGTGTTTTGGCAAGGTTCAGATCCAGCACAGGCACATCCAGGGGGTCTTTCCTTACTGCCCTAAGCTGGCTGTGTCTGTCTGCGCCCCAAATCCAGCCCCCACAATGGGTGACCCTGAGGGCTGCACTGGCTCCTGGAATGCCACCAGCTGTCCCTGCCCTGGGGATGGACCCTGCTGCCTCTGCTGCCCGCTGTGGCTGGTAAAACCCCCTGGATTCTCAAACCCTGCCAGCCCATCCAGCTGCTCCGGGGGTGATCCCTGCCCACACCCACCCCTAAGTGCCCCCAGACCCTTGCACCGTACGGAGGAGGGTGACAGGGGGCTGTGTCCCTCTCTGCCTCCACTGCTGTCCCCCAGAGAACCAGGCCAGCTGGGTTTGCCCATCTCCAGCCCCTGCCAGAGGCCAGGGCTGAACTTCCATCCCGGTTTTCCCCTGGATTTGCGAACTGAAGCGGCTGTGGAGGGGCTGCTGGAGCCCCTCTCCCGACCGGCTGCACACGGCTGGAACCCCGAGCACGTTACAGCAAACAGGGATCTGTTTACAGCGGGGGGAAAAGCCTGCTAATCCCTGGCTTTTCCAAAAAGCCATTTTTTAACATTTCAGGCCCCTTGGCTTGCTCTCCTCTAGTGAGACTGTAAATAAACCCTGGAAGAAGGGCAGCAGATGCTCCATCCCTGCTGAATCCACCACCTGCTCCCTGCTTTCCAAGGTTCCAAGTCACCCCAGGCCTGACATCTCCACCTCGCCGGGGCAGCCCATCCCTGGGGGAGGCAAATCGACCTGCCCAGATTTCGGATGCACACCGAGCCCTTAGGCTCAGATCCCCCTTCTCCATCCCAGAAGAGCAGCATTCCCAGGGCAGCTTCTCCCGTTGATGCCCTGCCGCTCAGCAGCAAGGACACGACGGAGCCGATTCCAGGAGGTACAAATGCTGTTGCTTGCAGGGGCCCCTGTGTCTGTTCATTAATTTCCCCATTCCCAAAGGGAGAATCACCACGGGCTGAGAATTTGTCTGTTTGCACAGGGATGGGGCAGGAAATACATGGGAAGGATCCAGGTCACAGCTCACGTTTCCCTCCCTCCCTGCCAGTGCTGGGGGCTCTGTGGCTGTTCAGGGTGGCTGTGCTGGGACCTTGTGGTGTGACCTCTCCCTTGTCCCCCCTGTTGTGACCGACCCCATTGTCTGCTGCTGCGTCCTGTGACAATAAAAGCCGAGTTCCCAAGCACCTGTGCTGCTCCCATGGGTTATTTTTAGGGTGCTGGGTCCCTCTCAGGGAGCAGAAGCAAAGGGGTGAGTGTTGTGGGATCACCTTAAATTAGGGCTGGGCATCCCCCTTACCCTCTACCCATGCCCAAGCACCATGAGCTGTCCTGGGTCCCTCCATCCCTAGGGATGGGAATGGCTGGATGCGTGCCTGGGAGAGCTTCCCTGGAGCATCACAGCCTGGGAAACCACTTATCCCACATCCCCAACCTGCCATGGAACCCACTTGGACACCCTGCAGCTTCCAAAAGTGTTTCCTGGCGCTGCCTGGGTCTGTCTGAGGGGTTTCCCTCCAAGGGGTTTGTTAAATCCCACCTTTGTCCATACACCTTGAGGGGAAAAGGAGCCCCATGAGGGGGCCAAGCCAGGACAGTAATTTGTGGCTGTTCCTTCCCAGCACCTTCATTAAAATCCCAGTTTTATTGATTTATGTTTAATCTAGGGAATTAAAGTTCGCTCAGGGCTCTGCACAGGGGGAGAGCTGGACAAGGTTTGGGTTTTTTTTTGTTTAATTTTAGAGAGTTTATAGCATTCCCAAGGGAGCTGAACGGTGGGAGCTGGGCTGAGGTTTGTGATAGGGCAGCTGGGGTGGGTGTTGCTGCCCTGGCAGGAATTTGGGAAGTGCTGAGCCAGCTGCTGGGATGGGGAGAGAAGAGCTTAAGAAGGATTAAACCCTGCTGGGATGCTGGACACATGCTCAAATCTGTCATTGCACAGGCTTTGGGTGCCTCATCCACATTGCTCAGTTCCCAAATATCCCCCCAAGGTTTGTCCAAAGGGCTGGATTTCCCTTTGCTGGCTCGATCTCCAGGTCAGTGCAGTGCCAGCTACGGCAGAATCCTGCAATATTCAGCAGGAATTATTCCAAGAGATGGATGAAAAAGGACCAGCTCGTGAGCAGGAAGCAGGGCCAGTGCTGGAACAGCACCCCCAGCATTCCTGGGAATGGAGGGGTGCTGGGCACGGCTGGGATTGCTGTCCTGGATTAACCCCAGTGTGTTTTATACCCCAAGGAATCCAGAAAGGTCTCCAGCCAAAAGCTGCTGCAGCCCCTCACCAGGACTCCTGGCCCTGCCTGCCCACTATAATTAGCACAAAACCTCATTAGTGCTGGGCTCTGCTTTGGGAGAGGCCAGGGGAGCTGCCAGGGCTGGTAATTGCTAATTACTGGAAGCCCCCCTGGTTGGCTCTCCAGGGGGGAGATTCCCCTCCCGGGTATAAAATCTTCAGGATGCAGCATCTGTGATGGGTGGGGACAAGTCTGGGGGGTTCCCTCTGTGTGGATCCTGGGGGGCAGCACTGGGGTAACCCCATAAATCCTAAATTGGTGGGGTGGGGGGTGTGCAGGAGTTGGGCAAGGAAGGAAATGGAGAAGAGGAGGAAGAAAAAGAAGGGAACTAAGAAGAAAATGAAGAGGAGGAAGAAAAAAAGACAAAGAAGAGGAGGAAGTAAAAAAGACAAAGAAGGGGAGGAAGAGGAAGATCTGTGCCTTCCTCAGAGCAGAGCCTGCAGCTTCAGAGCCCCGGGGAGGTGAGTCCAAGCCAGTTCCCTGGAGAGGAGGAGCCCAGAGCTCCGTGGGGACGTGTGACCTGCAGCCTCCTCCCTGCAGAGCAGGGCCGTGCCACCAAAACTACACCCCAGGGCATTTTTGGGATGGAAGCCGGGAGCGAGGGCTGGGGTTTGGTGTGCCTTGGAGCTCTCCCAAAAGAACCACGACTGTCCTTAGGGAGCACAGGGCTTCAGGGCTGCTAATGACCCCCACAGGGAAGAGGGATGGACGGAGCCGGGGTATCCTGTGGCAATCCCCTGGGTGGGTGTTCCTGTGTGTGGCTGGGAGGTGTCACTCCTCTGGGGACACGTGGCTGTCAGGAAGGTTGTCCTGCACCTTTCCAGCTCAGCTCCACAGGAAGAGTTTTGATCTCATCTCCCAAACAGCATCTCCAGGGCCGGGATTGGATTTGGCAGCACGTGGGCTGCGAATCTGCTCAGCAGGTTTCTAGGAAGCTTGGGAGAGGCAGATGAAGCAGAAAGGTCCTTTCCAAGAGCTCCCTCGCCTGTGGTCACCTCCAGCAGCTCCCTGGCATGTCAAGCCTCCCCATTACCCCCTCTTAACCCCTCTGCCAAAGGGTTTGCTGGAAAACCAAGGGATTTTGGAAGACCAAAATCACGGGCTGAGGTTATGGGGTGCAGCTGCTTTCTCTTGGCAGCCACATCTTTTATCAGCAGTTGTGCCTTGTTTTAAGAAAAAAAATAGATAGTTCGGGCTTTTTGAAGGCTTTTCCTGGAGGAGCAGCACATGGATCTGGCCCTGCTGCAGCTCCAGCCCCATTCCTGGGGTTATGGGGAGAGCAGAGCTGCCAATGGCCCCTCCCAAGCAGGTGCTGCCTTTGGACACCCCAAATCAGCACCTCCACCCCACTCTGAGGGATCTGAGCTCAGAGCAGGAACACTGAGGGTGTCTGAATGCTACAACAATCCCTGGATTTAAGATGCCTGGGCTCAGTCTGGGAGTGCAAGGGGGGTGAGTGCTCCATGGAGGGGTTTTCCTCGGCACAGCGGGCTCCTCTCTCCCCACATTAGCAAGTTTAGGGAATATTGTGCATTAGGGTTTGGTCCCTGCCTCCTTCTCACCACCTTGGTTATTCCCAAAATATCGGGCTGTGCCTGGAGGGAGAGGGGACAAGGGATACACGGGGGCTGTTCCTATCCCACCAGCACCAACCGGAGTTGGCAGCTGGAGCTTTGGACTTTCCAGCTAGAAAATTATCCATCCATGGGTCACTGTGGGTGCTCTGGGCTGTCCCCCAGACCACCCTCTCCCCAGAATCTGCTGCTCCATGTGAGACTTCCCTGAAAGCACGGATGGGCTGTGGATGGACACAAAGAGCCCCCTGTGTCCGGGTGCTCCTGGTTTGGGAGACATGATAGGGATGGGAAGGGACAGTCGTCCTGCAGTCACTTCCAAGGGCTGTTCCTGTTGGTAAAGCTCCATTGTCATTCCAAGTCCTGCTGCTCATTTGTTGCTTTATGAATAGCTGTGGAGTTCATGGAAACCTGGAATTGTTTTCCAGGAGGAAATCTGGGCTGAGATTTGGGTGTTTTGGAGCCGTATCACCCTTTTTGCTTCTTTTTTCTTTTAAAGCGATAAATGTCCCAGCTGGAATAAGAAGCACAAGGCTTCCTAAGGCATGGAGAATTCCAGCACAAGCCAAAGGCTTTTGCTGGCACTGAAAGGAAAGACTGGGAACTGCAAGGGGAAGGAAAACCGACGGAGAACACCCACCACAGCACATCGGCTGGTTTATTCCCGGGACGGATTCTGAAGGCACCTTCTCCCATGAGACAAACCTTGGGAGAGCGGGAGGACAGTATATCCATGTACATCCGTGCTTCCAGCTTCAGGTAATCCACCCTGCCTCACCACTGTGTCTCCCAGCTTGTGGATATCATGGGAAAATGGATAAAAAGTGGGGCTTTGGTGTAGTGGGTTTTTGGTACCACAGGATCCGTCCCCCCAGGGAGAGTTTGGGATGAGGCTGCTCCACTTGACTGGGGAAAGTCAAGGAGAGATGCCAAGTCCTGGAGGGCTTTGCTGCTCCCACCAGTTTTCCTTTGCTCTTGGCCAACCCACACAGCTTTCCTTTATTATTTTTTTTTAAACATTAATATTTATGAAACCCCAAACCAGCCTCCCCTGGAGGGTCTGGCCGTGCTGCTGGGAAGCTGTGGCTGTAATTGCTGGTGCTTCAAGGCTGTAGGAAAATATTGATGGAAAGGGCTGGTCCTTCCCAAGTGCAACCCCACACACATGGAAAATCCCTGTGGCTCTCCGTGGTCTCTCTTTTTCCAGCCAGACTGAAAGGTGACAACAGGACTCTTAAAGGATGTGACGTGTGATCCACAGGGTACACGGTGAAGAAAGCCTCTCTTAGGGGCTGCTGATCCTAAATCCCAGGGGGAATAACCCTTAATCCCTGTTTTCTGGGTGTTTCACCAAAAAAGCTTGGATTCCCGAGCTCTGCTTATTGGTGCTCGTGGGTTAAATGTCTTTCCAAGCCTCCCACTCCATCCTTCCCCGGGGACCTATTGGTGCTGCATCCCAAACAACCTCGAGGGCTGGCAAATCCCAGAATCCTGGAATGGTCCCCTGCCATGGGCAGGGACACCTTCCACTATCCAGGTTGCCCAGAACCCCTCAGCATCCCTGGAGCTTGGAAAGCCCCGGGGGATATTAAAAGGGAAACTTAAGGTCCTTTCAGCCCTGCAGAGTCAGGAAAGGAGGAAAGATGCTCCACTTTGCATAGGAGGAGACTTAAGAATGTATAACAAAACCCCAGCTACTGGAAGCAGGGGGGCAGGACACTCTCCTGGAATCCAGGAGCCACCCCAAAATGATGGGTTTTTTTCCTGTAACGGGCCAAGGCAAAGTGGTTTTCCTTGGCAGTGTGAGGAAGATGAAGGGAGGCTTCCTGCTGCTCGCGGGAGCCGCCTCGTGCTGCGATCTGTGAGGGGCAGGAAAACTCCCAAAACTGTTCCTCCTCCCAAAACACGGCAGTTCTGGGAGGGAAGAGGGCTCAGCCCAAACCCTGCCCACGTGCAGCGCTGGGGGGGCGGGGGGGGTGCCCAAACTTGGCCAAATATTTTGTTGAAACCTCCAGCAGGACTTTTTCCCCGGGACTTGAGATGCTTTTTAAGAAAAGCTTTTTTAAAAAATCCCCCTGTTTCCTGAGATCCCACCTGGGTTTGGCCCCTCCGCACACCCTTCCCCCTCTTATCCCGCTGCATCCGCACCACCGGACATGCCATCCCGGGGTTTCTCTAATCCCACCTTGGGGGCCCCTCTGCCATCCCATGGATGTGATTTAATCGTGGGCCATGTGACAGAGCTTTGCCTTGAGCTGCTGCAGCCAAACACCACCGTTAGTCGCCCCCCCCCCCCAGCCCGTTTTAGGGTGGGAAACAGGGAGTTGCAGATCCCTGTGCAGCTTTTGGACGCTGCTGTTGCATTCCCTTCTTTCCCCTGGACAGAGGATTAATCCTTCCCAGTGCACCAGGACTCCAGGTCATCACAAAGATCTTTATTTTTTTCTCTCCTCTGCCCCGTTTCTGAAGGTTTTGCAGCCAAACCAATCCCTGCCTGGGGCACATGGACCTATAAAGCCTCATAAAATGGTGGCAAATCCCACACCAGTAATTCCATCAGCTCCGGCTGATGCTGTGGGTGAACAGCTCTGAATGACCATGGGGTTTATTCACTTCTACTTGTTCCCCTTTTCCAGGTCGTGGGGTGTGTTGAGCCCCCCGAGTGCCTGTAACTCCCCTGGTGGAAGGAGCACCCCTTCTTCCTTCTTTTTTGGATGTTTTCCCCTTAATTTTAACTTGTTTTAGGGTGCCACGGGATCTGTGACCTCCTCACTTAGTGCTTCGCACCCAGCCCTGCTCTACCTCCTACAGCTTTGCTTAACCCCTCCTGATCCGTGTTCCCAGGGGATTCCCAGCTCCTTTGGGATGGACATCCACTGTCTCACAGCTCACACCCAAGTTTTTGGGGCAGCCTGACTCATCCTTTCTCCTTATCCTGGATCCATCCTTCTCTCCTGCTCCAGAGGCCCAGGGAGAGGCTTGTCCCAACACCATCCACCCATTTTCCCTCCATCCCACACTGGATGTTGCCCCAGCTGGAATGAAAAGTTGATCCTGATGGGGAAAGGTCCCTCCAGGGAATTACTTTGAGCCACGGATGAGAATTTTCCTGGTGGATTTGGCTGTCCTGGGATTTTCCCAAAGAGCAACATCAGAGGTGAGCAGAGCTTTGGCCTTGGGGTTCAGGGCTTGGGATTGTCGGGGTTTGGCCTGGATGCACGATGGGGAATTGCTTTTAAATCCCAGGTTTTTTTATATCTTGGCAGCCAACAGGTTGTAATATTGCTTGGAAAACCCAGGTCTTCCCTGATCACCTGTAGGCAGGGTGGGATAAGCGTGAACGGTGACTGGGGCATGGAAAATGGATGGAAATCCCAGATTTCCATTTTTTTGCACTGATGGGGTTTGCAAGTGTCTCAGGAAGTTGCTTCCCTCTGCTTTGGGGTGCAGGCAGCACCCTTACCTGCAGCTCCCATTTTGGCAGCCTTGGAGATGATCTGAGGGGTGTCCAGTGGCTTTTGTGAGGTAAAAAACAGGGATAGAACCCCCAAAAATATAACAGTAACAACCGCAAAATCCAAAGCAGCAGAAGAAGGAGTTCTCAGCACTGCCAGGGCTTCTCACGTGTGGGTTCACAGGTGCGTGGTAAAGGCTCAACCAGAGCCGCCTCAAAAACTCGGCAAAAAAAAAACAAAAACCCTTTAAAATTATTCCCCTGTAAAGAAAAGCCTTTAAAACTTATTATTTTTAATTTCCTGCCCCTGTCTCTGATGAACAGCCACCTGTGGCTACGTGCAAGCTGCAGGGGAGCGGGTGGGAGGGAGGGAGCTGGTCTTAAGTAACACTCTTGAGTTAGGCTGGATCAAGTTGCCTCGGCTCGACCTCGGACGCAGCCAGGAGGGAAAACTGCCCTGGGAAACAGGAGGAAAACCTGCTGCTGGCGGGAAAACCGGCGGGAAAAATCATTGAGGAGACTTGAGAGGCTGCAACAGCATCCCTGAACCTGCCTTCAGGTAAAGAAATGTGGGGAGGGGGCGGTGGGGGGTGTAGGGGTGGGTGTGCTGTGCCAGGGGAGTCGGCACCATTCCCAACCTGCTGTCGGGCAGCGGGATGGGGGGGCACCCTGAGGTGCAGGAACAACAAGTGCCACCCCATGACACTGTCACCACAGGTGACCCCTTACCTGGGGGAGCACCAGGTGCCCGTTCCCTTGGACTCACCCAGCACCTGGACCTTGCCCATGGGTGTTTTTTGCTCTGCGCAATATCCAAATACTTTTCCAGGGAAGAGAGAAAGGAGACGGAAAGAGGATGTTGCATCCCCCCCCCCCTCTCTTTTCTCCAACCATCCTGTGATATTTTCCTGCACCCCTGGCTATTTCCTGCTGCTTCCAAATGGAGCAGTGACTTGATGCCAAACCCCAGGGATCAGCAGAGGCTGGAGAACAGCCCCGCTTCCCACCGGCCACGGCCCCATCTCCCTCCCGGGCTCTGGGCCACGCGTGTCCTCCTCCTCAGTGTCACTGTGTGGGTGCTGTCAGCCGTGCCAAGGGGCTGAGCTGGCTCCAGGACAGGCTTTGGGAGCTGAGCCTCCGTCACCGAGCCCAGCAGCAGGATCTGCCGTGGAGGAGGCTGTGGAAGGGACTCCTCTTACCTTCGGATCGGTGCGGAGAGAACAGAGCTGCAGCTTTCCTTCTTTTAAACCGTTTTTTTAATGGAATTAATTTTTTGTACATGCTTTTGGAGCGGTCCCAGGGAGTCTTTTGGAGCAACCCCAGAGGCTTTTCTTTCTCGTGCCGCTGCAGGAGGGCTGAGAAGCGGAGCATCACCATGCCCCTCTCCCGCCACACCGGCCAAATCCCAGAGTCCAACTGGACCTTGGGCTTCAGGGAGATGACGGAGCCCTGGAAAGGCGCCGTCGGCTGCCTCGGCGTGGCCGTCTTCTTCGCCATGACCATCGGCATCATCTCCTGGCAGGCCCTGGAGCAGTCCCCGGAGGAGTGGGTGCTGCGCGGCCGGGCCGGCGGGATGCTGTGGGAGCGCCGGCGCGGGGCCCTGGTGCTGCGGGCGCTGCCGGCGGGGCGGGCGGTGGCGGCGATCGCGGTGGGCGGCGTGCCGGCCGCCGAGCCCCCGCCGCCGCGGGACCACTGCTGGCACGACGGCGGCCAGTTCTGCTACTCCTGGGAGGAGGACGCCGAGCTCCGGCTCTCCCTGGAGCCCCCGGCGGGCCCCGGCACCGAGTGCTACGGCGTCCGCTGGACCCCCCTGCGCCCCGACGTGACGCTGAAGGTAACGGGGACCCCCCTGCCCAGCTCGGCATCGTTCGGGGCCCAACGAGCCAAAGCGGGCAGGGTCTGGCCTGGCAGGATTCCCCAGCTCCCGTGGAGCTCCCCAGCTCCCACAGCCTCCAGCGACCGGGTGGGAAAAGCCTTTTGGAAGCATCGTGACCTGATGCTGAGCCCCCCAAAACCCCGAGGGGCTGTGGCCGGTGCCACGTTGGAAAAGCCTTTTGGCGGCATCGTGACCTGATGCTGAGCCCCCCAAAACCCCAGGGGGCCCTGGTGGTGCCGTGTTGGTGACCCCGGGGTGGGAGAACTGTGTTTATATGGAGACAGAGTAAATAACTGCTGGAGACAATGCTGGCGAGAACCTCGGGAAGGTCCATTCCAACACAGACACAATGGGCAGCTCCCATGGGATGGGAATAACCCACTGAGGGGGGCTTTATTTTTGGTATCATTCCCTGTTTTGTCCCTCGGTTAAACGAAAGCAGGCTCTGAAAGGGAGCGTTAGGAGGGGATGGAGGAACCCTGTCAGAGTGAGGTGTCCGGTTGTGGGGAGCCCCCAGGACAGGGAGGAAAGCAGGATGGGGCGGTGTGGGACGGGGGATTGTTCCCCTTTAGCTGTAAATCACCTGTTGGCACCATTTTGGGTGGGTGGAAGGTGTTGCCTGAGCACAACCCCTGCGTACGGGGCTGGGTCCCCTTTGCTGGCGTTGGTGTGGGGTGTACGAGAGGATGAGCAAGACAGAAGAGGCTTTTCCCCACTTTTTTTAAAAAAAACAAACCATTGGAAAATATGATCCAGAGGAATCTGAGTTTAGGACAGGCTGTTTTTCCCTCTTTTCCAGCTGGTGTAACGAGTTCAGCTGACACCTGGTACATCTATTCCGAGCCTCCAGGGTTTCCACTTTAATAATTTACACCTCCTCTCCCCACCTCTTGGAGAGACTTAACCTCTCTGTGCCCCGAGCTCAGGGCTCCAGGAGGCTCCGAAGCCTTGGGACTGGGAATAAACAGGGGGTGGGCTGAGTTGGGGTTCTTCAGGTCTCCTCTGCCTGCCCCAGCCTCCCTCCACGGCCCCAAATCCTCGGGATTTCGGGGAAACCCGTCCCGCCTGGGAAGTCACGCGGACTCTTAAGTCCTGCTGATCCCTTGACTTGGCAGAAAGGAGAAAGTTTTAGAGGCTTTGAAGTGAAAACTGATGGTTTCTGGCAGGAGGCGGGTCAAGGATGGGGATGTCCCCGGGCACAGGGTCCTGTCAGCCCTATGAGAAGTGTCCCAAATCCCCCAAACTGAGTCTCGTTGAGGGAGATTCTTGTTATGAGCCCTTGGGAAGCTGTGCCTTGGGAGAGAGCACGTGTCCCTCCAGGGATGCCGTGGTGCCATCGAGGTGAGGGCTAAAACCTCCCTCAGGTGGGGGCAGTTGCAGCTGTAAATTCGTGCCAGAAACTCTGGGAAAAGCGGATAGAAAGGTTAATGTCTTTAAAAGTAAAACAAACTAAGAAGTAAAGCAAACAAAGAAAAAGCACCAAAGAAAGAAAAAACAACCAAACAAAAACCCCAAACAAACCAAGAAACCCCAAACAGATTTCCCAGCTGGGCTCCTGAAGGTGAATTTAAAGCTCACCCCATTCCACAGGCAGGGACACTTTCCACTAGCACAGTTTGCTCCCGGCCTCACCCAGCCTGACCTTTCTCCTCACCTTGAGCGTTCCTTGCTCTTTAACGACGCTCTCCCGGTTGCAGGATTGCTTTTCCATGGCCAATGTCTCCTGGTACGGCGGGCCAAGCATCCGTGCCCAGCGCTGGCCCCTCAACGGCGCCGAGAGCCCCGTGCAGCCCTTCGTCAGCGGAGACCTTGGCACCAACCCCGACGGCTTCGGGCCTGTCCTGGACAGGTACTTCTTGGGCTCGACAGGTAATCACAGCCTTCCCTGTCCCCTGTCCTATGGCTTCAATCCCTGTGCTTCCCCATCCCCCTCCTCACCTCCAAAGCAGCTGGTTTAAGAGCAGCGTAGATGCCTCCAAGAATTAAATATCCTACAAACGTAATGACAACCGGCAGCAGGATGTGGCACTGCCTGGATCCCACACCGCCTCATCCCTGTGGGAAAGGCTGTGATACTGAACCTGAGTGCCTGAGGATGGCACGGTCCAGGTCACCCCGGGGACATCCTGTACTCTTCACGTGTCTGGGATTTTTTTTTCTTAAGTCTGTGCCCATTGCTGCTTCCTCTATCTCCGCTTGAGCGGCTTCACAGCTCCCCGATGCTGCTGTGGGATGCTGGATTCAGGCAGGAGTTCAGCTGCTGTTGTCGTTTTTGGGTGGACATTGGGATTATTCTGCAGAGCACTGAACTTTGGGTATTCCCCCAAATTTATCCAATGACCCGCAGCTGCCCTGAACTGCTGCAGCCACCCTGAACTGCTGCAGCCACTGCATGCTGAGCAAAAAAAGGCAGGAATGGGAGAAATCTAGCCCTTGAAAGGCATTTTGGAGGCTACAAGGGAATAGCAGGAACAGAATGGGGACGGTCGGCATGGCTGGATCTGCGGTGGGATCAGTCGGGGAGGTCTTGGCAGCGCACAAGTGCCAGGACTGGGAGGAGCCGGGCGCTCGCCGAGACACCGAATTCCCCTCTTTTCTCCCCCCAGGAGTGACGGTGACGGTGGCGCCCGACGTGCCCCTGCTCCTGTCGCTGGAGAGCCACCGGCACTTCTGCCTGGAGACGCCGGCGGGCCGGGCGGAGCCCCTGCGGTACCTGCTCTGCATCGGCACCGACGTGGCGGCCGCGCACCGGCACAGGGGCAACCCCCCGGCGGGGCCGGCACGGGCACGGCCGGACACGGCGCTCCTGGGGTGGGTGTTCCCTCCTCCCGGCGATGGGCATCCTCCCAGGAGCCCCAGGTCGCTGCCCGGAGCATCTTGTTCCGGCCCAAAACCGCGACACCACCACCACCCACCCCCCGGCTTTTCCCACCCCGCAGGTCTCCGATGTGGCGGTACCACGGCCCGGAGGGCTCCGCCGCCAAAATCAAGCGAGGTTTGAGGTCGCTGGTGAGGAGGTTGAAGCGGCACGGCCTTCAGGAGGGGGTCGTGGCCCTGGGGGAGCGCGGCACCGCCATCCTGGCCGCAGCGGTACGAGCGTCCCCCCGCGCCCACGGAGAGCTCGGCATCGCCGCTCCCACCGACCACCCCTCCCTGCCTTTCCCTCCCGCAGGAGCACGTGCCCTCGGAGCGCTGGAAGAGGCAGGACCCGGCCCTGGTGGAGCCTCTGCAGCTCTCCATCACTCTGTCCCCCTACGCCAGCATCACCTCCCCGCTCTTCCTGCAATCCCTGCACCGCGGCGAGGCCGCGGGATACTGGCTGAGCCGCCAGCCCCGACCTGGGGGCAGCACGGTACAGGATACAGGACCCCCCTCAACCCTAAACCCAAAAATTAGCACTGGATAAACCCTCTCGGGTTTATTACTTACGGGGGGAACAGCCCAGCGCCCCTGTGCTGGGGCACAGCAGTGCTGTGGGGAGCAGCTTCTCTCCTGGCTCCTACGGAAGCAGCTTGGAAATTCCCACACTTCCAAAAGATTCTAAAAAGTTGCCCGTGTTCAGAAAATCCCTCAGCTCCATTTTTTTTTTTGGTTTTTGTGGTCAGTTTAATGATCAGCCACGTTGCCACCCACTGGGGGGGTTTTGGGGGGGAATCGAGGGAGGGTTGACACCTTCACGTGCTGCGCCGCGGCGCGGGGGCAGAGTGGCATCCCCCAGCCTCACACCCTGGAATAAGCAGGATATTTTATGGATCTAACAGCCACTTCCGTCCTCATCCTCAGATCCCGCTGCTGACCACCTGGAAGGGGCAGCTCTGTGCCCGCCTGAACGTCACCAGCGAGGCGGCGCTGGCCTGGTACCTGGCACGTGCCCGGCGCCTGCGGCAGGTGCTGGGGGCCACACACGTGGCCTTTGAGGGAGTCGAGGGTAATTCCTTCCTGGAGCAGGATGTCCCACCTCCCGCCGAGCTGGCAGGTGATGGATACACCAGGGTGTTGGCGGCAGCACTGGCGACACTGGGCAATGGCACCGTCGTCAGCGCCGGGGCCGGGTGGGTACCGGGGACAGGCTTTGCTGGAGCCAAGGGGTGTGTGAGTTCCTGGGGGATGGTTGAGGGGATGTCCTTGGGATGCCAGGAGTGCTCAGCACCCAGGGAAGTGGCACGGAGGTGGTCCAGGGCAGCATGTTGGAGTCGATGATCCGTGTGGGATCTGAGGTTGGTGAGGCCCTGGCACAGGTTGCCCAGAGAAGCTGTGGCTGCCCCATCCCTGGAAGTGTCCAAGGCCAGGCTGGACGGAGCTTGGAGCAACCTGGGCTGGGGGAAGGTGTCCCTGCCCATGGCGGGGGTGGTGGGACTGGATGGGCTTTAATGTCCCTTCCCACCCAGACCATTCCAGGATTCTCTATCTGACCCCAGTGACTGCCAAGCCAGCCAGGCATTGTGGAATTTTGGCTCCTGTGATCCCTCTAAGCACCTCTAAGGGTTTGTTTTGCCTCCCCAGCTCCAGTCACCTCCCTCTGTTCGTCCAGATGAGCCCCCTGCGCTCCGACTGGAGCCACGCGGGGCTGAAGGGGCTGATCCCCTCCGTGCTGCACTACAGCCTCTTGGGCTACAACTTCTTCATCCCTGACACTGTAGGTAAGGATTTGTTTGGGTTTTTTCGTTATTTCTGCCTTTTCCTCAGTGATTTTTGCGGAGTTTTTCGAGGCAGGAGGTGCATTTGTACCTTAGGTGTGCTATGGGAAGGCTTGGAGCACTTTGCTCCCTGATTTTCTGTTCTGCTGGTTTGGTTGGGATGAACGTTACCAGGGAATCAGCTGAGGAATTTAAAAACAAAAGAACATGCTGTAAATATTACCAGGCAGCCCCATCAGCAGCCAGGTCTCTGGGGATGCCCTTTGCAGAGCTCCACCACAACCCACCCCCCCAGGGCTTGGCTTGGGCTAAATCCCACCCGGTACAGCCAGGAGGGAGCCCTTAGCCAGGATCCACATCCCCAGGCTCCTGGCTGGGGAGTGGATGTTCCTAAAGCTCAAGCAGCTGTGCTCCAAGTTTGCCTTTCTGCCCCGAAGCACAATGGCTGGAGAAATCCTTAAATAAACACGTTATAAAAGGCAAGAAACAACCTCTAATCAGGGCCAAGCGGACTGTTGCCCCTTTTCTTGGAGCGGACGGGGTTTCAGACCTGGAGAATGGAGCTAAATAACAGCCCCGAAATAGGGGTTGGAAGCAGTTTTTTCAATTTGGCCTCTATTTTTAGCCTGTTTTCCTTAGAAAATGTGGCTCAGGCAATCCCAGCACGGCAGTTCCCACCCCGACGGACACTGAACCCCTCGACTTATTCCAGGGAAGCGGGACGGGAGCGCAGGTCCCCCTGCATGGAGAGGGTTGGGGTGTTTGCTACTGGGGCACGTGGCCCCTTGGGTTGTGTCCCAACATTCTGAGAGCTGCAAAAGCTGGGAAAAGCCTCTGGGGGGAAATGGGCATTTGTGGATGGCTGGGAGAGCCCTCGGCTCGTGCCGTTTCTAGGGAAGCTGGGGCAGGTTTTTGGAGCGACGGCTCCCAGGGATGCTCCGGCTCCTGGGGGGGGGCTTTAGGCACCGGAAGGGGCTCTAAGTGTTCCCAAGAGCCGCCTTTTCCCGTGGGAGGCCCCTGAGCAGCCCCACTGAGCCCTGTGTTCCCGCAGGAGGGAGCCTGGCCGGTGACTCCGCGGGGGACCCGGAGCTGTTTGTGCGGTGGCTGCAGGTCGTGACCTTCCTGCCCGTGATGGCCTTCGGGTCCCCACCCTGGCTCTGCTGTGACTCCTGGGTGTGTATCCCTCCCCCTGACCAGGACGACACCGGCTCTCTCATGAGGAAAATCCGAGGGATTTAAATGGAAAGGATTTATGGCCATTATCAGTGGATTTAAATGCACATAAATCGGGTGCATTCGTAGCCATTATCGATGGATTTAAATCCACTTAAATCCATTTAAATTAACAGATTTGTATCCAGTTGTCGATGGATGTAAATCCATTTCAATCCAAGGGGTTTATATACAATATCAATGGATTTAAATCCATTTAAATCCAATGGATTCATATCCATTATCAATGGATTTTATCAATTTAAATGCAGCAGATTCATATCCGTTATCAGTAGATTTAAAACCAATGGGTTTATACCAATTATCAATAGATTTAAATCCATTTTAATCCAAAGGATTTATATCAATTATCAAGGGATCTAAATCCATGTAAATACAATGGATTTAGGTCCATTGTCAGTGTATTTAAATCCATGTCAATCCACTGGATTTGTATCCACTGTCCATGGATTTAAATCCATTTAAATCCAATTAATTAATATCCATTATAATGGATTTAAATCCATTCAAATCCCATGGATTTATATTCATTATCAATGGATTTAAATCCATTCAAATCCCATGGATTTATATTCATTATCAATAGATTTAAATCCATTAAAATCCAATTAATATTCATTATAAAAAATTTAAATACAGTGGGTTTATATCCATTGATAATGGATTTAATTCAAATGGATTCACATCCACTATCAGTGGATTTAAACCATTTAAATCCAATGGATTCATATGCATTATCAATTGAGTTAAACCTGTTATCAATGGATTTATACCCACATAAATTAATATCCAATATCAACCCTGTTTGTACCTTGTTGGCTGCCATAACTTGATCAGGACATTGGAATTCAGTCACCTCTCTTCCCAAGGGAATATATATATATATATATATATAAAATTTTTATTTATTTATTTATTTTCATTTTTCCCTGCCTGCTTTGCTGTTTCCTGGATGTCAGACTCCTCACGGATTTCCCTCTGACCCTGCAGGTCCTGAACCTGACCCGCCAATGCATCCAGAGGCACCGGGACTTTGTGCTGCCGCTCCTCCTAAAATACAGCGAGGAGTGGCAGAGTTTGGGACACCCCATCTTCCGTCCAGCCTGGTGGCTCAGCCCCACGGATCCGACCGCCTTCACCATAGAGGATGAATTTCTCATTGGAGATGAGGTGGGAATTCTGCACCATCCCGTGAGCCCAGCTCTGCCGAAACACAAACCGGAGCTTCGTAGTCAAGCAGATTTAAATCCAAGCCAAAGCAGCTGGTTGATGTGGGTTTGGGGTTTTTCCTTTTTGGAAAAGCTTGGCTTTCTTCACAGAACTATTATTCAGGGCCCTGGAAACCTCTTTCAGCTTTGGAAGTGAAATGATTTAGCAGGAATTCCTCCAAGGGGGAATTCAGCTTTGGGTATCCAAGAACTTTTGGTCTTCTATATATTTAAAAGGAAAAACTGTTTAGCACACCTTTGCCATGCAGGAAGGGAATAAAAAAAAGGGAAAATCACAGCTTTTTCCAGTTGATAAAAACAGTTGTACAACTATTCTAGTCTCAGAATGCTGGATACCGCTTTTCCTGTAAAACAAGGGAAAACAGTTTTAAGGCCAGGTTGGACGGGACCTGGAACAACCTGGGATAGTGGAAGGTGTCCCTGCCCATGGCAGGGGGTGGAATGAGATGGGCTTTAAGGTTCCTTCCAACCCAAACCATTCCAGGATTCCCTGGTGACCGTCTCATCCCCACACGTACATCCCGCCCAATCCACCACCTGCTAAAGTTCTTTTTTCTTTCTTAATTTTTTTGTTTTTCACTGCAGGTCCTGGTTGCTCCGATAACAGAAAAAGGACAAACATGGAGGGATGTCTTCCTGCCTGGAGAAGGGCACCTCTGGCTGGACACCAACTCTGCCCGTGTGTTTGATGGAGGCACCATCCTCAGGAATTACTCTGCCAGCCTGGCCGAGGTGCCCGTGTTCGTAAAGACCTCCTGAATCCAGCCTGGGCAGCTCCTGGACGGTGACCTCAGAGAGCAGCACTGGCCACAGGCTCTTCCCTGACACTTCCAGACTGTTTGCACTTTTCCAAGAGCCTTTTTTTTTTTTTTTTTTTTTTTTTTTTTTTATTTCAGGAGAAATTGTTTGAGTTGTCTTACTCGCTGTTATCCGAAAATAACAGCAATATGGCTCTGCCACCACCATCCACCCACAATGAATGCTCACCTGTATCTTTCCAGGGTTTTCCCATTGAAATATTTGCGTGAGTGTGTTTAGGTGGACACATCCAGCGTTTCCAGATCCCTGGCAAGGTGCTCAGAGAGGCTGCCTTGGCCAGGGAGTGGATTTTCCGGGGAGATAAACAAACATCAGCTTATACCCGATGGGAAGTTTTGTACTGAGTGAAAAAAAAAGTAAATCCAGGGAAAACTGAACAGCTTACACCAAATGGGAAGCTTGGGATTTAATGAGAAAAGTAAATCCAGGGAAAAATTAACAGGATAGTTCTGCTCCTGTGCGTGGCCCCCTCCTGTGCCCAGCGCTCCTCGCTTCTCCCACCGGACACTGGGTGTGTTTGCCAGGAGTCTCTGGTAGCAAGAGCCCCCCTTTGAGGATAATCTGGGAAAATGGGTGAACTCCGGATCTATTTGAAGCAGGCTTATGTGGAAGAAAAATAAATTCACTCAAGGAAAGGAGTGGCTCTACCAGAGCATGGTGTGGACATCCAGGATCCTTGCCCACAAGCTCCAGAGCTCAGCACTGAGCCCTGTGAGCCCCAGGTCCTGTTTTTCACCATCTGTTGAATTTTATGGCTTCTGTTCCCAATTATTTCTAGCAGTGCAAGAGGGATCCAGTGTGATCAGCCTCCTTCCATCCAGCACAGTACATATCCATTGGCAAAATCCATGTCCCACGTGCTGAATGTGCATTTAGGGAGATTATCAACTACACTGATGTCCCAAGTGAGGGATAAATGGGACAGTGCAGGTTATTGGGGTGATTCCAAAGGCTGGCATTTAGGGACAGGGGCTGGGTGACAGCTGGGAGGGAAGTGAAGGGCAGGTTTTGGCCCTGGGGCAGGGCTAGGGCACCTCCAGCACTGAATGGTATCAGCTACACCTTTTTTTTGTGGAAAATGTTCCTGTACCAAGGCGTGGCTCCGCTGAAAAAATGCTAAGGGCTTCCAGCTTTTCCCAGCAAAATTTCCCCGGATAAAATTGGAGGAAAAGCAAAAAAAAAAAAAAAAAAAAAAAAAAAAAAAAAAAAAACAAATAAATCAAATTCAGCTGTGGAATCCTGGGGCACAGAGAGGGGAAGAGCCCGTGGGGATGTGGGGAGAACCCCCTGCTCCTTCCTTGATCCACAGAGGCACATGATGGCGCTGGAGGGAGCACAGAGAGGGAAAGGATAGGGCTCATGAGGGCAACCCAAGGCACCCCCACGGCCTGGGGTGCTCCAAAATACCTGTGGAGGCTCCTGAGGCAGCAAAAAGCACAAAGGGAAATAAAGGAAGCGCTGGGCTAAAGTGACATTTGTTTATTCGGAGGGAGTCAAACCCCCCGGAACGGGATGCCCAGAGAGGATCTGGTGGCTCCATGCTGGGAGATCACAGAAGGCTGGCTGGACACTCTGGGCTGTCCTGTGCCAGGACTGAGTGTGGCCTTTCCCCTCTTGGGAGGGTGGGCTCTTGGGTCCTGTGCCCTGCATGGCTCTGGGTCCTGCACCGGTACCGGTTCCTCCCTTAGGAGTCTGGGATGTGCTGTTGGTGCCTCGGAGCTCGTTGCTCACCAGCATTCCTGCTCCTCCAGTGCCTCTGCCTCGCGGAGTCGTCGTGGGGCTCCGTTCCTGAGGATGATGTCTGGGTGTCCCGGCGTTGCCTGCGGGACCTGCTCCATTGCTTGCGCCAGCCGTGGGAACGCTCCCTGTTCCTCCTCCGCCACCTCTGTCTGCTGCGGCGGCCCCGTGCCTGTCCCTGCTGATCTTGGCTCCGTGGCGTGTGGGACCCGCGCCGGGATCGCCTCCCCCACGAGGAGTCCGAGGTGTCCTGTTCAGACCCCGGAGCTCGTCCCTCGCCAGGCACATTGTCCCGATCCCCTCTCCACTGACGCCTCCTCCTTCTCCGCCGACGCCTCCTCCTTCTCAAGAAGCTGCTCCCTTGGGCGTGCTGAGACCACTGGTGGCCGTCACGGTGCCACCTCAAGGACCTCCTTCGGCCCTGCTCCGAGAGCTCATCGTGGCTGCTGCCGCTGTGTCCTGAGCGGCTCCACGTGCCTTGCTCCGAGCGGCCGAGCTGCCTCTGCTTGCTGTCGTACACCTGGTCCTGCACCTCGTGGTACAGGGCCACGTGCTGGGGGTACGTGTGGCGGATGGGCCGCTGGCACTGGGGGCACGCGGCGTCGCTGAGGCTCCAATCCCACAGGCAGAAGCGGCAGAAGCAGTGCCAGCACAAGCTGGAGCACTTGGTGTCGATGTCCCGGCACGCCGGGCAGGCGGGGTTCTCCTCGCTGCCATCCCGTGGCTCCTGGCTGGTGCTGGCAGCAGAGGTGCCCGGCTCTGGAGAGTCCTCCTTCGATGACATCTCGCCCTGCAAGAGACACAAAGGTTCTCTGCGGACACGCGTCCCTCAGAAAAATCCCACAGTGCCTCGTCCCTTCGGAGCCGTCCCACACCTCAGCAGCGGTGTTGTCACGCGGGGCCTGCCGCCCACCAGTCTCCCCACGGGATTGACTGAAGATCTGTGCCCCCATCCCGATTCCATGGAATGCTGGGACACGGCCCTTTCTGACGCGGCCCACGTCGCGGTGTCACGGGTGAGGTCGGCCCCGTCACGCGCCCGTGTCACAAAGGGACAGCCCCGAAGGGCCGGGGTGCTGTGGCTGGGTTTAGGGACACGTGTCAGCAGATATACTTTGTGTCTTCGAGGGTGAGATGGTGTCACAGGAGGGGACTCCAGAGTGGAGCCCCAGAGGGAGGTCCCCGAGGTGGCACCACGATGGCCACAGGTGCCCTCAGCACACCCAGGGCTGCGACTCATCAGGAACTGTAGTCACTGGACAAGGGGGAATGGCTTCCCACTGCCAGAGGGTGGGGTTAGATGGGATACTGGGAAGAAATTCTGTCCTGTGAGGGTGCTGAAGCACTGGAGTGGATTTCCCAGAGAAGCTGCAGCTGCCCCATCCCTGGAAGTGTCCAAGGCCAGGTTGGACGGGGCTTGAGCAAACTGAGATAGTGGAAGGTGTCCCTGCCCATGGGACTGAACAGGCTTTAAGGTTCCTTTGAACACAGACCATTCTATGAGTCTGTGACAAGCAAGGCTCCTGCTCTCCTTGGGTGAAGCTCCATGGAGACGGACCCAGAATTCTTGGGTTTCATTGCACTGCTAGGTTAGAAAACATCTCCCAAACATACACTTTGCTGGATTCACATTTACCCAATTTTCTTCATGATCTCAGGTTCGTTAATATTGCTGATTAAAATAAATGGTCTGAAGGCTCTTAGTCCTTCAGCCAGCAAGGACACAAATCCTTCTACAATAATCGAATAAAGACTGAAAAAACTCCATCTCCTATGTAATGGAATAATTGGATAGACTAGTGCTTCCTACTCAGAACTGCGTGGAAAAAAAGGAAGGCATCTTAGGTCAATAAGAAGACAATAGGAATTTCCGAAGGAGCCGTGCCTTGGGCTGAGATGGATGCTTTTCTGGGAACAACAAAAACAAGGATGCTTTTGGGAACGGGCTGTAGTTGGGCTCGCAGCACCCCGCACTGGCACAGGCTGCCCGGAGAAGCGATGGAGTCGCCACCCCTGGAGGGATCTACCACATGGATGTGTCTGTGCACTTGGGGACATGGCCAGCGGTGGGGGGGGACAGTGGGACTCCATGTCCCGGACGGGCTTTCCTCGATGAACTCGCTGTCACGGGCGCGCCGGCTCTCGCGCACAGCCCGACGGGAGTTGTAGTTTTCTTCCCGCCTTTTCCCGCTCACAGGAGCCGCAAAGGAACTACAGCACCCGGCGCACCACGCGGCGCACGGCGCCCGTCAGACGCGCCCTTCCGCGGGGGCGCGTGGTGCATCACGGTAATTGTAGTCCACCCGCGGGAGCGGCGCGCGGCGCGGCAGCGCTTGGGGACTACGTTTCCCAGCGAGCGGCGCGGCCCGGCCGCGGCACCGGGAAAGGGAACGAGCGGCACCGGGAGCGGGACCGGCACCGGGGAACGCGGAGATGGCGGTCGATAAGGACCTGCTGGAGCTGGACCTCTACGGGCTGCTGGGAGTCGGCGAGAAGGCGTCGGAGAAGGAGGTCGTGGGCGCGGGACGGCTCGGGACGGGCCCCTTCCCTCCCTGTCCCGGCGTCCTCGGGAACGGGATGTTCCCGGTGCCGCGCTCTGCCCGGGGCGGAGCTGAGCGGCTGCTCCGAGCGCTCTTGGTGCGCTCCCGCTGCCCGGGGCGCTGCTGCGGGGCCGGGGCTGTGAAATCGTGCGGAAAGGCCGGTTTTGCCGGTGTTGGTTATTTTATCCCGGGTTTACCGATATTGGCGTTATTGCCCTCAGTTTGCCCTTGTGCCTTCTCAGTCCCGCCTTGGGAGGAGGGAATGGCTGGGAGGGAGAGCTGCAGAGCTGGTCCGCGACCGCTATTCCCTTCGCTTTGTTATTTACGTGCCTCCAGAAGGAAAGTCGCGGTGTTTATCCGAAAATCCAGCTGTTAGAGGTCAGTCCAGGTGCTGTCGGTGCCCGTAAGGCTTCTGGTTCATTCTGGGGGGTTTACGACCCTCTCCCTGGAAATTCCCCTTGAGTGAAGCACCCAGCGGGAACAATCCAGGGATTGGATGAGCTGAAAAGGCTTCGGGTGAGCTCAGGTTATTTCCCGGCTGAGCCGGTCCCTGCAGGGGAGGATGAGAGAATTCCCAGCTGGATGGCCTTGGCGCGGCTTTACAAAGCGGCAAATGGAATTTGGGGCGCCAGTCCCTGATCTGAAATACTTGAAATGATCCCAAGACTTTTTTTGTAGCGCGAAATAAATAAGGGGTGAGGAAAGCCCTTTCCACCCGCTGGTCGGAGCAGCCCGGCGGGAGCTGGGCAGCTGATGGATGTTTGGGAGTGAGTTGTCTCTCCCTCACCTGGAATCTTATGCAGGAGGTTGGGTCACCTGCAGCGCTTTCCTTGTGCGTTCCCATCCCTGGAGCTTTGTCCACCAGGTGGGGCCGAGACACAACTTTCTCCACTCGTTTTAGCAGGAAATTGCTTGTCACTAGGACAGAACAGCTTCCTCCCCTTTTTTTTTTTTTCCCCTTCTTTCCCCCTTTCCCCTTTTTTGTCCTTTCCCCCCTTTTTTCCCCTTTCTCCTGTCTTTTTCCTTTCTCCCCTTGTTCCCCTTTCCCGTTTGTTCCCCTTGCCCTTTTTTCCCCTTTCCCCTTTTTCTCCGTTCCCTTTTTCCCTTTCACTTTTTTCCACTTCCCTCCTCTTTTTTCCCCTCTCCTCCCTTTATTCTCTCTCCTCCCTTTATTTCCTCTCCGCCCCTTTATTCCCTCTCCCCCCTTTTTCCCTCTTTCCCCTCCTTTTTTTCCACCTTTCCCCTCCTTTTTTTCCACCTTTCCCCTCCTTTTTTTCCACCTTTCCCCTCCTTTTTTTCCACCTTTCCCCTCCTTTTTTTCCACCTTTCCCCTCCTTTTTTTCCACCTTTCCCCTCCTTTTTTTCCACCTTTCCCCTCCTTTTTTTCCACCTTTCCCCTCCTTTTTTTCCACCTTTCCCCTCCTTTTTTTCCACCTTTCCCCTCCTTTTTTTCCACCTTTCCCCTCCTTTTTTTCCACCTTTCCCCTCCTTTTTTCCTCTTTCCCCTCCTTTTTTCCCCTTCCCCCCTTTCTTTTCCCCTCCCCCCTTTTTTCCCTCTCCCTCTTTTTTTTCCTTCCTCCCCTTTTTTCCCTTTCCCCTTTTTTTCCCTCTCCCCTTTTTCTCTCCTCGGCTCAGACTCACCCCAAACACACCTTCCCGCCCAGCGAGTGCCCCTGGCCCATTCCCTTTCAATACAAGGATACTTTTTTTGCTTTTTCCAAGCTGCCTTTTTTTTTTTTTTGACAACCCCAAGCCAGTCCCACCCCAGTAACTCCCAGCGTGGCCCCTGCAGGTGAAGACAGCGTTCCGACAGAAGGCCCTGACGTGCCACCCGGACAAGAACCCGGACAACCCCCGGGCAGGTGAGACGCCAGCAGCAATTCCTCCTGGGAGTTTTCACCTCTCCAGGCTCCTGGAAGCGGCTCTGCTTCCCTTCAGCAGTGTCCCTGAGGGAATGCCAGGGTGCCTGTCACCTGGAACACGCACACACACGGGGCTCAGAGTTGCTGCCGTTGCTGTTAACTCCGGTTTTTAGGGCTGTCGGGTTTGGGAGCATCAGCGTTGAGTCAGTGCTGGCACTGGAATTGCACCTCTCAAAATCTTCCCACGTGGTGCCTGAACCCAGACCTTTGGCTGGACACTGGTTTCACCCATATCTCCCACAGTCCAAACTTCAACAGCACATTATCTGTGGGCACGGCCCGTTTTTGTCGGGGAAAGGGCCCCGGCTGTGGAGCTGAGCTCACCCAGGCTGAGCAAGGTCTGGCTTCTGCTGCTGCCCTGCTTCCCAGAGTAACTGTGGGGGAAAAAATAGCAGCACTGAGGGGAAATCTGGGAGGTTTGATGCCTGCAGGAGCGATGGGAAGGATGTGGGGAAGCCTCAGGCTTATCTGTGTCACCTTGGAGGAGGAGGAGCAGCAATGTTGATGTGAGATGAAAAGTTTGGATCTCGGGCTGGAAAGGTGGTGATGTGCCAGGCAGGATTTGTGTGGAAGGGGGAATTTCAGCTGCCTGCAGTGAGGGAGGGAGTGGTTGCTGTAGATGGAAATTGCATAATTAGCAATTAGTTTCTTTTTTGTGCGTCGAGACTGCTGATAATTCATCTTCACAAAAATAAATATAATTTCCCAGTGCTTATAATAGGACAAAGGAAAGACTTTTAAAGGCTAGATGGCTGTAATATAACATAACAATTTCCAGCACGACATAAGCAGGAATTCTTGATGATTTATTTGTACACAAACAAGAGGAAGTGAAAGGAAAAGCACTGAGAGGAAGAAGAAAACTGAGCTCCAGCTAAATGTGCCATGAAGGAGACATTGCAACCCGTGATAAAAACAATCAGTAAGAAAAATTAGGTTCATGTGTTCAAGATTTTTCTTAAAATGAAACAATCCCAGGTTTTGTTTCCTTATTTACTCTCAGGCTGATGTAACAGATGTTGCCCTTTGGGTTGAGGTGACCCTGGCAGGGGTTGGCTTTGGAGAGATGATTCTTCTTTCTTGGAGAGCCATTCCTGCAGGTCTCTCCCATAAGGAATTGTCTTTCCTGTTCTTTCCCAGATGCCTCCCATGGTTTCCTGCATCTTACCCTCATTTCTTCTCGTTCCCAGCGGAAATCTTCCACCAGCTGTCCCAGGCCTTGGCCGTGCTCACAGATGCAGCAGCCAGGGTAAGGATCATCCCTTGGGAAGGGTGGGATTTTGGGGTGTTGCTGGAAGCTCTTCCTGTCTGTCCTGCTCTGTTCTCCAGTGGAGAGTCTGTGAATACAAGTCTCAGCTGTCGTTCCCTGTGCTTCTCCACGGGATCAGATATTAGGTGCCAAACAAAAGCTGGGAGAAACGTTCTGTTTCTGATCAGATGCTCTCTCCAAGGGTGAGATACTGTCTTTAATAACATGTTAGACTGGAGCCTATCCCATTTAATAACATCAGTGATAACCACCCCTGATTCAGGGACACCAAATTCCCATGGCAACAGTGCATTTGCAGTTCCCTCCAAGTCAGGGGCTGACAAATGAATAATACCTGGATGTGATTGCTGAGGCTCCAAGCTTTTCATAAAAACAGACCAAAAATGAGCCAGTAACTCTCTGCAGATAAGCTCAGAAGAGAGACGTGTGCTGATTTCGGGTGATAAGAGCTAAACCCATGAAATAACTTCTCTTTTCAAACACTGGCAGAGCTTTTAATCCCCTCTCCAAGGGGGAATTCAGCTTTGGGCATCCAAGAACTTTTGGTCTTCTATATATTTAAAAGGAAAAACTGTTTAGCAAACCTTTGCCATGCAGGAAGGGAATAAAAAAAAGGGAAAATCGCAGCTTTTTCCAGTTGATAAAAACAGTTGTACAACTATTCTACAGGTAATATGAGAGGCAGTCTGTGCTCACCTCCTACACAGAGGCTCTGTGCAGGCTGAGGAACACATTAGCAACTGCTTTAAACAGGTGCCAGTGAAATTGCCAGTTCACCCCAGTTCTTAGATCTCTCTGGTGCTGAATTAATGTTGGTGTGTTTTTGCTGCTGAGGATTTTGGGTGCTCTTTGATCTGATACATTCATAGCACCTCAAACGTGTCTGTGAATAAATATTTCATGTCAAGTAGACCCTTTTTAGTTGTAAAACTGTGCTCCAAAGCCAACCTGGGCTGTCACCAGCGCCCCTAAAGCCGCTTTTGGGACGTTCAGGGAACCAAAATGTTCTTCCCACCTCTGAAGATGGGTCAGAGTTCTCTCCAGTACACGTTGAAGTTATTCCTGGACTTTCTCACCCTTCCATCTGGAGATCTTCGGGCCTCTTCTCGTGTTTTCAGGATATTTGTGTTAACTTCCAACACTTCTAGGGGTGATGTCTGATGTCATTTTTGTTCCCTGCTTTCCAGTTTCTCTCCCTGTTCCTGTAGTTTCACCCTGTTGTGCTGGTTCCTTGGCAGGCAGCATATGACAGGGTGAGGAGGGCGAAGAAACAGGCTGCAGAAAGGACACAGAAGCTCGATGAGAAGAGGAAGAAAGTAAAGCTTGGTAATAAAACCAAACCTTCCCGTTGCCTTGAACTGGGTGTTTGCATTTCTTCTCCCACAGGAACTCCCCCAGTGATCAACCTGCTGTCATCCATGTCTGATGGCTTTGGGTTCTTTGTGCCCAGTACAATGCAGGAGCCACCTGGAATCTCCTGCCACAGCCATGGCTGGGATGGCCCTGCTCTGGGAAGGAAGGAATTAGGTCCTGCTCTGGGAATTTGGGGGGTTGATGCCTGTTAGACTCCTTTTGATGTGTGGGGGCAGAGGAGAGGTAGCAGTGACACCAGGACATGAGTGTAGGTGTAGCCACATTTGTGATCTTTCCCTCCTCCCCTGGCCAGCAGGGAAAAATTAAAATTCTCTTTGGGTTGTTTTAATTTCTCTTAAATGTTTTGCATTTTATTTATGAATTTATTTTTTTATTTAATTCCCTCTCTGCAGATCTTGAAGCCAGAGAACGAGAAGCCCAGTCCCAGGAGAACGAAGAGGAGGAGATCGGGATAACGAGATCATTAGAAGAAGAAGTAATGATTCATTCTTAGGTTTCTCCGCTTCTTTTGAGGAAAAATTGCTGAAAGTCTTCTTTCCCTTCCTGATGAAATCTATGGGATGAGATGCAGCAAATCTCTGGGTTGCAGGATTTCAGGCTCTGGGACTAAGGGGCTCTGTGAATCACACACTCCCAGGGTGGTTTGGGTTGAAAGGGACCTTAAAGCTCATCCAGTTCCAATCCCCTGCCATGGGCAGGGACACCTTCCTTTGGACCAGGTTGTTCCAACCTGGCCACGGAAAAAGAGGAAGGTAGAAGGGATTTTGTGGCAGTCTGGCAAACATGTTGATCCGGGGAGTTTATTTTTCCTGCCCTTTTCCTTTTGCACAGCAGACAACAACAACAACAACAACAACTGCCTGGTTTATCTGCTGGCTGGGAGGGATGGTGTCACTGGGAACATCCCACTTTAGTGCTGGAGCTGTCCCAGGAGGGGTGTCCCAGGACACCCAAGGGATTCCTGGCATGGAGCAGCCCTGGAATTGCCTCAGGTGTCCCGTGCTGTGTTCCCTGTGCCGTAGATAATCCGCCTGCGGGAGGAGGGCTCCCGGCAGCTGGAGGAGCAGCAGAGGCTCATCAGGGAACAGATCCGGCTGGAAAGGGAGCAGCACAGCCAAGGTGAGCACAGAGCAGCTCGGAGCCCTCATACAAGGCCAGAAAAAATCCTGATCTGGCAAGTTCAAGCAACAAAACAACCAGAGCCCCAGAGACAGAAACTCTCCTTGGAGTCCCCAGGCTTTTCCTGTATTTTTTTGCCTTTCTTAACTTCATTTCACATCTTTTTTTTTTTTATTTCCCCCCTTTTATTTTTAATTTTTTTCTTTTCATTTTTCTTTCAATTTTCGCAAACTGGGGGAGGATGTTGAGAATTTGCTTGGTGTAAGCCACTTTGAGATCCCTTTGCAATAAATGCACCATTATGAAGTATTTAATTGCAGGGCCAAATTAAATTCCTAGGCTGTGCTATCCTGCTTTTTGCCTACCCTTAATTTTTCCGCAGTTGTTCCCGCCAGGACAACTTCCTTTTGCAGGGAAAAATGTCTCAGAAGCTACCAGGTCTCCTGCTTGTATTTTTACTTACCTGTTTCTTGCCTTGATCGTGGCAAGTCTGGGCATCCTAGAAGGGGAAAAACGCTGCCATGGAATATTCAGTCTGTGCTGCAGTTCCTGTTGCACAGGACTTTTGGGGCTGGAATGGTCTGGTGGAAATCCAGAAGTGTTTGCTGTTGTCATATGTATGATCTCAGGGAAGATTTCGTGCTAAATGCTGAGGAGTTTTCTCGCCCATGTCCTTTCAATCTGTGTTTTTCCCTTTCCCCTCCTTAGGCAAGCAGGAAAGAAATGGAGCAGAAGGCAAAGTAACTCCTAAACTCAAGGTAAGACACTCTTAAAAAGCTGGGTTTTGGTGTAAACTTATAGAACATGATGGAAAACAGAAGGGACACTTCAACCCTGCTGAGCTGGCTCATCCCTTTTTACAGTGGAGGTGAAATTCCCCTGTGGAATGTGCATCATCAAGTGAACAGCTCTTGTCCTTGCCCTTAGAATCCCTTCCTCCCTCACCTTTCCTCTGTCTGCTCCAGATTTCTGAGCCTGAAATTGAGTTGTTTTTGCTTTAAGCGCAGGGGAACATCTGCTAATTGCCCTGACAGAGCCATCAGCATCCTTTCAGTGTGATCTTTTTATATTCCAGTGAGCAACAGTTTCTCCCTGTTCCCCAAACAGTTTGTTCCCTGTGCTCATTCCCGTGCTGAGATCACTGTCTTGGCAGTCCTGGGAGTGTGGCTGTAAATAGCAGACGTGGGGAATGTGCAGGGGGTGGGAGCAGCGTTGAGCACAGCAGTGCATTCAAGCAGACAAAATTAACTCCTGGTCTTTATTTCCCAGCTCAGATGGAAATGCAGGAAAGAAGATGAGACGGGAGGGGGATACTCCAAAGATGTGCTGCTGCAGATGCTGCAAAAGGTCCCGTCTCACACTCACTTTCCTACTGCTGGGTCTTCCCCTGCTCTCTGGTATAAGGATAATGAATTCTGGGAAGCTGCATATCATAAAATCATGGAACAATGAAATGGTTTGGATTGGAAGGGACCTTAAAGCCCATCCAGTCCCACCCCCCTTCCACCAGCCCAGGTTGCTCCAAGCCCCATCCAGCCTGGCCTTGGACACTTCCAGGGATGGGGCAACCACAGCTTCTCTGGGCAACCTGTGCCAGGGCCTCCCCACCCTCACAGGGAAGAATTTTTTCCCAATCTAACCCTATTCCCTGTCAGTGTGAAGCCATTCCCCCATGTCCTGTCACTCCAGGCCCTTGTGAGATATAAACTGGGGTGGCTGATTTTTGCCTCTGTTCACCTTTCTCGTGCAATTTTCAGAAATCATCAGCACGTTCATACAATCATTAGGTTGGAAAAGACCTCCAAGATCATCAGCTCCAACCTTTGAACCAAGTTTGATCTGTGAGCTGGGAGCTGTTTCCCAGCTAACACCTCTGCCCTGCTGTGGGAAGTGCAGAGACAGGAGCAGACAAGCCTTTGATCTGATTAATCCCAGCGTGGCAGCTTTATTTTCCCTCCCTGCAAGTGCCTCCTGTAGCTCTGGCTCTGAGCTGAGCATCCCTCTTGCACTGGGGCTTGCTGGAAGCCAAGTGTGTTGCTCTGTGCCTCTCTAGGATTGTTTCCTGGAGGGACAGAAATTATGGCAGGTTGAGGTTGGTGGAAGCATCATGTGGGACAGAAATGGTGACAGCTCAACCCCATGCCTGTGAAAACACATGTTTTCTCTTTGTGTTCGTTTAATACATGAACTCCACGTCTCTCCTGGGTCTGTAATTAACTTTTTTTTTTTCCCTTCTTTCTTTTACCAGTATGGAGATGTGCTCAATTTGGTGATCTCCAGCAGGAGGACTGGGAGTGCAGTGGTGGAATTTGCTGCGGTGAAGGCGGCGGTGAGCGTGCAGAGCCCCAGCTGGGTGTGGTGGGGGGGATGCCACAGGAGGGGACAGGTCACAGGGTGACAGCCCAGGTCATTAAGGCAGTGGAGAAGGCTAATGAGAGTCTGAAGGCACAGAGGGATGAAGGGAGTGGCAGAGCTGGAGGCACAGACCCGGAGCAGACCAGGCACATAAACAGGTTGTGCGTGGAACGGGCTGAGGGAAGAGACAGTGCCTGAAAAATCAGGCACCGAGCATTTAATCAGCTCCCACTGAAGGTGAATTACCTTGGAGTTGGGCTTTTGTGTTTTAGAGGTGATACCAGGCATTTGCAGTGAAAAACAAATCAAAGTGTCCTGGCTCACTGTGAGTTTTAATAATTCACGTGGCTGTGGGAACAGAAATCACCAGTTACCCTTAATTTTAGTAGTTCCATTAACTTACTCTGTGCAGGAGCCTCTGTTCCTTGTCACCTGTTCTTTCACTCACATCCAAAAGATCAAAAGGAAAACCAGCCCAGAACTGTGTGTGACCTGTTTATCTGAAGATCTGGCAGGGGTATGTTCTGTCTGTGCTCAATGCAGATAAGGACCATAAAAGTGCCTTAAAGATGATCTGATTGCAACAGATCTTAACAAATGCAATCACAGAAGGGTTTAGGCCAGAAGGGGCCTTAAAGGCCATCGAGTTCCACCCCCTGCCATGGGTAGGGACACCTGCCACTAGCCCAGGCTGCTCAGAGGTCCATCCAGCCTGGCCTTGGACACTTCCAGGGATGGATCTTCCTTGTTTGTGCCCCACTTGGCCTTGAGGCCGGTCTGAGATGGGAGAGTGATCCTTAGGGACCTGTGAGGGAGCGGGGCCTGGAATTCAGGTGGTGATGGAAGAATGTTTTCCTTGCTAGGAGATGGCTGTGAAGAACGAAGTTGGCCTGATAAACAACCCTCTGAAGATTTCCTGGCTGGAGGGGCAGCCCCGGAGCCACCCCAGCACTGTCCTCTCTGACAGCACCAGCCAGCCCAGGACCTCACAGGTAAGGAGACATGGGCTGTGGTATTTAAATTCGTTGCTGTAGCAACCTAAATTTCAGTGTGCTTTGTACTTATGGGCAAATATGAGCTGCAAAGAAACACTTGATGCCAGGCCTGGCTTTCCCACCAGCTTTTCTGTGCTGGACCAGTGGCTTTTTTAAAGAGAACTGGAGCTGTTTGGATGACTGGATCTTCACACACTCGCTGTCTTCCAAGTGAAGAACAAGGATGTTCCTTGCTCAGCCCAAAGCCTCCAATGCCATTCTGCTGGGATTTGTTAATAGGTGTTGACTGTGGGAATTCTCTGGCTGGGAGCTGCTGAAATGGGGGTTTTTTTAGGCAGTCTTGGTTACTCACTGCGTTCACAGGAGAAGGAAATTTCAGTGATGGAAGGAAACCTCTAATTTTAGGGTCCACAGGAGGGAGGAGAAAGCAATATCAAGCTAAATACCCTTCTAGAGACCTCATTGTCTGGGTTTGGTCCTCCACACCAGTGTGGTTACTCTGAGTGCAAGCTGCATGTCTTCTAGCTTACTTAGCCAGTTCCTTGGCTGGGAAGGTGGGAAGGGACCTGGTTCAAACTTCACATGGCACTTACCCTCCTCTCCTCCTTCCCTGTGGTGTAAAGATTCAGAAGTCTCATTGCTGAGAGGGCTCCTGCCTCGTGCTGTCCAGGTGCTCTTAAGCTGTGTGTCTCCATCAGCCTTCTGTGTGTTCACTCCCTAAATATTTTAAGCCTGTGAGATTGTTCAGTACATTCACTCTTGACTTTTTTTGCCAGTACTTTGTTTATAGTACTGGTGTTTATACATCAGAATGCCTGGTTGTTGTTCTATCCATGTAGAATCTGGGAGAGTCCTGCAGCCACGGGAGATTCAGAGAGGGGACCAGGGTGGTAGAAAGGAAATTGGGGCAAAAAAAGGATTCCAAACCACTTTATTTGAGAATTTCTCATTAGGAGAGAGTGAGAACTGGCTCATTCCTGCCAAAGGGTGTTGCTGTTGCAGTTGGAGCTTGGTGGTGGATTCCAGCCTGTGTGGGTTCAGATCCCTGAGTTTATCCTGGCCTGTTTCCATGCCCAGAGCTTGTTATTTTGGAAGTGCGGTGTCTGCCTGTGGTGAAGGATTAGTGTGGTTGGGGCAGCAGGGAGAGCAGGAAAGCAGCAGGAGGGGTTCATGGTGACCCACCTCTGCCCAGCACAGCCTCCTCAATCCCATCCTGCTTCTCAGGATGGGGAGGAGTCGCTGCCAGGGCCATGCATCCTTCCCAGGAATTGCACTGCTGATGCTTGGCTGTCCTTTCTGCTGCTCTTTTTTCTGTAAGCAACTGCAATTTCTGGGATTACGTTGCAGCCTTGCATCTCTAAACTGCTCTGCTTCCCACTTTTCCCAGCGCCTGCTCCAGACCCTCTCAAAATCCTGCTCCTGCTGCATCCACCAGGATGTTTCCACAGGATGATTAGTGTGCTAATAGCTCCTCTTGGCTGTTTTGCTTGCAGCTGACTTAGTTTGCCCTCTCCAGCTCTGGGCTGTGCAGGATGAGCTTCCAGATCCCTGTTGCTCCTGCCTCTTCCTTTCACACCCAGCCATCAGACTCCACATTCTTGCTTCCGAGCTGCACAAATCTCATTCCGATGCAAGCTGCCCTCGCTTCCTATTTGCTTCCCCCCTGTTTTTGTCTGAATCCACCCCCATTTTGTTCCCACCCCGTGCAAAGGCAGCTCCTTCCCTGCTCTGCTTCGGCGAACAGCCCAAGACCCGCAGCGTTCTCATGGCAACGTGCTCGCCGCTCGTCCTCTGGGACAGTCATCCCGGTGCTCCCTGCCTGGGACAGGCACCTGGGAGCTGAGTGCCAAAAGCTGCAGGTGAAGGACAATCAGACCCTAAGCAGGGGGTTTGGAAGTGCTTCCCGTGTGGAAGCAAGGCTGGCTGTTGTGCTGGGAGGAGGCAGTGAGTCGCAGGCTACTCGTTCTCCTACGGCCACGGGTGCACGTTGTCCAGCAGTTCCTGGAGAGCTGCTGGAGCCAAGCAGGCGACTTCCCCTTGGATTACAAAAGCTGTGGCTTGGCCAGTGTTACTCCAGGCCATTGAGAGCAATGCCTGTGTGATGGTTCAGAGCACACAGTGGCTGTGCAGCGCAGTGAGGAGCTTGTTTTGCCACGACAACGGCGTGGAGCACTCAGGTTTGGGAAGGTTTTCCCTGCTCCTTCAGCAGGATCTCCCTGCCAGTGCTCCTCAGCCCTGAGAAAAGCCTCCTGCCTGGCATCCTTGCACCTTTTCTAAGCTCCTTTGAGGTTTCAGAGGGTTTGTTTTGTATTACCAGGCTTTGAGAGGTGTTTCTGACAGGGTAAGAGCCGGCTGTGCCGGCTTTGGAATGACCCTGCACCCTGCTGTAGCCACTTCCAAAGCTCCTGGTTATCTGGGGGCATGGAAGTTTTATTATTGTTGTTTTTTAAAAGAGCCCTAATATCCAGCCTATCAGAAAGGTAAGAATTGGTGACTACTGCAGTAGTTTCTGCAGTGTCCTTTTAGCAGTTTGCCCTGATGCTGCCCCAAAATGTTCTCAGCCTGGCAGAGCCCTTCCTGCTCTCCAGCTCAGGGGTGGAGAACCAGGTCTTGCCCTGAGCTGTGTGAGCTCTCCTTTGGGGAAAATCAAGTCCCAGCAGCTCTCTCCTTCCCCCAGCCCAGAAAAACAGAGCCACGCTGCTTCCCCTCCCTCAGGAAAACCTGCAGTGCCGGGGAGGATGGATCTGGGCCACTCCAGATACCCTGTGCTCCTGGTGCCTTGGCTTTTTGTGGCTTCTTACCAACTAAATGAGGCAACCAGACACTTCCAGTCACAAATACATTTATTCTTCCACGTCTGTACAGCTGGGAGCTCAGTGCATGCGTGAGGCAGCAGTGTGTGGAGACGTCTCCTCTCCCCTGCCAGGAGGATAAACCCACTGCTGGTGCTCTATCACGAGCACGAGTGGATGCTTACCTGTTTCAGGCTGGGAGTGCCAACTGCACTGGAGCTGGGGAAAAAGAAACCCACAAGGAGGAAGAAAAAAAAGAAAAAAAAAAAAGAGGAACAGCTTTGATTTTTCACATCCAGACACGGTGGGAGAAGAACCCCCAGTTCCCGTCTCTCGGCCCTTGCCACACCTGTGGCTTTGAGGTGCAGTGCTGCTGTCTCCTTGCAGGCTGCCTGCTGTCCCACAAGGGATCCATGCCAAGTCCCCGGGTGTCCCTGCCCCGCAGTGTCACAGCCACATCCCCAAAATAACAAGTCTTTCCCAAACGATGCCGTTCTTCCCTGAGGAGGAGACGCACAGTCCGGAGTGGGAGATTCCCAGGGTGAAGAGTGGAAACAGTGCTCTCACCTGAGCTCTGCTCCAGAGGATTCCTTGGCAAGGACAGGGGTGGTCTGTGGTGGGTGAGGCGAGGGCAACAAAACAGGCCACACACGACAGGCATGCTCCAGCATCCTTCCTCCCGCTGGGATCAGAGGAACCGGCAGCAGCATCGGGTAAATGGGATGTGGTGAATGATAAATACCTTCAGATGGCATAATCTCTTGGGTTCTGTTTCCTGAGGGTCTGCAGGACGTCCTCGAGGAGCGATAGCCCCAAATCCACTTTGAAGGACAGGAAGGGGTCAGCCAGGTCGGGAAGAGTGGTGCCGTTCTGGGAACCTGCCTCTGAGGTCCCGTGGTCTGTAGCCTGGTCCTTGTGCGTTTGAGTGCCTTTGTGGTACTGAGCGGCGTCGGAAAAGGAGATGTCGGAGTGGGAGTCGGTGTGGTCGATGATGTTGGGGCAGCTGGAACTGTCCAGGTACAGCCGGGGAGGCTTGGGAGGGGCTTGTGCCTTGGCCAGGTTCTGCTCGCTCTGGCACGACAGGTAATCAGACTTGTCCTTCAGATCCCTCAAGCCTTCCCTCTTCTGGCCGTCAGTGTCCAGAGTGTGGCTGTTCTGGTTCAGGATGATGACTTGGTTGCCCAGCTTTTTGTGCCTCCTGAGGGAGAAACGTCTGAAGAACGTGGTGGACTTGATGGACCCTCTGCGCCAGGTATCCATGCTGAGGGAAGGCAGTGAGGAGAAGGGACCTGCTGACTCCTCACAGGCAGGTGCTGGACTAAAGCCACGGGATCAGCAGCGAGCCACGCAGCAGGAACAGCCTCTTCCTGCCCCGTTCCCGTAGCTGGAAGGAAAACAGAGAGGCTGGTAGTGCAGGAAATGCAGACTCCACGCTGTGGTAAGGAGCAGTTGGCTTGTCTTGGATCTTAAGGAGTCTCCTCCTTGAGTGGAGAAGGAACACGGTGTCTGAGCTCGTTAAACGTGTGCTGGTGAGGAACAGCAAGGCACAGTCACCATGAGAACAGATCTAATCTGGCATCTAGAACAGAAGGGCACCCGGGTGCCATGGTAACCAGCCACCTTCTGCGGAGGGGCACCGCCGGAAAATCCAGTGGGTGGTTGGGAAGGAGACGGTGACTCAGTCCCACTAGAGGAGCCGAGGAAACAGAGGCAAAGGGGGATGTAAAAGGCGACGCCGTGAAAGGCAAATGCCGGGAGAACGGAATGCAAGGGAGACTTACGCCGTGGCGGAGCAGCCCCGGGTCCGAGGGCGCAGAGGAGAAGCTGCTGGAGCACTCGGAGAACTGTGCCTGCCACGCTCACCAGGATGAAGGAGCGAGTCTGGGGACAGCTGAGCCGGGAGTTCGGGAATTCAGCCAGGTTGGACCCAGAATGCTAAAAATCCCCGAAGCCGCCGCCGCCGTCTCTTCATGTGCCGCCCGTCGCCTCTTCCCGGGCTGCAGCTCCTGCTCGGATGTGTTTGTTTTGAGCCAAGCCCTTGCTGAGTCAGCCACGTCAGGAACTGGGTTTTACACGATTGGTAATTGCCAGGATTGCAGGAAGTAGGTGTGTGGAGTGGCAAAGCCTCAGCCCACGCTGCCTGAGGAGCAGGAGAGCTCCTCGGAGGCACCCGGACTGCTGGGAGCTGCCAGCTTGGAGCCCACCTGGATCAGGCTCTTCTCCTCCCTCCTGCCGCTCTGAAGGCTCCGTGTGTCAGCAGGGCTCCCAAACCAGGCTGGGAATAATCTCTTGTCTGTTTTAAATTTCAGTCCGTGTGCGAGGTGGGGATTCAGGTTTGTGTGGGTGATTCATCTGCATGAGTCTCACACAGCAAATCCCTGGGGTTGGTGGGCAGGACTGGGGAGGATCCTGGTTCTGCTGCTGAGGGCCAATACCCATCAGTGCTTTCTGAGACACTGGTGCTGCCAGCACCCAAAGGTCATTTCACTCATCTGGCTCCTAAGACACCAATTAGACTCCTAATTTCCCACTCGACATTCCTCATCTGTTGTGGGGCTTCTATTTTGTCCTCACAGCCGGAGGAACCACTTTGCTGGCACTTGATAACAAATTGCACTTGCCCCATTTTCATGCAGAGTCTTATTTAGCCATTCTATTGCCTTTGTATCCCTGCTGCTTCCTAAGATGTCCTTAAGTACCCAGAGAAGCTGTGGCTGCCCCATCCCTGGAAGTGTCCAAGGACGGGTTGGACAGAGCTTGGAGCAACCTGGGCTAGTGGGAGGTGTCCCTGCCCATGGCAGGGGGTTGGAACCAGATGATCTTTGAGGTCCCTTCCAAGCCAAACCATTCTGTGATTCCATGACTCTCTGAAATCACCACTAAACCCAGTTCCTAGAAGAATGAACGTGAGGGTTTTTTTTTTTTTTCCATTTACCTTCTGTCAAGCCACTTATTTCTGCTTGAACTGTCAAGGAATGAGATGGATGTTTCCAAGCCTTGCAGTGCTTTCATACATCCAAAATAGCACGGCCACCTACTAGTGTGGAATGGCTTTGGAAGCAGAGTTCCAAAGCACTGGAGCAGCTGTCATCTGCTGCCCACGTTCATTAGGCAGAGTCTGCAATCAACTGGGTTCACGTGACAGTTGCTGCCACACTCAGCAGGAAGGCTCCGGGAGCTTTGGAAAACTATTCCATTCCTGCGTCGGGTTTGGGAACATACCTGGTGGTTTTCTTTCTGCAGCCACTTAGAATCGTTCAGGTTGGAAAAGACCTCTAATATCATCAATTCCAACTGTTACAATCACAGAATCAGGAATGGTTTGGGTTGGAAGGGACCTTATGGATCATCCAGTTCCGCTCCCCTGCCGTTGTCAGGGACACCTTCCACTGGCCCAGGTTGCTTCAAGCCCTGGCCTTGGACACTTCCAGGGATCCGCAGCTTTTCTGGGCAACCTGTGAGGTGCTCTCACCACCCTCAGTCGGTTGGGAGTTATCAGTTCCGTGACTGATCCACAGAGGTTGGAGGTTTTTATGGTGTCAGCCTTTACAACGGGTGAAGTGTACGCTGGACTTTGGGCTGCAGCGTTGCAGGTGCAGGGTGAGCTCATCATCCAAAATAATGCCTCATCCAGCCTCGTGGGGAGCAGGGAGCAGCTCTGGCAGCAAGAGGGGAATTCAGGAATGCGGGCTCTCTGTGTCTCCTGCTTTCCCCATCAGCCACACTTAGGAAGCAGCTTGTTTTTCTGTAGCCAGGCAGCTTTCACACCTCGCCCGATCTCTGTGGGATCAAACTGCTTCCTGCCCAGAACTCCCGTGTTGAGAGGGGGGGTTCGGGGAGAGGGGAGCTGGGTCTGCACTGTCCCTGATGGGTTGTGTGTGTTTCCTGCTCCCTGCCAGGCATCCGTGGTGTCGGAGCGGGACTACGAGAGCCTGGTGATGATGAGGATGCGCCAGGCAGCAGAGAGGCAGCAGCTCATCGAGCAGCTCCGGCGGGAAGACGAGGAAGAGTCTCACACTTAGCGTGACAGTAGGGATTCTCCCCACCCCTGCACCCCCCCCGCCCTGAGCTCTTTCTTAATTTAAGTCAATAAACCTCCTTTTTTAAAGCTGGTGTGGGAATACAAACTCCCAGGGACTGCGGCCTTTATCCCTTTCCAGGTTTGGGGAAGGAAATGGCTTCAGTGTGCAGGTATTACCCTGTCAGTGTGTGTCCAGAGCAGCTGCCCCATCCCATGGGACGGGGCGTGAGGGGTGCCATCAGAACACCAAACCTTGGAGCTTTTAATCCCTGGAAGCTCGTCTGGGAGCCATGCATCCAGAAGGATTTGGCTGCAGCTTCAAACAACCCACAGAAGGACATTGGTGTCTTTAGAGCAAAGCTTTATTGGTGTTACCCCTACAGCAGGATCCATACACAGCCCCAAACATCCCAGCAGTACAACTGCTGCTGTTGGGATTAGGGCCTGCTCCTGGAATGCTCACAACACCTTTCTGTGCTATTTTGGGAACCCTGTGTTATGCTTGGATGGCACTCTGGGATCTGGAAGTCTGAGGATGCTGCTGACCACGATCCTGTGTGGGATGGAAATGGGCCTTGCTGCCAAGGGAAGGGGATTCTCAGACCACTGGGTAGGTTTAGTGGTTCTCCCTCAGATTTCAGGGATGAGATGGGATGGTGTCCATGCCTGGTGTCCCCCTGTAACCTCCCTGGCCCGGGAGGAGGCACGGACCTCTCCAGGCAGCCTGAGAGAAGGCAGACAGGTCTGTTACTGAGCTTCCTCCAAGGCATGCTAAATAGATGATTAAAATGTAAAAAGCTGGAATTTGCCAGACTGCCATCCTGCTGAAGGCAGAGCTGGAGCCATCTGTTCCCTCTGCCTGATTTTTGGGCATCCTTTCCTCCCCATGCTCTTGGGAAATGACAAGGATGGCAAAATCCCACTGGGTCCAGCTCTGCCTCTGCGCCGCTCCTCTCCCCGCCCGAGCGCCGGGAGTCTGGGACAGGAAGGAATGAAGGGGGAAAAAATTCGCTGTCAGTCCGGTAGAGATGATGTCCAGCAGGATCTGGGCTGGGTGGAAGGCAGGATTCTTCCTGGCTATTCCCTGTGGAGGCACCAGACCAGGGTCTGGCCCACGCCGGTCATGCTGACCACGCGATAGCCGAGCTTCTCCAGCTTGTCCAGGACCACGCGCGGCGCGTCGTTCACGTAGTACTCACAGCTGCTCCCGGGAAAGAGGAGGAATAAAGTGAGCTGGGGGGAGGAAGAGACGGGAATTTCCTCGTGGAAGTGACTCTGCCTCACTCCTAACCCAGGTAAGCCCAGTGACTGCACCTGGCACAGGTGAGTGCGACGCAGTGCCTTGGTTAACCCGAGGGGAAGGACACAGCCCACGGTGCCAAACCAAGGGGAATCCTGTCCAGGAGGGAAGGATCAGGTTAAATGGGAATGTGGCTCAGGGATTGGGTGTCCAGAGCCACGTGCTGCTCGGAAACTGGGCTGAAACTGCAGCAGAGGGTTCATGGGTAAACACAGGGGAACACAGTTCTGGGAATTCATGGAGAAGGAGGAGAATCTGGGCCAAGCAGGGAGGAATGATTCAGGTGTTTCTAAGGAATGAAATCCCAGTGTTCTGCCCATGTTGGAGCATGTCTGTAAGCTGGGTGGGTTTGAGAGCCCGTGCTGATATTTGGGGATTGGAACAAGGTGCTGCCTTCAGTCAGGTGGGAAAGCTTTGGAAAGCCAGGAGTTGTCTGTCCTGCACAGAGGTGCCAGGTGAAGTGGAGCACAGGCTGCTCTGCCCCAGCAGTACTTGGGAATGGGAACTGTCACCGGGATCCTTGTCTGGCCCTAATTCCTCATTGTTTTTGTGCTGGCTCTGTGTTTGGAGCAGAAGCTGCTCATTCCTTCCCCTAGCTCCCAGAGTCTGCTCCTCTGTGGAATCTTGAGGGCTGTGACACTGCTCCCCAGTAAAGGACCAGACACAAACTGGGCTGAATTGGGTGGGGACAGCAGAGCTGAGCTGGCCAGTAGAACCTTTGGCACTGGATCTGCCAGCCTTTCCTTTGACACAGCTTCTGGGATGCAGTGTTTATTGGAGCAGCTGGGATAAGTTCCAGGGCAGCTCAGCCCTTAGGTGACTCGTGGTGCCTGATAATGACAGGTTGCAGGATCACTGGGGATCCAGTTTGGCCACCTTAACAAAGACTCTCCTGGTTTTCATACTAATAATGATAAAAAAAGGTCCAAAAGCCTTTCCAAAACTGCTCCTGCTCGGGCTGCAGAGCCGTGCTGGAGCAGGGAGTGCTTTAAAGCACAAAATAACCCCAAGATGTGAGAGATTTTCCAGTTTCTCAAGATAGACTGTACTTGGCTGTAATTATAGATGTGGTGTAAAGATAATGTGTGTTATTATAAATGTCTTTGAAGTCCATGCTTTCTCCAGGAGGGTTGCCACATAATCCTTCAGATTCCCAGTGGGAGGTGGTAAATATTATTCCCATTATTCAGAGGAAGGAGCAGAGGCAGGGATTTGTAGGAACCTAAAAAACGGAGTGGCTGAGCTAAAATCAGGAGGAAAGAGTTCCCGGGGCTTTATCACAGCTCTGTGCTGAGGGAGGCAAAGATTGCACAGTGTGGGCATCGGACACGCTGCCGTCTCCGTGTGCATCCAGCCGGGATGGAGGGGCTGGGACGCCTGCAAAGCCTTTTCTTCCAGATGAAATGCCGTCAGGGAAAAGAGAAGTCATCCCAGATCGGCACTGGTTTGGTGTGTGATTCCACCTGCTCTGCCTCCAGGTGTGCCAAACCGGGAGAGCCCACGCAGGGGTGGGGCAGGAGCGTCCTCCGCGCGCGGCGATTTGCGGGGATGGAGCAGCCGAGCTCCTGGGATCTCTGCCCAGCTCTCCTCCAGCTCCCTGAGGACGGGGTTTGGCCGTGCCCGGAGGAACAGGTACGCTGAATGTCAGCAGGTGCCTCAGCCCTCAGCTCCCATATCCAACAGGGATCGCAGTGAGGACCAAAGGGTGCTGAGAGCGTGTAACGACCGGAGAGGCCGAGGACCCACATCCGCCTGGGCACACCCAGAGTCCCCTTGTCCACAGCACCTGAGGGTCAGGGATTTGCCCCTCGCCGTGGCTGCCCCAGTGCTACATCTGGGCTCTTCCCCATGCCCATCCTAGCTGTCCCTGTGCCACCCCTGGCTGCCCCCAGGGCTCTGCCACAGGCCCAGAGCGCGGGGACCACGTGCCTGCTCCCCACACCTCGTGGGACTTAATGAGGGGCCTTTTGGCCGTGCAGAGCTGCGGAACAGGATCCGTGCACCCCCTGATTACAGGGAGTTAAGTGCTTCACCTGTCCATCCCGGTTTCCCAGCAGGTTCGTGCTGCTCAGGCATTTCCTTCAGGCTCCCTCCAAGGTCACGGTTAAGGTTTTGGGGCCCACGGTGCTGCAGGAAGGGGGAGGTTTGCAGCGTCTGTGTCTGCTCAGGAAGGACTTGGGGAAAATCCTGCTTGGCCGTGGTGCAGATCCTGGAGCTCTCGGCCCTGGTTGGGACGCTGGTGGAGGTGGCCGGGCTCGCCCCACTGGCACGTGGCCATGCTCTCGGGGTGCCAGCAGCCACCTTCCAGCCAGGGGACTTTCCCAATTCCCTGTTGCTCAAGAGCACGCGGGGACGACGTGCAGTGCCGCGGGGATGTGCTGAGGGGATGTGCCATGGGGATGTACTGTAGGGATGTGCCATGGGGATGTGCTGAAGGGATGTGCCATAGGGATGTACTGTAGGGATGTGCCGTGGGGATGTGCCAGGGGGATGTGCCAGGGGGATGTGCCAGGGGGATGTGCCATAGGGATGTGCCATGGGGATGTGCCACGGGGATGTGCCCTAGGGATGCAGCGGAGTTCCCAACTATGACACCGGGCTGTGCCAAGGAGCAGGTGGGGCAAGAGGAGCTCAAAAGGCTCCAGGCCACAGCGAGGGAAGATCCCGTAGGAAGCCTCAGATCCTTTCTCCCAAACAAGCAGAGCGTGGTGCTCTGGTCGGCGTGGTGCTCCTGCAGCTCCCCCAGCTGCTGGGGCAGGTGCCACAGAGGCATTTTTCTGTCCTTGCCTTCCTTTCCCACCCGAATCCCAGGGATCCTTGCCCAAATCTCTCAGGATCCAGCAGCGCTTCTTCCCTCTTGGAGCCTGTTCTCCTTCTCCCCTGCCGTGTCTCCCATCCCGTTGCGTAACTCGGGGCTCGGCGGGTGGCAGCACGAAGCCAGTGCTGCTGCCAATCCCTGCCCACCCACCGTCTTGGGAACAGCAGCACAGGGAGGGATCAGCCCGGCAAACCCCCCCAGGAATTCGGTTGGGATAGGGGGGGCCTCAGTATTTATATTTTATCTCCTTATTCTTTAAAATCTCCCACCCCACTCAGATTTTAAGGCTGCAGCAGCTGAGGATCCAGCCCTCGGTGTTTGCCAGGTTGGTGCTGAGTAGGGGGTGTTTTCCCAGCTCCTCAGATGGAAATTTAGGAATATGCTGGGACAAGAGGCCCCTTCTGTTAAATACCTGGTCCTTCTCCTCTGTGCTGTGGGACGTGAACAGGAATTGAGCTGCTCCTCTCTGTCAAGTTCATTTGCATTTAGAGTTTTGTTTTGCTTTGTGGTTGTTTGGGGTTTTTTCCCAGATAAAACTAAGGAGTGGAATATCAAGTGGGCAAAAAAAAAGGAAACAAAGTGGGCCAAGCCATGAGGAAGATGCTGGTCATGTCTCCACATGGTACTTTCCTGAAGGCTGAGGTCAAACTGAGCCTGGGCAGAGATGGGACATGGAGAAGTGGCAAATATCCATGGTTTGGGAATACGCAGGGAATAAGGGGTGGGAGTCGAGGGGGACACCACGAGAAGCAGCTCTGACCTCAGCACTCAGCAACCCATGGGAAAGGTCTGGGAGCTGTTGAGAGGGGCTGGCTCAGGAAAAACCTCGAGCTGCACTGGAGAACAGGATGGGACAGGACAGATTGTGGCTGAGCTGGATGGGATGGGATGGGATGGGACAGACAGTCTGCGGATGAGCAGGACAGGACGGACTGTGGATGAGCATTCCAGGTGGCTCAGCACCACAGGCAGAGCAAGGCTGTGACAGCAGCGTTTGCTCCTGAGTGTCTCAGGGCTGGAGATAATCAGACCAAGGAGATTTGAGTTCAGGATGAGGGGTGGGATGTTGGCAGATGGAGCCGTGCATGTCTTGTTCCAGCTGGGCCATGTGTCAGGTAACAGCCAGGAGCATCCTGGTGTGTAAGGGGTGAGGAGAGAGGGAAAGGTGGGTCAGGTGCTAAAAGAGGGCCAGAGCAAGGAAAAACTAAAGAACTAAGTGAAGTATCAGGCAGCATTTCCTCAGGTGAGCGTTGGCAGGCAGGACAAGACATGCCCCAGGATTAACTGTACAGCTGGAAGGTGCCGTAGGAAATGCCAGGAGTGAAAATGCTTCACGTTTTCTCAGGAAAATAATAAGAGGAGGACTTACAAGTTGTTGCCCGGCATGTTCCTCTTCCTGGCCCCCAGGAAGTCCATCAGGTTGGGATCTGAGTGCTCGTCACCCACCATGGTGGGACCAGCCTCCTGTGGGAGAGGCAGGGGAGCAGAGTGACATGTGGGGGTACAGCTCCTGCTCCCGCTCCCAGCACAGCTCCAGTAAGAGCTTTACTGGGAAGGGAATTGCCATGAACCACCTGTCTGGACCAGGAGGGGACCTCAGTGAGCCCTGCCCTGGCCACTGCCAGGAAACAGAGTCATTCCCCCCTGCAAGGCCAGGACGGGCTGTTCCCAGCAAGTTCCAGGCTGGAAATGTTTACTTTGCCCTGGAAAAAGAGCAGAGTTTCCAAATTCTCCAGAGGGGAGACTGAGCTCCACTGATCCAGGCTGCCAGTCCGATAGGGAACAGCACATGTGCCCTTTCCTGTACCTCACCCATAATCACTCAATTAGTTTGTCACTGCTGGCAGACGCTTCGGTGCTGCAGCGTCCCCTCACGTCCCCATTCCCAGTCCACTGCTGCTTCCTTTGGGATGTGTAATGGGACATCTCCAGCAGCAGCAGCAGCAGCGTCCATCACCCAGCTCCCTCCCTTTGCTCATTTGCTGTTTTCACCGTCCCCCCTTCCTGCCCCAAACCACGCTGGCATATTTGGGCTTTCGGGCGGACGGCTCCCCTTTGGGTTGGGAAAGGGAAACCCCAGATAAGCACAGGGCTGTGGGCTCCCGCAGAATCCTGCAGGATGTGCTGGCTGCCAGGAGCTGGGGAGCAGCTGCCCTGTGGGATGTGTGTGCTGCCAGCACTGGGGAGTTACGTTTCCTCTGTGGTTTTATCTGAGACTAACAGGCTGTGCCCAGCCAGGAATCCCTGACAGCGATCCCAGCCCCTGCCCGGCTCCTGCCAGACCCTGCTGCCAGCCATGTCCACTCCTCGGCTGGGTTTTCCACCCTGGAACGGCTCTTTGGGGACAAGAGGGAAAACGACGGCGAGGACGGGCGGGCAGGGCTGTCCCTTTGGCGTTCCTGGGATCCTGCCACAAGTTTCCCGAGTGAGTCGCTGTTTGGGAGAGGAGAATTTGGGGGGAGCAGAGCTGTGGTGTGGGTACCGCGGGCTCTCCACGCCCCGACCCCCGGGGTTTGGGCACTGGGGGCTCTCGCGGAGTGCGGGGGAGGTTTGTGCCGGACACCCCGCACCGGGCACCGTCCCCCAAATCTGCATCACCCCCAGCACCCTCCCCAGCAGCAGCGGGGACAGCCCAGCCCGGGACCGCACCCCTGGGCTCGTCCTGCCGCTCGTCCCGGTCGGTCCCTGCCCGCCCCCCGAAATTCCCCAGGCCCGGGGGTCCCGCCGGGACTCACCAGGCGGATTTGGGTGCTGATGAGCAGGTACGGCATCTCCGCTCCGCCGCTCCCGCCGCCGCTCCGGGGCCGCCCCCGGTCCCGCCCCGGCGCCACCGCCCCCGGGCAGCGCGGGGGGAAAAAGGGGCTCCCGGAGGGGTCAGAGGGGCCCCGCCGGGAATGGGGAGCGGGAGACCCCCGGGGGACTCCGACGGACCCCTCGACGAGAGGTGGGCAGGGAGAGGGTGGGCAGGAGGTGGTGGGCTGGAAGGAGATGGAGCAGGAGGAGAGGGACAGGGAGGTGACGGACCGGGAGGTGATCGATAGAGAGACAAAGGACAGGAGATGGTGAGCAGGGAAACGATGGTCCAGGAGACGACAGCCAGGGAGGTGGGGGACAGGAGAAGATGGGCAGGGAGGCGATGGACGAGGAGATGATGGACAGGGAGATGATGGATAGGGAGAAGAAGAACCAGGAAATTAATAGCAGGGAGATAAAGGACCAGGAAATGACAGCAGGGAGATGATGGAGCAGGAGCCAGGCAGGTGGGAAGCCCTGGGCCCTGCAGAGCATCACAATGCCCACCCCACCCTCTGACTGAACACTCCCCTGAAGCAGCGTGTTCCAATATTTTTGGGTGAAACTCCATTTTTCTACCAGCTGTCAAGCTTTTATCAGGGAACAGAGGGGTTTAAATCCCTTCACAATTTGAGGAGAAGCTCATTTCATGGGACTGGGACAGGCAGAGGCACTTCCTCTGCAGGTGCTGAGTAATTCCCCTCCCTCAATACCCAACCTCCCAACTGGAAAACCGTACATAAACCAAATAATACTTCCATAAATAGCAAATAATAGTTCCCTGGCCTCCAGACTTGGGGCCTCTCCACGCAGCTCCCCAGATTAACAAACACAGTCAATTCCTAATTTTGCTGATAACTCTCACCCCACTGGTTAAACATCAGCTCATTTTGATCATTCCCATCCTCAGGAGGCTCTTCCCCAGGTCCTGGAACAGTGGGAATGTTTGCTCATGGCTCTCCTGCCCCGGCACAAACCCACTGTCCAATGAACCAACAGCACCACCGCTCTGGCACCTTTCACTTTGGTTGGATTTGGACAGGATTCCCACAATCCATGTGCCCTTTGGATCCCCACCAGGTATGTGTGTTCTGTGGTTACCAGCCTGTTGGCTGCAGGGAATAACTTGGGTATGAAATCCAGACCCTTCCAGAAACTAAAGGAAACCTAGCCAGTGTTCTGGCAGCCTGCCCAGCTCTTGCTCTGCCTCTTAAACGAGAGCAGAGCTGCACATGACATTTTAATATTGAATTTCCTGAGGAGATACCGAAATCTGGGAGGCAGCTGGAGCATGATGGATCTCAGTGGTGCCATCCATCATCCAGGAGTAGCTTATCACGCTCCGGCCCTGGCTCCGAGCTGGCTGCTCCCAGCTCTGCCTGGACACGCAGGAGATGAGCCCAGCTCGGAATCACTCCCAGTAATTCAGGTAAAGGGAAGAGAAGGGTTCTTTGGCTCTGCCGTCACCCACGCTCCCGGGAGCAGGGAGCACACGGAGGGCTTGATTTTCCCACTCCTGACCGGCGCCTTTTCCTAAAGAATCCTTTGGATCTTCCAGAAAAGGGCATTTCTAGCTTTAATGATCCTGGGATAAACAGGTTCTTCTTGGGGGATCCTGCCAGGAATGTAAGTGCCCTCTGCACTCACTGTGTTTCCTGTAGAAGGGAGAAATTCCAACCCTAAAGGCTTGGGATGATTGTTTGGCCATTCCTGTCTCCTTCGCCTAATTCCACCTAAAATCCATTCTCTCATCCCAAGAACTGGTTGCTCTGTGCACAACTCCCTCACTGCAATAACCCTGTCCCACTTGGCTCCATTGAACATTCCCAATTTCCCATTTCCTGTCCCATTTGTCCCTTACTGCTGGAAGCTGAACATCCAATCCAGTGGGATTTCATTCCACGTACCCCCAGCCTGCGGGTGTTCTCTGCTGCTCTGAGGGTGTTAAAGGGTCTCTCCAGAAATTATTTCCTTGGAGAAGGACTTGGAACAAGTACAGGAGTATCTGCAGGTAGAGGTAGAGGTGTGGCTGGAACTGTAGGTTCTGGTGTAATTTTAGGTTCAGGTACAGGTGGAACGAGATACATGTACAGGTACATGTACAGGTGTAAGTATAGGTTCATGTGCATGTACAGGTGTAATTTTAGGTTCATGTACAGGTGTAATTTTAGATCCATGTGCAGGTACAGGTGTAACTTTAGGTCCATGTACATGTGTGGGTGTGACTTTAGGCTCAAGTACAAGTGTGACTTTAGGTTCATGTACAGGTCCAGGTGCAACTGCAGGTCCAGGTCCGGGTGTAACTGTGGGTGCAGGTGCATGTGCAGGTGCATGTACAGGCACAGATACAGGTCCAGGTGTAACCACAGGTCCCTGTCCCTGTCCAGGTCCTTGTCTGTGTCCAGGTGTACCCGCAGGTCCCTGTCGCTGTCCAGGTCCGTGTCCATGTGTACCCGCAGGTCCCTGTCGCTGTCCCTGTCCCTGTTCGTGTCCATGTGTCCCCACAGGTCCCTGTCCCTGTCCAGATGTCCCCGCAGGTCCCTGTCCCTGTCCCTATCTCTGTCCCTGTCCAGGTGTACCCGCAGGTCCCTATCCCTGTCCCTATCTTTGTCTGTGTCCAGGTGTACCCGCAGGTCCCTGTCCGTGTCCATGTCCAGGGACCCCGCAGGTCCCTGTCCCTATCCCTGTCCCTGTCCGTGTCCAGGTGTACCCTCAGGTCTCTGTCCCTATCCCTGTCCCTGTCCCTGTCCGTGTCCAGGTGTCCCCGCAGGTCCCTGTCCCTATCTCTGTCCGTGTCCAGGTGTCCCCGCAGGTCCCTATCCCTATCCCTGTCCCTATCCAGGTGTACCCGCAGGTCCCTGTCCCTCTCCCTGTCCGTGTCCAGGTGTCCCCGCAGGTCCCTGTCCCTCTCCCTGTCCGTGTCTATGTGTACCCGCAGGTCCCTGTCCCTATCCCTGTCCGTGTCCAGGTGTCCCCGCAGGTCCCTGTCCCTATCCCTGTCCGTGTCTATGTGTACCCGCAGGTCCCTGTCCCTGTCCGTGTCCAGGTGTCCCCGCAGGTCCCTGTCCCTGTCCGTGTCCCCGTAGGGCCCTGTCCATGTCCAGGTTTCCCCGCAGGTCCCTGTCCCTCTCCCTGTCCGTGTCTATGTGTACCCGCAGGTCCCTGTCCCTATCCCTGTCCGTGTCCAGGTGTCCCCGCAGGTCCCTGTCCCTATCCCTGTCCGTGTCTATGTGTACCCGCAGGTCCCTGTCCCTGTCCAGGTGTACCCCGCAGCCCGTCCGTGTCCAGGTGTCCCCGCAGGTCCGTCAATATCCCGGTCCCCATCCAGGTGTACCCGCAGGTCCCTGTCCCTGTCCCGTGTCCAGGTGTCCCCGAAGGTCCCTGTCCCCATCCAGGTGCACCTCCACGTGCCCGCTGTGTGGGCGTGGCCCCGCCGCCCCTCCCACGCCGTGCGCGGCCCCGCCCCGCCGTGACGCTCCCCGCTTCCCATTGGTCCGCTCGGGGCCGCGCCCGGTGACGCGCCCGGTGCGCGCGGCCCGCGCCCGGTGCCCGGAGCCGCCATGGCCGTGCCGGTGTCCGTGGCCGCGGCGGTCCCCGCCCGGGCCGGGCCCCGCCTGGCTCTGGCGCTGGGGCTGGGGGCGGGCGCCGGCCTCGGCCTCGGGCTGCTCTGGGCCCTGCGCCGCCGCTGGAGGGAGGCGGCCGCGCCGCACGGCCGCGGTACGCGCGGGGAGAGCGGCCCCGGAGCGGGCCCGGAGCGGGCTGGGCATGGAGGGGACGGGGCTGGAGTGGGGCTGGGGTGGAAGGAACGGGGTTGAGAGGTATGATGGGGGGGGCGTGGGGCTGGGGTGGAGAGACGGTGGGGTTGGGTTGGAGAGGAGGGGCTGGAGTGGGGCTGGGATAGAAGGAGTGGGGTTGGGATAGAAGGAGTGGGGTTGGGATAGAAGGAATGGGGTTGGGATAGAAGGAATGGGGTTGGGATAGAAGGAATGGGGTTGGGATAGAAGGAGTGGGGTTGGGATAGAAGGAATGGGGTTGGGATAGAAGGAATGGGGTTGGGATAGAAGGAGTGGGGTCGGGATAGAAGGAATGGGGCTGGGATAGAAGGAATGGGGTTGGGATGGAGGGCATGGGGCCGGAATGGGGCTGGGATAGAAGGAATGGGGCTGGGATAGGGGGGATGGGGGAAATGAGGTCGGAATGGGGGGGAATGGGGCTGGGATAGAAGGAATAGGGTTAGGATAGGGGGGATGGAGGGAATGGGGCTGGAATAGGAATGGGGGAAATGGGTTTGGGATGGGGGAAATGGATTTGGGACAGAGGGGAATGGGGTTGGAATGGGGGAAATGGAGTTGGAATAGGACTGGAATAGGGGGAATGAGGCTAGAATGGGGGAAATGGGGTTGGAGTAGGGGAAATGAGGTTGGAATGGGGCTGGAATGGGGGAAATGGGGTTGGAGTAGGGGAAATGAGGTTGGAATGGGGGGAATGGGGTTGGGATAGACAGTGTGGGACTGCAATAGAGGGAATGTGGTTGGGATACGGGGAAATGGGGTTGGAATGGGGGAAGTGGGGTTGGACTGAAGGGAATGGGGCTAGAATAGAGAAAATGGGGTTGGAATAGGGGGAAACATAGGGGGAATGGAGCTGGAATAGGAGAAATGGGGATGGAGTAGGGGCAAGGGGGATAGAACAGTGGGGAAATGCAGTTGGGAAAGGGGGAAATGAGGTTGGGATGTTGATGCCAGTTCAGAACCCTGACCTTGCCAGGTTTTATCCACGTCTGTGCAAAACTTTGGGAATAGAAAGTGAAACTGTGTCTTTTCACAGTGATCATAGACTCATGGAATCCTGGAATGGTTTGAGTGGGAAGGAATCTTAAAGATCATCCAGTCCCACCCCCTGCCATGGGCAGGGACACCTTCCACTAGCCCAGGTTGCTCCAAGCCCTGTCCAACCTGGCCTTGGACACTCCCAGGGATGGGGCAGCCACAGCTTCTCTGGGCAACCTGTGCCAGGGCCTCCCCACCCTCACAGGGAAGAACTCCTTCCCAATATCCCATCTATCCTTGCCCTCTGGCAGTGGGAAGCCATTCCCCCTAGTCCTGTCCCTCCATCCCTTGTCCCAAGTCCCTCTCCAGCTCTCTTGGAGCCCCTTTAGGCCCTGGAAGGGGCTCTGGGGTCTCCCCGGAGCCTTCTCCAGGCTGAACAATCCAAACTCTCCCAACCTTTCTTCATAGCAGAGCTGCTCCATCCCTCTCACCATCTTGGTGGCCCTATCGAGATCAAGCCTCGTGTCCCCTGTCCCCTGCCAACAGAACTGCAGTCAGATTTCCCGCGTGGAATCCTTTCCCACGGGCGTCTAAAGGATTTGTTCCGCTCTTCTCCAGCCCAAGCCGCGCCCGGAGCGCTGGTCCCTGCGGAGGTGGGGGATGGAACCACGCACGCACCCCTGCTGGGGCAGGAGCAGCAGCTGGAGCTGCTGGAGCGCCTGGACTTCGTGGTGAGGAACCTCGTGGAGCTGAGGAAGGAGGTGGAGGAGCTGCGGAACAGCCTCCAGCACCTGGCTGTGGAGATCGTGGGGGAAGTCAGGTACCAGCCCTGCCCCTCCTGCCTGCTGCTCCCTCACCCCACGGCACAGCAGAGCACCCAGAGAATCCCACACTCATGGAGTGCTTTGGGTTGGAAGGGACCTTATAGCTCATCCAGTGCCACCCCCTGCCATGGGCAGGGACGCCTTCCACTAGCCCAGGTTGCTCCAAGCCCCGTCCAGCCTGGCCTTGGACACTCCCAGAGATGCCATGATTATGTTAAATGTAGTATCCAAAAGTGGAAAAGGAGTCTCTCCAGCTTCCACTGGCCTTGACCTGCAGTGGGATTAGTGTGAAAACAAGTTTGTGTTCAGGCAGGGCTGGCATTTTCCTTATGGAATATCAGGAGTGACACCTGCTTCATGTTCTAGTCTGGGAAGGTTGGTTGTTCCTCAAAGAATTCTGGAATGGTTTGGGTGGGAAGTGACGTTAAACACCATCCAGTCCCACCCCCTGCCATGGGCAGGGACACCTTCCACTAGCCCAGGCTGCTCCAAGCCCCATCCAGCCTGGCCTTGAACACTCCCAGGGATCCAGGGACAGCCACAGCTTCTCTGGGCAACCTGTGCCAGGGCCTCCCCACCCTCCCAGGGAGGAATTCCTTCCCAATAGCCAACCTAAGTTTCCCCTCTTTCAGTCCAAACCCTTTACTCCTTGTCCTACCACTGCGGTTCCTGATGAAGAGACCTGATGAATATTGCATATATGGATTAGACATGGATTATATGTGGATTGGATATGGACCAAGGCTTGCTTTACCTGGAGAATACAACCTGCCTGGGAGTGGGATGTTTGTATAAGCCGGAGTAAATCACCCTGTGAATTCTTTGGATGTAAAGGGAGTTGGCTGGAGTCTGCTGGAGAGGAGAAGGGAAGGGAAATAGCAGCTCTTTCACTACCAAATATTCATTTCTTTCTCCTTTTCCCTTCCTCACAGGTCCCACCTGGAAGAAACCCAGAGACTGAACCGCCGGAGGAGGTTCCCCTATGCCAGGGAGAGAAGTGACTCCACAGGCTCCAGCTCCATTTATTTCACAGCCAGCTCAGGGAATGCCAACACGGATGATGGAGAGAGTGAAGGGGGGTAAGCAGAGCACCAGGCCAGGGGCAGCTTTCAGGGGCTTTCGTGCCACATCTGAGCTGTTTATAACAGAAATTAAGGGAGTTTTTTTTCCCCAGTGGGTGTCTGTCAGCCTGTTATAGTTTGCTTTTATTGCAGTAAATGTGTCACTGCCAGGGCCACACTGGGAGATCTGCAACAGTCCTGACTTCTAGAGAAAGAAAAAAATCATATATATATATATATATATATATATATAAAAGGGAGGGAAGGTGATTTTAAAGGAATAATTTGGTTAAGGAACGTTGTAGAAAGGAGGAAAGTAGAAGTCCAACCTGGGACCGAAGTGAGAATGTTTAGAAATAAAATTTCAAGACAATAATGTATTTTTGAGTGCCTGGAAAACTTGAGAAAGTTCGGAATGAATTAACTGAATGTCTTCAGTTAACTGAATGTCTTCAACTAGGGTGTTTCTTGGGATTTTTTTCCCATTGTGAGATCAATTCTTTTAAGTTCTTAGAGTTTAAAATCAGGTGAAAGTTATAAACTCGCACAATCAGGGAATATCCTGAGGTGGAAGGAACTTAGGAGGATCATCAAAGTCCAACTCTTGGCCCTGCACAGGACAGGAGAGTACTGAGTAGTTTAAGAACATCATTAAAAATGACAATATGGCTTTAGGTATATTCATATTAGACAGGCAACAAGAGTTCTCCTGCACACCTGGCGGTGACTGCTGATTTTCCAAGGAAATGCTGCTCTTTTGTGCCTCAGTCAGACCAATTTGGTAGCATCTGAGGTATGGAAGTGTGTCCCAAAACGTGTAAGTTTTTTTCCCAGGGCAGTTGAAATGTAATTTAAAGAGAGATTTTGTAGCAGTGGGAGCATTTCAGGGGAAGTTTGGACACGATGGGGAGCAGCCAAATGACCTGTGAGCCGGTGCCAGCACTTTGCAGCAGGGGATTTGTCTTCCCAGGACGGAAAACGTGGATCTGCAGGAGGGCAACTTGTGACTGCCCTAAAATCGTGTCATTTTAGTGTTTTCTCTCTCCTAACTGGAGCTGGTGTGGCAGGAGAGAGCTGGGATGATGTCACTGGGGTTGTAAGAGCTTCATTCATCCGGAGTGGGTGTTGGAATGAGAGGGAAATGAGGCAGTGAGTGATTCATGGTGGTGTAATAGGGAACGAGGGTGCAGAACAGATTTTAAAATGTCTGGTTGGTTCTGAAGACGAGACATTTGCTGTTTGGGTAACAGCAGATGCACTGAATCATCAGGGTGACAGTGGCTTTTGTAAAATTGATGGAAAAGGTGGGTTTTGTCCACCTTGATCCCAGCCTGGGGTGTCCCCTGCTGATAGAAAACTGTAAGTTGTGGCAGAGGCCAGGAATTCAAAGGTTCAGAAAAGGCACCTCCTTAGGGGACAGGGGTGTGTTTTACTGCAAAGCCTCATTAATTTATTTGGGAATCCAGTGATGGTTGGAGGAGTTCTTACATTGTAACTAAAATCTGTAACTAGAACTCTCATCTGATTTAAAAAAAACCCCTGGAATAATGTAATTTCTCCCTGTGGAGGACCATAGGGATAATGTCAGTCTGGTCAGGACCAACTGCCTTTAGTGTGCAGTATTGTCTGATAGAGATGTAAATGTACTAGAAGAGTAACATTTTCAGGGTTAAAATGAAGGTAGGAAATGTAAATTTTGGAAGAAACAATTGAAGCTCTGGAGCAGCCACTGGGAGGAAGAATGAGATAAATTTCAGCTGGATGTTCCTTGCTGGCAGTTGAATTATTTTTATGGAATTCAGAACAAAGAACTCCCATTTCAGCTTTATTTTGTGAACCACATGGACATGAGCAGCTTCTCCTATTCCATGCACAATTCCCAAAAATCAGCGAGTTCTCAGAGGTTTTGGGCTGTTTAATTTCCTGGTGTGGCTTTGGGTTTTGGGCTTCTTTGCCTCTCCTTTCCGTGGGCTTTTTTGTTCCAGACTCTTGTTTTCCTTCAGGATGTGTTTTAGCCAGAGGCCCTCCTAAAGTATTCCAGTTCCATCACTGTAAGTTCAGGAAAATAGGCTGATAACATCTAAATCCCTTAATCTCCCTGAAGGCTTTGAGCTTGTCCTGTTCCTTGTCTTTTTGAACTGCAGCAACTGGGAGAAAACATGGGGGTTTTTTGAGCTGAAGGACTGAAACCTTGGCAACTGCCAGGAAAATGCTGGGGGTTAGGATGGGGAAATATGGGAATTTGAGGAGTTTGTGTCCAGCTACTGAAAATGGGGTAGTCTAGAGAACTAATAATACCTTAATATCTTATTAATTAATCTTAAGAAATGTAAAGAAATGAAGCTTTTAATGTGAAACAGAGCTCAGCCAGTGTCACCTGCCAGTGTCACCTACCCCTGTGTTGCTGCATTATCCATGAATTCAGTGGCATCTCCAGCATGGCATCCTTGCTTTCCTGCCTCTGCTGACTCTTTGTTCCTTGCCTTAAAATGTTGCAGTACAGAAATGGTGGGTTTTAAATTTCTGGATGAGGGTTTGGAGGCTCTACTGAGCAAGGGTGTTGGTTCACCCTCTGCCAGAGAGGGAAATGCTTGAAAGTTGTGGATGGTTCTCAGAAAAGTGAAGCTTTGATAGCCAGATGTGTCTTGTTATCAAGGTGTGGGTGAAGTGCTGTCACTGCCTCCTTCAGATACAGGCTGTGGGCACATATCTGGGTCCCCAGACAAAGGCAAGATCACAGGGCTGTTCCTTGGGAAGAGGAATCCAGCCAGGACACAGTGCTGGAGGTACCCAGTGCCCTCAGACTGCAGTGAATTTAATTCTGGCAGAACTGGTGTAGTTGTCTTGTTGTTCACCTAAATCAACAAAATCCACATGTTAAAGTGCAGTAATTTTGAAATTACTGCCCGATTTGTGCCTGTTCTGCAGTTAAGAGCTTGCAGGTCGGTGTGAGGGGGACAAATAATCTTATTTTAAAAGAAATTGGCTTTGTGAGTAGACTCCCCCTCTGCAGTGGTGCCACTGTACAATGCCAGTTTAAATTTTAAATTCCTACCCTAAGTGCTGGGGGAGCTTAATTTTAGCCATTTTCAGAAACTTGGATCTGAGCTTTACAGAATCAAGGAGGTTGGAAGAGACCTCCAAGGTCATAGAGTCCAACCATCATTGTGGCACCACCAAAACCCTCCCTAAACCGTGTCCTGGTTCTTTTGATTAATTCAGCTGTGAATCATTCCCTGGGTTTTTCACGTGTGGTGTCTCTTTGTGGCTCATCCTCTTGCTCCTCGCTGGATTTCTTGCTGCTGGAAAAGAGTCTTGGTGGCTTTCCTACTGTTCTTCACCTTTTCACCTGGCAGTGGGAACGAGCTGTGGGGCATTTAGTGACCAGGATGATGGAGGGATGAGGTGTTGCCAGGAGAGCTGTTGTGCCTAAAATTCCCTGGAGCAGGCTAAATCCCTCAGGTTATACTTTCCAGATGGATTGTTGAAGTTCTCCTTTATAATCCATATATTTAACTGAATAGTCCTGACTCTGCTTTCAGCTGTTTAATTCTGTTGCACTGCAGTTAGAAGAGCTAAGAGGAGCTGGCAAGGTGTGCAGGTGAGGTGGGGACACTTAAAATCCTGGAATGGTTTGGGTGGGAAGGGACCTTAAAGCTCATCCAGTTCCACCCCCCTGCCATAGGCAGGAACACTGTTCACTAGACCATGTTGCTCAAAACCCACTTGTGACTTAAGTTCCAAGGGACCTTCGTCCTTCAGCATTCTGTGCTTTCCTTCAGATTTTTTGGATATGTTAAGTGAGAAATAGTGACTGTTCCAAGAAATCCAAGATTGAGACACTTGTGTCGTGCAGGATAAGCTGAGATGCTCCTCTTCCTCTGTTGGGAATAGCTCCCAGAACTGATTTTGTGTCGGTTTTTTTTTCCCTCCCAAAGTTACACCACGGCCAACGCCGAGTCCGACTACGACCGGGAGTCGGAGAGGGAGAGCGAGGAAGGGGAGGATGAAGTGAGCTGTGACACAGTGAGGACGGTGCGCCGGGATTCCCTGGACCTGGTCACCGAGGATGAAGCCCCTCTGGCCCTGGATTCCTCTCTGGAGGAGGGGCTGGGGCAGCTCCTGCAGCAGGCTGACCGCCTGCACGCCGGGGACGAGCGGGACAGGAGAGAGGGGTTCCAGCTGCTCCTCAACAACAAGCTGGCGGTAAAGGTGCCTTGTGGTGTCCCTGTGCTGGGGGAGGGTCAGGTTGGACAGCAGGAGGAATTTCTTCGCTGAGTTTCCAACCCTTGGCTGATCTCCACCTTGTCCCCCAGCCCAGAGCACTGAATGTCACGTCCAGTCCTTCCTTGGACACCTCCAGGGGTGGGGACTCCACCACCTCCCTGGGCAGCCCCTGCCAATGTTTAACCACCTTTTCCATGAATAAATTCTTGCTGATGTCCAACCTGAACCTCCCCTGGCACAACTTGAGGCTGTTCCCTCTCCTCCTGTCCCTTGTTCCCTGGGAGCAGAGCCTGACCCCCCCCGGCTCCCCCCTCCTGTCAGGGAGTTGCAGAGCCAGAAGGTCCCCCCTGAGCCTCCTTTTCCCCAGGCTGAGCCCCCCCAGCTCCCTCAGCCGCTCCTGCTGCTCCTTCCCCACCTCTCTTTCCTTCTCTGGACTCACTCCAGCCCCTTGATATCCTTCGTGCCATGAGCTGGACACAGGATTTGAGGTGCAATCCCTGCCCTGTCCTGTGCCCACACTTTGTTATAAACTCACCCCCCTCCCAGTTCTCTCAGCTGTGGTTCTGCTTTGGTTCTTGCACAGTCGGGGCGTTTTAAGGCTTAAAAAAGAGTTTAAAAAAAACCCCCAAAACCCCTAACTTCTAACACGTTGGTTTGTAATTCCCTTTGCCCCGTGGCAGACGGGCCTCGATCCGTAACATTCCCGTTTTCCTGCAGTACGGGGAGCAGAGGGAATTCCTGTGGCGCCTGGGCCGGGCTCACAGCGACATGTGGGAGCTCACGGAGGACGAGGAGGAGAAGCAATCCTACGCCTCCGAGGGTAAGGAATTCTGGGCCCGGGCACAGGAAGGCTGACACTCGAGCTTTATAAACCCTCCACCTGCCAACAGCGCAGGGCATTGATTGTTCTGCCTCGTAATCTGCTTTTTTTAGGCGAGTGGGCAGCAGTGCTGGAGTGTTTTATGCTTAAAATACAGGCATAGACTTTTATATAAATCTAGAAATATAATTTGTAGGTTTTTTTATTTATAAATTTAAAATTCGTGCTTGCTGAAAGAGTGAAAGTAGGCTAAGGCCTACTGAAAGCCATAAAAGCTTGTTTCTCTAACCTGTCATCCATATCCTCTCTGATATTAAAATAAATTATAAAATATTATTATAAATACATTATTATATATAATAATCTATAATAATATGAATATAAATATGTTATTATGTTACATATAATAATGTATAATATTATAAATATAAATATATTATTATATATAATAATGCATAATATTATAGATATAAATATATTATTATATATTTATATATTTATATATAATTTATTATCTATAATAATCTATAATATTATGAATATAAATGTTATTATATTATATATAATAATGTATAATATTATAAATATATTATTATGTATAATAATGTATAATATTATAAATATAAATATATCATTATATATAATAATGCATAATATTATAAATATAAATATATTCTTATATATTTATACATTTATAAATTATTATATATAATATTATATATTTATAATATTATACAAATATTATATATTTGTAATTATTATATTATTATATATTTATATTTTTATATTACTTATAGAATATTATAAATATAAACATATTTATAATATATAATATTATAAATATAAATATATTATTATAAATAAAATATAAAATAAATAAAACATAAACAAAAAAATAAACATTAAACAAAAATAAACATCAGGGAAAAAAAATAAAAGCCTTGGCTTCAACACATTTGATTTTTTTTTTTGTGTTGCCAGCACATGCAGATACATAAAAAAAAAAAGAAATGTATTTTTAGACAGGTGTTTGCTTAGAAGAGTCACTTTAATTTTGTTCCCTCATTCTTTGCCACCTCAGATGTGTTCACAAGTTTTTAGGTGAGTCACAGTAGAACAGAAATCATCTTTATTAAGGTTAAGATGTGCAGCAAAAGGTACTAATCTAAATAACTTCTGCCCCATTTGTTACACATGTAACTATAGCTAATATAATTATTCTTTTCTGGGAATCAGTGTAGCCATTTAAACATGGAATTTTAAGTTTTATATGGTCCTCTTAGTCTGCAGTAAATGCTTAGTTAGCAGCCTTTTGAGTCTGCAAAAGGATGAAATTATTTACAGGGCATTTTTCAAGCCACACGTGGTATAAAATTAACAAATATATTATTTTTATACATACATATATATATATATATATATATATATTATTGTACTCTAGCAGCCACAAAGAAAGAAGTCAGGAGAGAAAGCAGCTGAATTTCTTACCTCTGGCTACATTTTTTTTCCAGGGAAGAAAGAGCTGGAACTTGCCTTACAGAAGTGGGACCAAAGTGCTGAGTGCCACCAGTGGTATGTGATTTTTTTTTTTCCACTTCTTGCTTATGAAAAGTGTAGGAAAAGAACTTGGAGGTTGTTGGGAGCTGAGCTGCAGTTTAATAATTAAAAAAAAAAACCCAACCCAACAAGATCCCAAACACTTATTTGCTCTTACTTGCAGTGTCCTACACTGAGGGTATTTTCCATCAAAAAAGCTTGGAAATGAAGGGAGACAGCAGCATGTGGCTCTGTTTTTAATTTAAACAAAGATATTTTATGTGGGTTTTTTTTGTGGAGTGGTTCAGATATTTGTGGAGGTAAGGCAATGTGCCTTTCTGGTGAATTCCTCCATGAACAGTGTTTATCAGCAGATAGTGTAAAGGTCTGACAGCACATAAATTAGAATAAAAGGGAAATTACTTTTTTAAATGGAAATTATTGGGAAAACAAGATGCTGAGTATCTTTACCAGACAAGATCTGTGCTCTTCTAATGAGCAGATTTATTTGGAGGGTTGTTTTGGACTACTGGCATCTGAATAAATGCCTTTATTGTCTTAAAAAGACTCTATTTCAGTTGTTAGTAATGAATTGCTGTTTTCAATTAAAGCTTTGGTAGGAAGGATGAATTTTTGGGGCAGGAAAATCTCCAGCAGAGTATGGTATTGGGCTCTGCTGGCTTAACACCTTGAAAAAATGGGTTTTAGTTGCCAGGGTGGATCTTAAAGTTGGTATTTTACAAAGCAAGGTTCTACTCCAGGGTTCCATATTGGTAGGTTTGCTTTGTAATTCAGATTTTGGGACAGTCCTGGGCCTCTCAGACCCTTCTCCCAGACAGGGATAAGGCTCCTGCACAGCTACATCTTGCTTTTAGTTCTTCAGAGCAGCTGGAGAAAGGAAACAGCAGAGCAGCCTGTGGGAGGCGTGGGATTTCTTGGGAATGAATATGTAATTCCCTTTATCAGCACAGAAATTATTATTTACTGCCATGAATAGAACAGGAAATTACTCTCTTCCCAGCACTGAGGTGGTCACAAGCTGGTTTAATTGCAGCCTTTTTTTATGCTAATTGAATTTATCCTGAGGAGGAGAAAAAAACCAGTAGAGTCTTTAAAGCTTTTTGGGGGTGGATTTGGTGCCCCAGCTCTTGGTTTATGGAGAACATTGTTCACACTTGCTTTAAATTACAGTTTTATTCTGTCATATTTCTCTCTCCAGTGCCTGATTCCTGTTGTGAAAACCCTAATCTGTTATTATCCCTTCTCATAGGGAATAATGGGTTATCTCTCACTACCCACGTTGTCTTTCCCACATTATTCTCCCTCTTCCATATATTTTTCCAGACAAAAGTGGGGGGAAATCCAGTGCAGGACACAATCCGTGGGAGCAGGATGGATTTGTGTGATGCTGATGGGATGGTCCCTTGCATCCTTACTTCCATATACAGCATCCCAAACACCATCCTTGTCTTTCCCACTACATCCCAAATGGCCATTTTAGTAGAAATATTCCCAATTCTTTTCCTGCCTCTCCACACAGGCTGTGTGAAGCCTCGTTGTGCAGGTCTGGCCTGTATTTTTTCTCTCTCTGTGTGTGCATTATTTCCTATTGACTTTCTATTTTACCAGTTGCCTGTTTTATCAGGATTCCTTCAGTTGAAATCGTGCTGGTTTCTGGTCCTTTTTATTTTTTTATTTTTTTTGCCTTTTGTGCTTGTTATTTCCTTCTGCCCAAATAATTCCCAGCCTTATTGGCTGAGGAAAGAGAGAAAGTACTTTCCACTCAGGGATCATTGCAAGGAAAGCTTTTCCCCCTTGATGCCTCATGGTTGTTGCAGTAATTGCTGACATTTCAAAGCAACAAGCAAAGGGAATAACTTTGGGAAAGGGAAGGATTCCTGCTGGGGAATCAGTGAGGAGGAACAGAAGTGTGGGAGCTGTGTTGGGTATTAAATGCCCTCAGTACCTTTGGAGTGGATTTATTTGTGCATCCAGGGCTGAGGGATATTGGAGCGAGTGATCTAAAGCCTCTGCACTCCTGATTTACAAGGACCTGATCCTTACTTGGGATTTAGACATCAAAATCATTCTCTGCTTTAATTGTAAAAAGATCTCTGAGCAGGTAGAATTTATGTCCAGCTAAACTGATTTCATCCCTCAGCTGATCCCAGCCCATGAGTAGGACAGAGCAAGTTCCTAAGTCTGTCCTTGCTTTTAGGGATGGAAGAGATACAAAATGCAAAGAAATATGATAGAAATATGATTGTACAAACCTCTGTGCTTTGCTGCTTGGACACAAATATGTGACATCTCACAAATAAGGTGAGAAACAAGTGTGGCCTTTTAGAATTTCCAGTCCAGTAGCATCTTTAGGGATCAGGAAAGGAGAGCAAGCTCTAGGTTTGCCTTGCTTCCCATTCCTGTTGCTAAAAGAAATATTGGAAGTGCAACCAGAGGGATTTCAGAGAAATCTGGGGAAAACTGTGTGGGTGTTGTTTTTAGTTTGAGTGGAATATTTTACACTGGAAATGAAGTGCTGACTGTTGCAGAAGGAATAATAAGCTCTGGCTTATTCCTTGGCTTATTATTATTCCTGTGTGTTATGGAGAAGTGGGATTGGGTTGGATGAGCCTCCAAAATGTGCCCTTTCTTCTAGAGAGTCTGTCAGTTTGGTGGAACATCTTGCACACTTGATCACCAGCCCTTCTCAGTTCCGTGGGTACATCTGGCTGTCCGTGGGCAGATCCTGGATTTTTGAAAAGTCACGGCATTCTGGATGTGCCTGGGAGACAGCTCTGATTTAACAACTGGCAGTGCTTCAGGATTTAACTCTTGGTGGGTCACTGCCCAGACCTGGCCAATTTTGAGCCAGATTCTGGGTTTATGAGCCGACTGTTTTCTGCTCCATAGGCAGATTAAACAGGGAATTTACTGACAATATGGGGCAGCAGCAACCATAGGAATAGTTAGGAGATATTTCAGAATGCAGAGGAAGAAAAATAGCACAGAGTTAGAGCTGCCTGGTGGCATCCCCCTGACCTGTGTGCCCTGGGAGGTTAATTCAGGAAGTAACTTGAACATCCAGAGCACAGGAGCTCTCCCATGTGGATGTTTGTGGGAAGGAAGGAAAGGAGCACATCTGCCTTCCTCACTTTTTCCTTCCATCTTGTCTCCCCTTGGAAAAGCCAAAGCTTTTTTTTTTCCCCCCAACCTCCTTAGGATCAGCTGGTCATTAATTTCAGGTTGGGAATTCTGCTGTCTCTCCCAAGGTACTAGTTCCCAGATGAATTATTATTTTAATGTTTGGTTGTTGCAGTGTGAATACCTGCCTGCTAATTCCGTGTCTCCTTCCCTCAAGTGGAGGGACTGCTGTGCATCTGCTGTGTGCACAGGAAGGTTGAAAAGCTGGGAATGCTCATAAAATATTGAGAAAACTTGTCTTTGAAATGGTTGAAAGAGCTAAGAGCTGTGTTTGGGTTGGCAGAGCATCCTAACCACGGAGGGAAGGTGCTGGAGACTGTATTCCATGGGCAGAGTCCTGCTTCCAGGGAAGTCAGCCAGAGTGTAGCATCCCAGTGAACTTCCTGAAAGTCCTGAGCCTGGAGATTTAAGCTGGAAGAACAGGCTCTCTCAGCTGGGGGTATCTGTTTCCACAGGGTTTATTTTCTAATAAATGGGGAAATCCTGAGCTGAGATTCCTGTGGGAACTGCAGCTTTCCCACTGTCAGCAGCTTAATGAGGAGTCTGGTTAATAATTAATCGAGTGATATCCTAATGGAGGCTTTGGATGGCTGCTTAGACATGGATCTGAGCAGTGCTGCAGAGGTCACAGGGAATGAAAATCCCCTAAATCATAATTTTTCAGGTCTCCTGGTCCTGCTGCTCATCCCTCCTGCACCTCCATAGTGTCTGTGGTGACTCTCATCCCGAGGCATTCCATGGAATGAGCTGGAATAAATAGGTCCACTGTGCCAAGCTAAACAAGCAGAGGAGAGAACAGCAGAAATCAGAGCCTAAAATCCCAGGAATGCAGAGTTGTGGGTGTGAAAACCTCCAGTGGACCTGGGACCGGCAAAGCTGTTTAGGAAAAATCATCTTTCCTGGGAATACAGTGAAAAACCAGTTCAGGCATCTCGTCCCATATATATTTTTTAGCTCATTTCACAACTGAAATTTACAATTTACTGCTGCTTTTATGGCTTTTTCACCAACATTCCACCAGGCTGTTAAAAAAAACCCCTGGAATTTATATTTCTTGACATGAGGCAACTGTGGGGATTTATTGTCTAGGAATGTTTGATCTCGTGATTGTAGAAAATAAGCCCTTTATTGACTTGTATTTCTCAACCCCAGTTGTGTTGTGGTCGGGGATGTTTTGGTCCAGGCTGATGTTTTGTTGGGAAACAAACTGGAGAAGATCCTAAAAACACTTATTCCATCAGAGTGGGGCAGTGCAGCTGTGAGCTTTTCCAACCAGGGGAAAGGATTTTTATCCTTTTGATTTTTATGCATTGATCTGGTAATCTTTGCCATTACCATGAAAAATAAGAATTTCAGAACTGAACCAGAGCTTTCCCACAAGAAAATTAACGAAGTAAAGGAATGGGATTTAAGGCAAAACTGTAAATATTCAGGAGATGCGACTTTGTGTTGTAACTTAGACGTTGGAAATGGAGCTCAGGCAGGAGCAGTGAGGTGTGAGGGAATTCCTGGGATTTCATAACACTGGAGAAAGTGTAGTTGGAGATTTAAAAGTCTTCTGACAGATTCCTGCACATGTGCTGTGTTTAACTGTCCCAAGGGATGCCTTGGGACAGCAATGGCAGAGTATCCAGCAGCACTGGGGTATGGGTGTAGTAAAAGGGAGCTTTACTTGCATCTTTCTTCTTTTCAGCTTTATTTTTTGAAAGAACTGGAGATGTTATTCATTTGTCCATCTGTTCCACCTAATATTTTTTGAGCCAAACTCAGAGAAGGGATGGAAGTGTCCTCCATTCCCAGAGCTCTCTCCCGAGTGGGACGAGAGACACCAAACTTCAATCTGCATGTGCTGTCCCACAGCAGTGCCCTTGAGAGCTCTGGGAGTGATTGTTTCTTGGGAAATGATTCAGGGAGGGAGGGCTCAAACCACTGGTGCGGGGAGGTGAGATGGGAGGGTGCAAATCCACAGGGAATTAACCTTCCTTGAATTTCACGGCTCATGCAGTAAACTAACTTTGCCAGGGCCCTGCTTCTCAGGCTCACAACTCACAATGCCCTACTGGACAAAACTGAAAACATGTTCTTCTCTTTCCCAGCTGCAGGACATAGGTAGGTTTTCCCAACATTTCCCTGGAAGTAGAGCCCTGTGTGCTGCGGCGGGGCCGCTGCATGTGGAGATTGCTGCTCCCTGTAGTGAATTAGAGCTGCTCGTAGCCTGGCTCTTGCTGCAATCACTCTTCACTGCTCTGTCTTGTCACACTTTCCTTGCTCAGGGAAGAAATTCCAGCTGTGGAAGTGTGCTGCTCCTGGTTTTTAGCCATCAGTGCAGCGAGTTTGTGTGTCACGTCAAACCCCTCCTGCTGATTTGCCTCGTCCTTCAAGCTAAAACCCTCTTAGGCACAGAATTTTTATTGCAGTTTTTACAGATTTCCAGTGTTCCTTGTGTTCCCCAGCAAGGTGTGGAGCTTTAATGCACTTCAGAGAATCCTGGGATGGTTTGGGTTGGAAGGGACCCTAAAGCTTATCCAGTCCCACCTCCTTCCATGGGCAGGGACACCTTCCACTAGCCCAGGTTGCTCCAAGCCCCGTCCAACCTGGCTTTGAACACTTGCATGTCTTCCTTCTGAAGACATGGACAGCAGGTAAATGTGGATGAAATGTGGATTTAATGCAGGTGTCTCCCTGTGCAGGTTTGCCATCCTCTGTGGGCAGCTGTCGGAACGCGAGAGCATTCCCAAGCGCATCCAGGCCGGGTGTGTTTTCAAGGTGAGTGGAAAGGACATCCTGGGTTTGTGTGAGTATCAAACAACACTTATTTCTGTAGTAGGAACTTGGGAAAATTGGCTCCAGGTCTTGTTTAGGGAAGTAGTAGGTCTCAGAGATGCCACGAGTGGGTGTTTTGGGCTGAGGAAGGTGATTCCAGCAATGTCTTTTGAGGGTGACTGGGCTGGCTCTGCAGTTTTACACACCATAATCTCATGGGGGAAAAAAAAAGAAGTCTTTCAAATAAAATTTGTGTAAATGATGAGACTGAGAGCTTGGAACCTGAAGTTATCATGTGGTGGCAAGATACAGCACCAGCTTGTCTCTCTGCCTGTGAGCAACCTGCACCCTTCCAGAAGGGCAAAGCAAATACTCCCAAGAGGATTTAATTTGCTTCACATTCCTTTATTTCCCTTGGGGATGTTGCAGGGGAAGGGGATGTACCTGGAACAGGTCACAGGTAATTATTGTCCCATCAGCTTGTGGCATGACCAGTAAGGTGGTTATGGCAGAGCTCTGGAGGTGGAATAAACTGAAGGGCAGCTTCCTTTTCGTGTGTGTGCAGTAATCCCTGTCCCTGAGCCTGGTGAAGTGCTGCTTTTCTGTGCTCACTGAAGCCACTCTGAGAAAACTGGGGATCTGTAGCTGTAATTCTACTGATCACAACACTTTAACTGTGAATTCCCTCTTTCTCCACCTGCTCTCGTGGATGTTCACTTGCTTTTAACGAAGGTGTGACGTGTGTTGGTGCTGGTTTCCCACAGGAGCACATTGACAAAGCCATTGAGCTGAAGCCAGAGGACCCCCAGCTCTACTATCTCATGGGCAGGTGGTGTTACCAGGTAACATGCTTTTATTACTGCCTATTGCTGTCTAATTCCTCCTTGGAACTGAATTCCATGTCTGAATGAGAGGGAGGTGGATGCAAACCAGGTGTAAGGGCCTGGATACTCATCCAGAATCTGCCGAGGTCTTTGGCCTCCTCCCAGGAGCACGAGCAGCTCCAAGAGGCTGGGCAGGTCCTGGCTGGCTCTCCAGTGGGTGGCACAGGTTGCCCTTCCTGTCTCTGCAGGTTGCCCACCTGGGATGGCTGGAGAAGAAGACGGTGTCGGCACTGTTCGAGGCTCCTCCGACGGCCACGGTGCAGGACGCGCTCCAGAACTTCCTACGGGTGAGGGAATCTGCCAGGAAAGGGGATGGATCACTGACCTCCACGGGTCACAGGCACAGAGAGGGGGTGCTTGTGTCCTGCTTAACCTCAGCCCTCCCCCAGTGCTCCGTGATGCTTCTCCATCTCCTGGAACCTGTGGAAGGAAAGCTGGTGAAAGGGAAAATTGTGGAGCCTGCATTCCAGAATAGCCAGAGAAAAGACTGGGATGTTGAGGACGTCAGAATTATGACCCGAAGTGTTCCTTGTAAAAGCTGTACAGTGATTAATTGCTCAGTACTAATCACATCCGGGCTGTGCTTCCAGAGTCCCAGACCTGTCCGAGCTCATCCCTGGGAACACTTGCAGGGACACATCCTGTCATTTTAACTTCCCTGGCATTATTTTATTGAAAGCCTGGCTGACTTCTCCATTTCAGACATTTCAAAACATCTGCTTGAAGGTTTCAGGGGCACAGTGCTTTATGTATTTATTTGGAGTCCTCCCTTTCTCCTTTCCTCCCTCTGTTTTTTTTTCCTTTAAGAGCTGCAATAAGCCTGGTGTAAGAATGAACTGTGTCCTTGCATATCCTAATGTCTGCTCATCCCTGTCACACCTTCCCTCTCTTCCTGCAGGTTGAGGAGCTGAGCCCAGGATTTTCCAAAGCAGGAAGAGTTTACATTGCCAAGGTAACCACTCATTCTTGCTTTTTTGCATCCTAGGGTAAGAAATATTTATTTTAAAAATCATCTTTGGCTGTAAAGTGCTGAGCAGGTGGAAAATACTCCATGCAGGAGCCAGATTTTGTAAGATGACAGTATTTCTTTTTAGTTGCAGCAATAAATCTGTGGAAGTCTTAACCTGAACAGACTTTTAGCGTTGATATTAAAATTTGGGGTTCCTTGTGTGTGATGTCTGGGACTCCCATCTAGTTTGCATCTAGTCTGACAGTCTGAGACTCCTGTAAATATGATTTATTATTACAGTGCTTGCAGCTGAGCCTCATTTTTAACAGCCTGGAGAACGATGTGCTCCCTCCCAGTAGAGAGGTTTTGTGGTGAAACTGGAGTGAGGAAATAGTAAGTGGAAATCAAAACAGAGCTTTGGAAATGATGAAAACCACGGGAACACCTTAAGATCTCCAACCAAAACCCAATCTCCTTGCCCACAAAACAAACAAACAAAACCATAAAGGAAGCTAAATATATTTAATATTCCATCTGGTGTGATTCTAAGGCTCTGTGAATGAAGGAGACTGCAGGGAATGTCAGTGCTAATGGTTAAGAGGCAGAAATAGGTCTTCTTAGCAGTGGCCCAGTTGCGTTTGCTGCCTGTTTTTCCCTGTTTAACCCTTTTCCTGTTGTTCTTTTCCCTTCCCAGTGCTACAGGGACCTGGGGAACAGCACTGCTGCTGCGCTCTGGACGAGCCTCGCCTCCGAGCTGCCAGGGAGCACAAAAGAGGTAACAGGATCAGCAGGGGCTCTGGGATGAGCAGGGAGAAATTGGTTACAGAGAGAAAATGGATCCTGCCCCTCTGCTCCACTGAGATCCCACCTGGATCACTTCGTCCAGCTCTGGGATCCAGCACTGGAAGGACGTGGACCTGTTGGAGCGAGTCCAGAGGAGAGACACCAAGATGGTCAGGGGGATGGAGCATTTCCTCCTGCTGGGAGGAAAGGCTGGGAGAATTGGGATTGTTCAGCCTGGAGAAGAGAAGTTTCAGAGTGACCTGATGGTGGCCTTCCAGTGCCTGAAGAGAACCTGCAGGAAAGATGGAGAGGGACTTTGGACAATGGTCTGGAGTGGCAGGACATGGGGGAATGGCTTCAAGCTGGCAGAGGGCGGGGTTAGATGGGATATTGGGAAGGAATTCTTCCCTGTGAGGGGGGTGAGGCCCTGGCACAGGTTGCCCAGAGAAGCTGTGGCTGCCCCATCCCTGGAAGTGTCCAAGGCCAGGTTGGACGGGGCTTGGAGCAACCTGGGCTAGTGGAAGGTGTCCCTGCCCTTGGCATGGGGTGGGACTGGATGTGGGCTTTAGGTCCCTTCCCACCCAAACCATTCCAGGATTCTTTGATTCTCTGATATGCTTAAGAACTGGTTTAGGGTTGTAGAAAGAAGCGAAATTGTCTTTTTTTAGTTGTTTCAATTGAGCTGTGCATTTATCTGTTCCCTTCTTGCATTTCCAGGATGCAGAAAGCGAGAGGGAACTCGAGGAGATGCGCTCGGACCGGAAGGAATAATTCTGGAAAAACTCATCCCAGCGGGTACTGCAGAGACAGTAAAATGCCAAAGGGGTTTCATGATCCTGACAATTCCGAGTGCACTTCGTGGATAAGCCAAAAGAGCTTACAGGAAAACACGCCCAGCAGCACATCCAGGAAAACATCTTGGATTTAATGGGATAAAACCGTGGCTTGTTTTCCCTCGTACAGCACTGCATGTGTTTGATTTGAGGATCCCTAAAAATGTCACATTCCTGAAAACAGGTGTGCGTGTGGGAGTTTATAGGTAGAGTTTGTGACGGAGAAATATTTGTGGTCATATGTATATATATGGTAGATATATGTGAGATATATACTTTGTGATATAAATATATATATTTATGTATGCACATATATATTTTATATCACACACTCTGCCTGTCGGACAAGCCTTGCTGCTGATCTCCCAGCTCGTTCCTGAGGAAAACTTCAGCCAAAATTTTTTCCAGATTACTTGTTTCCTCTTTTCCTTAATGATTCATTGACTCAGTTGAAATAACTGATAATGCCTTTTGTAGATATTTAGGGGAGAGCAATTTCCTAGCGGGACCAAGGAGCTTTCCTGCGCCATCCAGGCTGGATTTTAAGAGGTTTGTTAGTCAGAGAAGTGAGGAATAAGATTTTAAACTTGAGGATTTCCTCCCAGAGAAGTTCCTCCCATCACTCCCACGAGGCTGAAAACTTCTGTCCCTCCAAATTGTGCTGCTGTGGTTTAGCTGGAATAACTGAGTTTGGAGGATAGTTATTGATCAGGGATCGGGTTCCAGGAGCAGGAATATCCCGTGGCAGAGCTGATGCTTCGCTGTGATCTCCTTCTACCACATAGCAGATTTATTATCTTCCAATTAATTAACCTCTGGACTAATGAGGCGACGCCGAGGAGGTGAAGCCGACGACTGACATTTCCTCTGGCAGCTCCTGGTGACCAAGCAGGAACAGGGAATTGTGCTGGACACTGACACAGATGGAGAAGGAAAACCTGTCTTGAGAAACTACCCAAATATTTATCAAGGCTTCCTTGATGCCCCTTAAAATTCCAATGGCAGCTACTGAACACTGATTTTTGAGCATCTGTTCCATGCTGTGGTGGTTGTGAGGGGTAAAGTGAGAAAGTGTGAGAGTAAAACATTCCTTAAATCACCTTTTTAGTCCCTCACATGTGTGATGGTTTTGTTACTTCCTGAAAATAACATTGGAAGGGAAACATACAGCAAACTCAAGTGTAAAAACTTCCTGGTTTATAGATTTGGCAATTTTTAGCTTTTTTTTTTTTCCCCCTCTCCAAATTAAACTCTAAAATGTTGGTGCTGGACTCTTCCCCTGCCAACCAGGCACGTGTGCAATTAACTGTATTTGCTTAAAACAATAAAAATTGGTATTTATAAATGGAAAACTAAATGCTGAGGGGCTGAAGCTGATCCCTGTCTCTAACTCTGTAATTCTGGGATGCGTCTGGGACATTTTTATACATCCTGAGCTGCTCTCCTGTTCCTCCGTGGGATGCTGAAGCTGCCTTTTGCCTTTGGCCTGAGCCTGGTTTGAGTGTTCATTTGGTTTGAGTGTGCATAATTACACAAGTTCTTGGGCTGTTTTCTGTGTGGGTTTCTCAAGGGAAGTCGGGAAATCCTCCTCAGGCACATCCCAAAGGTGATGTTTGCCGTTCCCTGCATTGCTGCCTTCCCAAAGGAGAAGTTTCAGGAGAGGGGGCAGTTTTATCTGGAGAAGGGGCATTTTTATGGCGCATCCCCTTGGGCAGGTGCTGCTGGACAACGCCCAGGGATGCTGAAGAGGGGGATCAGCTGAGCTGGGCGGCAGCAAACACGGAGCTGCAGAGATTTGGGTGCTGCTGGGGACGTGTCGCCTTCCAGCCGAGCATCCGTGCCCAGCATTCCATCCCCCCTCCGGAGGTGGTTCTGGCTCTGGGAGGGCAGCAGGATCCATGGGGATGGAGTGAAGCACCCCCAGGGCCATCCCCCAGCTGTGGGGCCGAGTATCCCGAGGGCTGCACTAGGGATGGAGCGAGGAGAGGAGCATCGTGTTCCCTCCATCCCTCCGGGTGCTTTCCCGCAGCCCGGAGCCTCCCGGCTCACACGGAGCTCACACGGTTCCCTTTAGAAAGGGAGGCAATGGAATGTTAGGAGGTTTTTTTCCTTCAATCTTTCGAGGTAGTGCTCTGAATTAATTTATTTCTGTCTTGCTTCCAGTGGTGCATTCCCCAGCAGTCCCACGGCAGCTCTTGGGCAGTGCAGCTGCCAGAGGTCCCTCTGGACTGTGGGACGGGCAAAAATTCCGCAGCAAAGGAGAACCTCTGTTTGGGAGATGGGGAATTTAGTGGCATCGGTTTGAGCTGTGCCAGTCCTTGGATACCAAAGGAACATCCAAGATTGCTCCAGGGGGAGTGCCTGGGCTTAGCGGGAGGAGCTGGGGGTTGGCACTGTGCGGTTTTGGGGGTTTTTTTTCCTGTTTTTCGGGTTTCCTTGTCGACCACCGCGGTGCTGGGCAGAAAAGACTGGGAGCGGCTTCCAGACTCGCTTTGCAGACGTTTGTCACCTTCAGAGAAGGCAGAAATCCCCGCGGAGCTGAGCAAGGGGTACGGGGAGTGCAGCGAGCTGGGGTGGGGCTGTGACCAGGGTAGGGTGTGCGCAGTGCCCCAAAACCCGCCCCCAAAACCCGCCCGGAACAGCCCCAGAGCACAGAGCGAAGCGCCGCGGGACCGCGCCGGCCCCGCCCCTCGACCCGCCCAGTCCCGCCCCAGTCCCGCCCCCGTCCCGCCCAGTCCCGCCCCTCGACCCGCCCCCGGCTCGCTCCGGCCCCGCCCCCCGGCCCCGCCCGGCCCGCCCCCAAGAATGCCGCTGTCCCCGCAGGCCCCGCTCCCCTTGTCCCGGGAGAGCTCCCGGCCGGGCCGTGACCGCGGAGCTCCCACCCGCCCTTCCCCGGCCCCAGCAGCGCCCGCCGGGGCTGCGGCGGCGGCGGCGGCGGGAGCCGCGCGGAGGGAACGGGGGGCGGGGCCGCGCCGAGGGGCGGGGCCGGGCTGAGCGGGCGGGGCGGGGCCGCAGGGCCGGGCGGGCTGGGATTGGGCGGCGGCGCTCGAGCGCTGATTGGGCAGCGCTGCCGGCCCGCGGTATAAAGGGCCGGCGGGGCGGGTGCGGGCGGTTGTGTGTGAGGGCTGAGGGTGCGGCCCCGCTGCTGCCCGGGCTGCGGAGGGGAGAGCGCCTTGGCCGCTGGGTTTGTGACCGGGGGAGCCGGGAGGCGTTTAGGGGCGCGTTGTGCTGGGCAGCGGGGGCCGGGTAAGCCCGTTACCTGCCGGGTAACCCCGGGGGAGCCGTGGCAGGGCTGCGGGGCTGTTGCTCTCTGGGTGTCTCAGGGTTTGCTTCGGAATCCCAAAGTCTTTCCCCGTGCAGGGTTAGGAGGCAAAGACTGGTCTCACTTAGTTTCTCGGTGCTGCATTAATGCTCTTTGCTCCTTCTCTGTCCAGCCGTGCCCTCCCTGGGGCTCAGCTCAGGTCCGTGCCCAGCGGCTGGTGGAGTGTGGCGAGTTGTGCTTCCTGCCGGGCGGGAGCTGCCTTGGGAAGCTGCTCTGTCCCCACGGCTGTGCCGAGCTGGGAGCTTGGACAGGTAAGGGCAGGGCCCGTCCTGCCGGTGAGAATTGGGTTTGGCTGGGGGAGGAGGGAATGGAGTGTGTGCCTGTTAACTCCACGGAGAGCCAACAGCTGGGAGAGACCCCGAGCAGGTTTGGTGCCACGAGAGCAGCTTCAAAAGACCGTGAGTGTTGGAGAAATGTCCAGGAGAACTGGTTCCTTGTTGGCAGGGAGGCAGTTTGCAAGGACAGGGGGGTTGCTGTGCTCTCTAGTAAAAAAAGGTTTCCTTGCTCTCTCAGCAGGATGTCGAGTGCCACCGTGTCCCTGAGGTCCCCCTTTCTCCTGTTGGGAGAGCACGAGGCGGATGGAGAGGATCCCCAGGCATCTGCAGGAACAAGGGACTTCTATGACTCCAACTTGCCTACTGCAGCTGTAGGATGGACTTTCAAGATAGCATTGGGAATGTGCCAGCACTCTCCTGCTGAAGTTTTTGTCCGCTGTCTTTGAACACAATGAGTAAAACTGAAGTCAGGTCTGTTCTGGAGTGTGTTACACTTGTCCTTCCCTCTGTTTATTTTCTGTTCTGGAAAGCATGGTCTGGGGTTCCTGGGCACTTCTTATTAAATGATACTATGAAAATAATTTTGTACTGAAAGGGGAAAAGAGGTGTCTGTGAAAGTTCAGATGGTAAAAGTTCAGTCCATGATAAAAGCCTTATGTGTTTTCAGTCAGTAAGCTCTTAAAATATCTTACAGTGTGTAGGAATACCTGGCTTCTAAAACTCACCAGCTGAGTGTTAGAGGCTTTTCTGAAGAGCTGATTTCAGGCAGCAGAATTGGCCCCCAGGAGGGACTCTGTGCCTGCTCTCCCGTGGCTCCAAGGGATCTCTGGCCCTTCACGCCGGCACCGAGATTTTCTCGGGAAGGGCCTCAGATCCCTGGACCAGTCTGGGACACAGGCAAGATCCCCCTGCAGTTTAGGACCAACTTGGCCCCCTGGAGGGACAGTGCTGTGGGTGCCCCCCGGGTTGGGGCACCCCGAGGACTCCAGCGCGCACCGAAAGGATTCTTCGGGGAGATCCTCGGGGTGCCCGGCCCTGGGGAGCTCAAAGCAAGGTCCCTGCCATGGATTCAGGCATTGCTGAGAGTATCCCAGGGGTCCCTGTCCCTGCTAGACATGGAGCTCTCTAATGGGCTGGAATTGGGTGATAAAAGTGGTGCTCCAAGTGCCAAAGAAGTGTGGGATTGGGATTAAGAAATGAGCAGTGAGGGTCCAATTGGCTGTTTTCTCTGGAATGTGACTGTGAGAGCTGCAGGAGTGCCAGGTGTGTGTTCCAGTCCCCAGCATTTGGTTTGCACATGTCCTGCTCAGACACAGGTCCAACTTCCTCAGTCCTTAACCAAGAGAGGGAGAATGAAGGACTGGCAGTGTTCAGGTGATTGGTGTGTCAGGGGTTAAACTGGGAAAACACTGGGCAATTCCTCATTGCTCTATTTACCAAACTCACCCAAACCTGTGCTAGGAAAAGATTGGAAAAGTTGAGGCAAAAATGAAATTGAAAATGGGAATATTGAAACTGTAATTGCTGCAACTCAATGTGTCCAAGCAGCAGCTCTTGTTGTGCAGGGAATAACTCCTGTCAGCAGCAAGGCCCCGACTGAAGTGGCAGCTGCAGCTGTTCCTGTGGTGTGGGCCAGTGGAACTGCAGGAGAGTGGAAGAGGGCAGAACCTGTAGGTATTACCCCTGATGTGGGATCTCTCCTGGTAAGGCCAAGCCAGTATCCTTTAAAATCAGAATGGCAGCTTGGATTGGTTGCAGGAACAGCTGAATTTGCTCCTCCTGGTTTGCTTGTAGAAGGTGAATGCCAGAACCTGCCAAGGAAACCAATGGCCAAGGGGATTGATTAGTGCAGGACCTGAGAGAACCCCCTGAAATGACAACCTGGAGTGGTTTCCAGGATTAGATTGCAAAGATGGCCTTTGCTGCATCTCCTTGAACAAGGAAAGCCAAGAAACCTTTGCCTTTGCAGGAGAAACTGGGGCAAGTGGGCAGGAAGAAGAGAAGCCCCGTGACTCCTCCCTGAGCCCCAGCCAGCCCCTGAACTGCCTTCCTGGGAATGGTGGGACGGGCTGGACTCTGGATTGCTCCCTCTGGATTTGTGGTAAGACTGTTATGGCAACTTTTCCAACAGCCTGTAAGAGTTTGCTGCCTTGGCTAGATGGTGCAAGGGCAGCCTTTAAGCAGCTGAAGCCTTCCCTGAGGAGAGCTCTGGGTCTGCCAGATGTGTCAGAACTGTTGGAAGCATCTTTGGTGGGGAGGGCAAAGAAAGGCCAAGGTGTGCAGTGACCCCCTGAGAAGGGACTTTGAGTTAATGGCATCCCTGCAAGTGAACTTTGTGGGCTGTTCCCCCTGCAGGGCAGGTGACAGTCCCAGCTACAGTGATGGGAAAAATAGTTAAAAGGGAGCCCCAAAAGCTGGAAATCCTGCTGGAGGCTCTTGGCAAAGAGAGTTTGCTGAGTTCCCCCTGACAGAAGGACAGTGATGGCTTTTGAGTGCTGGTAGATCCTTTGAATAGATAGCCTTGAGTGTGTCCTTGTTGCCCCAGTAGGCCTTGTCCAACTCCCCATCTTCCAGGGGATATACATATTAAAGTTTGAAATGCTCTTCCTAATCCTTTGTTGGCTTGAGGCTCTCCCCTCAGGAACTGCAGGAACTCCTGGTGCCGCCTGGGCCGATGGATTGGACGCCCCAGCCCCTCCGTTCCTGCCCAGCCCCTGGGGCCGTGTCCAGTGGTGGCACTGCCAGCCCTGCAGGGGAAGTGGGAAGGGCCTTTGCAGGTCTGTTTGATCACATTTATAGCAGGTAAAGTTGCAGAAAAAGGACCTGGGGTCTGTTATTCTTGAGTTAAGAAAGCTGCTTTTGATTGGTGAGCAGAACAAAGTGGATCCTTCAGAGTTCCCATCCGTGTTTGTGTCTCAGCCTGTGTTAGGATTCAGGGCTGTCAGTTGTTGTCACTGAGGAGTCAAACTGTGCTTTAAATAAGGAGACACTGGCCTAGTGGCCCAATGTGAAGGGAAAAAAGGTGGAATGATATCTGAGTGTTGAGATGTAACAAGGGCTAATCCTTTTTGCAGTGGGATGGAGCCTGGAAAGTGCAGAGAGCTGAGCCAAGGGATTGAAAGGGACCAAGCAAGGGAGGTGAAGAAAGAAGGAAGAAGGAACTGAGGCATCAGCCAAGCAGCAGCAAGTTCCTGTGTAAGCAGGTGAGTTGTGTTGAGGTTCCTGAGGCAGGCCCTGAGGACTTGGAGGGCTCCAGACAGAGCAGACCTGGGAAGCCCCTCAGTGAAGCCCCTCAGAAACCTGAAGCCCCTGGGTCTCTTTGTGAGCCTGAGCTATTGCAGCCCTGGGGATGGCTTTGGTTTCTTTCTCTCCTCAGAGTTGAACTGTAGGGGGGAGTCTGTGATCTCCCTGATTTTTGTATCATAACTGAAACTTGGAAGAAAGTTGACCTTGTGTCATTTCCCAACTGACTTGGCCGGGTTGAACCAGCAGTGCCAGATTGTTGTAGTGTGCAGGGTATTGTTTGTGTCTGAGCAGTTTGGGGTTGATTTGCCAAGGGAGGCCATGGAATGTTCTGGTATTTTTGTCCCAATATTTGTAGGCAGTGCCCTGAATTAGTTGATTTCTGCCTCGCTCCCTGATGTCTGAGTTTGGAGATGTACCAAGAACTGGTAGTTTTTGCAGTGGGATGTTCCCTAGAAACTGCATGGAGCTGAGCCAAGGAAGTTAAAGGGACTGAGCAAGCAAAGTCAAGAAAGAAAGAAGAAGGGAACTGAGGCAGCAGCCAAGCAGCACCAAATTCCTCCACAACCAAGTGAGTTGTGTTGAAGTTGCTAAGGTGGTCACTGAGAACTTTGGGGGCTGCAGGCACAGGGGACCACCAGAGACCCCTGATTGAGCCTTTCGTAGATTTACAAAGCTTTGTGTATATGGTAACAGGTGTTGGGAATGTCTTGAAAGTGGAACAGGAATGCAGAGAAGGAAAGTGAACCCTCCTGTAATGCTGACCCCTCCCATCAGCTGCAGTGGAGACCCCTCCGTGTGCCCTTTGGGAGCTGATTGTCAGGACACCCCTGGGGCTGGGATCATGGCAGGGTGTTGTAAGCCAGGAATGCCTGGCTTCTAAAACTCACCCGCTGAGTCTTAGAGGTTTCTCTGAAGAGCTGATTTCAGGCAGCAGAATTGGCCCCCAGGAGGGACTCTGTGCCTGCTCTCCCGTGGCTCCAAGGGATCTCTGGCCCTTCACGCCGGCACCGAGATTTTCTCGGGAAGGGCCTCAGATCCCCGGACCAGTCTGGGACACAGGCAAGATCCCCCTGCAGTTTAGGACCAACTTGGCCCCCTGTAGGGACAGTGCTGTGGGTGCCCCCCGGGTTGGGGCACCCCGAGGACTCCAGCGCGCACCGAAAGGATTCTTCGGGGAGATCCTCGGGGTGCCCGGCCCTGGGGAGCTCAAAGCAAGGTCCCTGCCATGGATTCAGGCATTGCTGAGAGTATCCCAGGGGTCCCTGTCCCTGCTAGACATGGAGCTCTCTAATGGGCTGCAATTGGGTGATAAAAGTGGTGCTCCAAGTGCCAAAGAAGTGTGGGATTGGGATTAAGAAATGAGCAGTGAGGGTCCAATTGGCTGTTTTCTCTGGAATGTGACTGTGAGAGCTGCAGGAGTGCCAGGTGTGTGTTCCAGTCCCCAGCATTTGGTTTGCACCTGTCCTGCTCAGACACAGGTCCAACTTCCTCAGTCCTTAACACAAGAGAGGGAGAATGAAGGACTGGCAGTGTTCAGGTGATTGGTGTGACAGGGGTTAAACTGGGAAAACATTGGGTGATTCCTCAGTTTCTCTATTTGCCAAACACAGCCAAACCTGTGCTAGGAAGAGATGGAGTATAAAAGTTGAGGCAGAAATGCAATTGAAAACTGGGGCTATTGAAACTGTAATTGGTGAAACTCAATGTGTCCAAGCAGGAGCTCTTGTTGTGCAGGGAATAACTCCTGTCAGCAGCAAGGCCCCGACTGAAGTGGCAGCTGCAGTTGTTCCTGTGGTGTGGGCCAGTGGAACTCCAGGAGAGTGGAAGAGGGCAGATCCTGTAGGAATTACCCCTAAGCCAGAATCTGTACTGATAAGGCAAAGTCAGTATCCTTTAAAATTAGGAAGCCAAGCTGGATTGGTTCCAGGTAAGAGCCGAGTTTGCTCCTCATGGTTTGATAGTAGAAGGTGAATGCAAGGACCTGTAGAGAAAGCAAATGACAAAGATGATTGATTGCTGGGAGCAGGGACTGACAGACAGTGGCACTGGATGTTTGGTTGTGGTTGGGAATGAGCAGCTTGACCTGCCCAGGGTTGTCTGTGCTGGGGGTGGGTTTGGGTCCTGTGTGGCCACAGGTCTGTGCAGCAGCTGGAGCCTGGGCAGGTTTGGGGGCTGTGGTGTCCCAGGCTCCTGAGTGTGTTGTCCCTGTGTCCTTTCAGTGTTCCAGTGTCCCTGCTTGGCTGTTTGTTACCCTGCAGGCAGAAGAGCCCAGGCCTGAGATGGCTGAGTGTTGGTGTGAGCCACAGTGGGTGTCCCTGCCCTCGGGACAGTCCCCAGAGCTGCCTTTGGCATCCCCTGCTGAAGGGTGGGAGCTGCCCAGAGCCAGCAGCATCCATCTGGAGGATCCAGGAGGATGCAGCTCCTGTTGTCTGGGAGGTAAGAGGTGGGGTGCAGGAGCTGGCAGGGGTGTTCTGCAGGCAGAGGGAGGGCAGGAGCAGGAGAATTGCAGGTGCAGCAGCTGGGTCAGTGCTGGATGGAGTCAGGCTGGGAAAGGTCCCTGAGTGTCAGGGCAGGGGAGAGCCCAGGGTGGCCCTGGGAGCCCTGGGGCTGTGACCAAGTGCAGTGGGCAAAGGAATGGGCACTGGAGAGCTGGGCAAACAGCTGGAGGAGTTGCAAGGAGAAGCAGGAGACTGGAATGCAGGAGCAGCAGCTCCCTGTGTGTGTGTGTAGAACCAGGTGTACTGCAGCCCCCAGTGAGGTGGGAAATGAACCTCAGGAGGCTGGGAACGAGTCCCACAAACTGGTTAAAGTGGGATGGACTCTTCCCAATGTCTGAAAAGCTTTTCTTTAGTGTTGCTTTATCAGTTGAAAACTGGAGTGATTGTCGAGGTGTTGGCACTTGTTTTCCTGTGTCTTTGGTGAGGTGTTGACTCAATACCTTTATTGGAGCTGCTCTTGGATGAAGAGGTGCCCCCAATTGACCTGGAAGGTTCTGGTTTTCTTCCCTGCTTCTCCCAGCTTGTCCAGGAGATGGAATTCCAGTGCTAGAGTCTAGATGGCTCGTGGTGGTCCCAAAAAAAGCCTTTGTGTCTTCAGGGCAAGTTCTGGTGCCCCTTGAGCTGTTGGGAGAATTTGGGGGGTTCGCCTGGAATGATGTTGCTGTGGCAGAGAAGAAATGAGCAATGATGGTCCAATTGGCTGTTTTCTCTGCAATGTGACTGTGAGAGCTGCAGGAGTGCCAGGTGTGTGTTCCAGTCCCCAGCATTTGGTTTGCACATGTCCTGCTCAGACACAGGTCTAACTTCCTCAGTCCTTAACACAATAGAGGGAGAATGAAGGACTGGCAGTGTTCAGGTGATTGGTGTGTCAGGGGTTAAACCGGGAAAACATTGGGTGATTCCTCAGTTTCTCTATTTGCCAAACTCACCCAAACCTGTGCTAGGAAGAGATTGAGTGGAAAATTTAAGGCAGAAATGAAACTGGAAGATGGAGCTATTGAAACTGTAATTGGTGAAACTCAATGTGTCCAAGCAGCAGCTCTTGTTGTGCAGGGAATAACTCCTGTCAGCAGCAAGGTCCTGACTGAAGTGGCAGCTGCAGTTGTTCCTGTGGTGTGGGCCAGTGGAACTGCAGGAGAGTGGAAGAGGGCAGAACCTGTAGGAATTACCCCTACTGTGGGATCTCTCCTGGTAAGGCCAAGCCAGTATTCTTTAAAATCAGAATGGCAGCTTGGATTGGTTGCAGGAACAGCTGAATTTGCTCCTCCTGGTTTCCTTGTAGAAGGTGAATGCCAGAACCTGCCAAGAAACCAATGGCCAAGGGGATTGATTAGTGCAGGACCTGAGAGAGCCCCCTGAAATGACAACCTGGAGTAGTTTCCAGTATGAGATTGCAAAGATGGCCTTTGCTGCATCTCCTTGAACAAGGAAAGCCAAGAAACCTTTGCTTTTGCAGGAGAAAATCTGTAAAGTGGGCAGGAAGAAGAGAAGCCCCGTGACTCCTCCCTGAGCCCCAGCCAGCCCATGAACTGCCTTCTTGGGAATGGTGGGACGGGCTGGACTCTGGATTGCTCCCTCTGGATGTGTGGTAAGACTGTTATGACAACTTTTCCAAGAGCCTGTAAGCATTTGCTGCCTTGGCTAGATGGTGCAAGGGCAGCCTTTAAGCAGCTGAAGCCTTCCCTGAGGAGAGCTCTGGGTCTGCCAGATGTGTCAGAACTGTTGGAAGCATCTTTGGTGGGGAGGGCAAAGAAAGGCCAAGGTGTGCAGTGACCCCCCTGAGAAGGGACTTTGAGTTAATGGCATCCCTGCAAGTGAACTTTGTGGGCTGTTCCCCCTGCAGGGCAGGTGACAGTCCCAGCTACAGTGATGGGAAAAATGGTTAAAAGAGAGCCCCAAAAGCTGGAAATCCTGCTGTAGGCTCTTGGCAAAGTTCCCCCTGACAGAAGGACAGTGATGGCTTTTGAGTGCTGGTAGATCCTTTTAATAGACAGCCTTGAGTGTGTCCTGTTGCACCAGTAGGCCTTGTCCAACTCCCCATATTCCAGGAGATATACATATTGAAGTTTGAAATGCTCTTCCTAATCCTTTGTTGTCTTGAGGCTCTCCCCTCAGGAACTGCAGGAACTCCTGGTGCCGCCTGGGCCGATGGATTGGACGCCCCAGCCCCTCCGTTCCTGCCCAGCCCCTGGGGCCGTGTCCAGTGGTGGCACTGCCAGCCCTGCAGGGGAAGTGGGAAGGGCCTTTGCAGGTCTTGTGGGTCACATTTATAGCAGGTAAAGTTGCAGAAAAAGGACCTGGGGTCTGTTATTCTTGAGTTAAGAAAGCTGCTTTTGATTGGTGAGCAGAACAAAGTGGATCCTTCAGAGTTCCCATCCGTGTTTGTGTCTCAGCCTGTGTTAGGATTCAGGGCTGTCAGTTGTTGTCACTGAGGAGTCAAACTGTGCTTTAAATAAGGAGACACTGGCCTAGTGGCCCAATGTGAAGAAAAAAGGGGGAATGATATGTGAGTGTTGAGATGTAACAAGGGCTAATCCTTTTTGCAGTGGGATGGAGCCTGGAAACTGCAGAGAGCTGAGCCCAGGGATTGAAAGGGACCAAGCAAGGGAGGTGAAGAAAGAAGGAAGAAGGGAAGTGAGGCAGCAGCCAAGCAGCACCAAGTTCCTGTGTAAGCAGGTGAGTTGTGTTGAGGTTCCTGAGGCAGGCCCTGAGGACTTTGAGGGCTCCAGACAGAGAAGACCTGGGAAGGCCCTGGAAACCTTCTAAGGGTAGGTGTGTATGGTGATAAGTGTTGTGAATTTTCCTGAATGCAGAACAGGAATGCAGGGAAGGAAAATGAACCCTCCTGTAATGCTGACCCCTCCCATCAGCTGCAGTGGAGACCCCTCCGTGTGCCCTTTGGGGGCTGATTGCCAGGACCCCCGTGGGGCTGGGATCATGGCAGGGTGTTGTAAGCAAGGAATGCCTGGCTTCTAAAACTCACCCGCTGAGTCTTAGAGGCTTCTTTGAAGAGCTGATTTCAGGCAGCAGAATTGCCCCCCAGGAGGGACTCTGTGCCTGCTCTCCCGTGGCTCCAAGGGATCTCTGGCCCTTCACGCCGGCACCGAGATTTTCTCGGGAAGGGCCTCAGATCCCCGGACCAGTCTGGGACACAGGCAAGATCCCCCTGCAGTTTAGGACCAACTTGGCCCCCTGGAGGGACAGTGCTGTGGGTGCCCCCCGGGTTGGGGCACCCCGAGGACTCCAGCGCGCACCGAAAGGATTCTTCGGGGAGATCCTCGGGGTGCCCGGCCCTGGGGAGCTCAAAGCAAGGTCCCTGCCATGGATTCAGGCATTGCTGAGAGTATCCCGGGGTCCCTGTCCCTGCTAGACATGGAGCTCTCTAATGGGCTGCAATTGGGTGATAAAAGTGGTGCTCCAAGTGCCAAAGAAGTGTGGGATTGGGATTAAGAAATGAGCAGTGAGGGTCCAATTGGCTGTTTTCTCTGGAATGTGACTGTGAGAGCTGCAGGAGTGCCAGGTGTGTGTTCCAGTCCCCAGCATTTGGTTTGCACATGTCCTGCTCAGACACAGGTCCAACTTCCTCAGTCCTTAACCCAAGAGAGGGAGAATGAAGGACTGGCAGTGTTCAGGTGATTGGTGTGACAGGGGTTAAACTGGGAAAACATTGGGTAATTCCTGAGTTTGTCTGTTTTCCAAACCTGTGCTAGGAAGAGATGGAGTGTAAAAGTTGAGGCAGAAATGCAATTGAAAACTGGGGCTATTGAAACTGTAATTGCTGAAACTCAATGTGTCCAAGCAGCAGCTCTTGTTGTGCAGGGAATAACTCCTGTCAGCAGCAAGGCCCCGACTGAAGTGGCAGCTGCAGTTGTTCCTGTGGTGTGGGCCTGTGGAACTGCAGGAGAGTGGAAGAGGGCAGAACCTGTAGGTATTACCCCTGATGTGGGATCTCTCCTGGTAAGGCCAAGCCAGTATCCTTTAAAATCAGAATGGCAGCTTGGATTGGTTGCAGGAACAGCTGAATTTGCTCCTCCTGGTTTCCTTGTAGAAGGTGAATGCCAGAACCTGCCAAGAAAACCAATGGCCAAGGGGATTGATTAGTGCAGGACCTGAGAGAACCCCCTTAAAGAACCACCTCGAGTAGTTTCCAGTATTAGATTGCAAAGATGGCCTTGGCTGCATCTCCTTGAGCAAGGAAAGCCAAGAAACCTTTGCTTTTGCAGGAGAAAATCTGAGAATTTGCTGCCTTGGCTAGATGGTGCAAGGGCAGCCTTTAAGCAGCTGAAGCATTCCCTGAGGAGAGCTCTGGGTGTGCCAGATGTGTCAGAACTGTTGGCAGCATCTTTGGTGGGGAGGGCAAAGAAAGGCCAAGGTGTGCAGTGACCCCCCTGACAAGGGACTTTGAGTTAATGGCATCCCTGCAAGTGAACTCTGTGGGCTGTTCCCCCTGTAGGGCAGGTGACAGTCCCAGCTCCAGTGATGGGAAAAATGGTTAAAAGAGAGCCCCAAAAGCTGGAAATCCTGCTGGAGGCTCTTGGCAAAGAGAGTTTGCTGAGCTCCCCCTGACAGAAGGACAGTGACAGCTTTTGAGTGCTGGTAGATCCTTTGAATAGACAGCCTTGAGTGTGTCCTTGTTGCCCCAGTAGGCCTTGTCCAACTCCCCATCTTCCAGGAGATATACATATTGAAGTTTGAAATGCTCTTCCTAATCCTTTGTTGGCTTGAGGCTCTCCCCTCAGGAACTGCAGGAACTCCTGGTGCCGCCTGGGCCGATGGATTGGACGCCCCAGCCCCTCCGTTCCTGCCCAGCCCCTGGGGCCGTGTCCAGTGGTGGCACTGCCAGCCCTGCAGGGGAAGTGGGAAGGGCCTTTGCAGGTCTTGTGGGTCACATTTATAGCAGGTAAAGTTGCAGTAAAAGGACCTGGGGTCTGTTATTCT